GATGGTAGAGTTTTGCCAGCTCAAATTTCCAACAAGCTTAAACAGCTTGGACTGAAAGTTGTCCGAAGGAAAAGACTGCGCCATGCTCAAGAATCTGTTTCCACTGGGCCTAGTCAAATTGATGGAGATGGAAGAGTAGTAAAAGCAGTTAATACTCATTGTGAATCAAACAGTCAGCCGCTGTAAGTATTTGTAGATGAATATTAATTTCTTAGTATTACAGTTACAGTTTGTATACTTTTTGTTTATTTTTCTGTACTTTTTAAAGTTTTTCTAGGCATTTGTATTCAAAGTAAATATTCATTTGATTTGAATATCATAGAGCACGTACTCTTTGTTTGTTTCCCCTCTTTCGCCTCACCTAAACCCTTGTTTTTCGAGTTGCAGGGGTTGTGAACTTGCAACGCAGAATCTAATCAAATAGCTGCTGATTTCAATCACTTGTAGCCTATACTTTACGTCCGTTAGTTTTGTTTTTGCACTTTGGGATTGATCTTGGATGGCTGCTGTCTTTCGTTGCAGTTGTTGTCACTGTTTATTAATTGTAAATTTAAAGATTACACATTAACCGAGAAAAAAATTTGATAGATTTAGTACTCATTCTTTTGCTTCCCCCATTGTTTTTGAGAAGCAGCTGTGAACGTATGGCTTAGATAACTGGCTGCTGTGTCTTCTGCCTTTAGTCTGTAATTTTGGTCCACTCTTTTCTCTTTGATTCTGTGGCAAGTCTTAATGCTTGATGTTATATGTTGCTTCACTGCTCCAGCTGTTTATTAGTTTCAACTTGATTGTTTTATAGGCACACAAGAAAAAGAGTACGTGCCGTCAGTGAAGATCAGGAGACTAACATTAGATCTCTATATGAGCAGTAAGTACTACTTGGTTACTTGGTAGTAATATAAGATTTGATCTCTTTTCACTTGATAGAAGCTGGAAGTTACTATTCTTTAGTTTTAAAGAAAAAATTTATGTTCTTTGTCATACCCAGATTTAAAGACCATAAAAGGTGCAGCCACATGATTGCAAATGCAATGGACGGTGATGGTAAATTCACAGCTTCTCAAGTTTCTCGTAAGCTCAAGCAGCTTGGTTTATATATTCCTCGGAAGAAGAGGTCCGCAGCCGGCATGCTGAGAGATGAGGATCTTAATGACTCTAATACAAACAAAGAGCATGACTCTGATGATGAGACGCTGTTGTCATTAATGAAAAGGTCATACATCCATTTTGTTTTGTTATTAAATTTAAGGTTTTTTAGGTTTTAGACATAAAAATTTTTTCACTTTTGAAAAAAGCCAAAGCTTTTTCAAAAAAGACAAAAAAACCGCTCAACTTTCAAATCAAAGACATGCAAATGTATTGGATTCCTTAGGAAATCTAAAAATAAATAAGGGCATTTTTGTCCATTTTTGCTTCTTTTAAAATTTTTCTCTCTCCTTTTGCTTTTTCTAAAATGCCCCTTAAATTTAAGGTTTTTCACCACTAGTTCTCTACTTGCTTAGTTTCCATAATGTCTGGGCACTTGCACCGCATATGTGAAACTCCATATTCCTTTTGGTTAAACCTTCCAATATAATGTTGTGAAACTCCATAATCCTATTATGGTCTGTTCATACTCCTAATTAAATTATAGGAATAGCTTCTTTCTCTTGTAAATTCATGTTGGCTCCATGTGTAAATACACAACATGCATGATGTGTAGATATTAGTATGACAATAATTTTTTAACTTCCAGGGGCAAAAAGGATCATAGCAGATTCAGTGAAGAGTTACTAGAGCAGACTACTGGACGAAAAGTGTCGGAAGATGATTCTGATGATGAAATCCTAAGCTCTGTTCTCAAGTAAATCTCTCTCTCTCTCTCTCTCTCTAAAAAAGAAAAAGAATGATGAAGTCATAGGATTCTGATTGTGTAAGGTAACTATTTCTTCTAATTCTAATTAATTCGTCTTTTGGATGTAGGAAAACCAGGAGACCCCTTTGCAAGCCCATGGATCTAAACTCTGCAGCCATCTCAATTCAGGGAACATCAAGCAGTAATGCTTTGGAAGATGGAGTTGACGAAGGCTCTGCCTTCAAGCATGTTAGTCCGAATGGCACGGCAGAAGCTGAAGTCAGAGGCACCGGCACTGGCTCTAGCAATCCATTAGATGCTGGACCTGTGAAAAATTTGGAGGATTTGCAACATGAGCAAATGGACAATGACTTGGCGGATTCAGGAGATGAAATGGCTCATGGTGCATTCCCAGAGAGTGGCGTAAGCAGAAGGAAGTTGAGGATGGTACTTGAAGATGAAGATGATGACTGAGTGCATCTCTCTCTCTCTCTACCATCGTGACGTGTTATTATCCAAAGTTGCGAAGGAAGTCATCCATTTTTCTTGAAACTGCAATCAGATTTTGCTTTTAAGATTATTGATGTTTGAGTGTAGTGTAGATTGTGTAAAGGGACTCGTCAGTATATGGACACGGGGAAAAAGATTGTACAGGTTGGACAACTGTCCACGGATGAAAATTGTCTTGTTTCTATAGTTTAACATACCAACGTGCATGCCCATGGGTTGAAACCGATCATTTGGATCATCCGGACTGAAGAATTCAAAACCAAAAGTTGCACCTGTAAACCGGATCACAAAACTATCTGACCATCTCTTGCATGTTGCAACAAAATGGATGGATGAATGGCAATTTGCACATCAAATCACGGGAATTCTAACATTCGTTTCCGGATGAGGATTTAAATTTGATTCCAAGGGATGGATGGACTCACCGTCTTGATCAATTGATCTAATCTATATGCGTATGTAACTAACTACCTCTTAATAAAATTGTATTGTTGTGCACATCATTAACTACTAAAAATTATAATCAACCCTTCCGCAAGGAACACCCAGCCTCAATTTCTTGAGTCAAACTATTTTCATATTGTTGATTAATATCTTCATGCCCCCAGAATCGATATAATATATGACGGGAATAATTTTTCAAAATGCTAAAGTCAATAGTCGTCCCTTCTAAATATTATCCGATTCTAAACATCACCATCGCCGCGTTTCAATTTTCAACAAATTCCATGGTATGTTTTTCCCTGGTCATAATCACTCTTCTCAAGCTATCAAAATATTGTAATATTTGTGCAGTCAACGTCCAGATAACGACAACAAATCATATCTCCTTAAAACACTATCCTAAAATGACATACAATTTGCACATCATCTCCCCACCCTCCCCACCCTACCCTGCCTGCTCCTAAGATTCATAACCATGTTGTTCACAATCACAAGTGATACTATAAGCTCCATATTTGCTGTCTTATTTGTGCTCCTAACAACAACCTCTGCTATATGTTGTTTCAGTGCTGGGATCAGCTCCAACATTAGGTGCCTAGAGACAGAGAAAAATGCTCTGCTTCAGTTCAAACAAGGCCTAGTGGATAACTCCAATGTTCTTGGATCTTGGGAAAGCAAAAAAGATTGTTGCCAGTGGAGAGGAATTACATGCAGCAACCAAACAGGTCATGTAACCATGCTGGATCTCTACTATAATTCTTCTGATATTTACAATCTTGAAACTCCTTTAAGTGGTGTGATTGCTCCTCTGCTTGAATTGCGATATCTAAATTACTTGGACCTGAGTTTCAATAATTTTGAGGGAAAGATTCCCGACTTCATTGGCTCTTTGAATCAGCTGAAACAACTCAAACTTGCAGGTGCTAGTCTTACGGACCTGTTCCTCCCCAACTGGGAAATCTTTCTCATTTGTATACTCTTGATCTTGCACATAACTTTGTTACTTTTGAAAATCTCGAGTGGTTATCTCATCTTTCCTCTTTGAGATACCTGAACATGTCAAGTCTTAACTTCTCTAAGGTTGTAAATTGGCCTCACTCTATAAGCAAGCTCCCTTCACTGGTTGAGCTGCAGTTATCTTCATGTAGTCTTCCTAATGTCAACCTGAGATCGCTTTCTTTCGTCAATTCTTCGACCTCTCTTGAAGTCCTTGAACTCTCTGATAATTTCCTTAATTCTTCCATTTTCTATTGGATGGCCAATATCAGCACCAGCCTTGTACACATTGGATTGTTACAAGGTCTCATCCCAGATGTTTTCTCAAACATGGTTTCTCTAACATCTCTTGATCTCTCTTATAACCAACTTGAGGGTGGGATACCAAAATCCTTTCGAAACCTATGCAGATTAGAATCATTGAACTTATGGGAAAACAAACTTTCTGATAAACTTCAAGACTTTATCGAAAACTTGTCTTGTGCTCAGGATACCCTTGAGTCCTTACAATTAAGTGGCAACCCGTTTTGGGGGCCATTTCCTGATAATCTTACAAGATTTTCATCCTTGAAAGAACTATACATCGATGGTACCAATATGAGCGGCCCTCTCCCGAAAAGTTTTCAGCAACTTTACCAACTAAGATCCTTGAGCCTAGTTTCAAACCAGTTCAGCGGGCCATTGCCAGATTTTACAGGTCTTTCATCATTAAGACAACTATTTCTTTCCAAAAATCAACTAATCGGCTCGCTACATGAGAGTATTGGGCAACTTTCTAGCCTTTAATTTTTGGATATTTCTGTGAATTCTTTGAATGGTGTCTTAACAGAAGTCCACTTCTTGAACCTCTCTCGTTTACAGTTTTTGGATGTTTCTTACAATCCTTTGTCTTTCAACTTGAGTCCGTATTGGAACCCACCTTTTCAACTTAATTCATTAGACATGAGTTCTAGCAATGTAGGCCCTGAATTTCCCAAATGGATTCAGACACAGAGAAAACTTACTGCTCTTGGTATGTCAAATGCTGGGATCTCAGGTTCAGTACCTAATGAGTTTTGGGATCTATCTTCCAACTTACTTGAATTAAATCTCTCTATGAACCAAATCCATGGGAAGTTTCCCAATCTATCATCAAAGAACTGCACCTTTTTCACAATTGACTTGACATCTAATCAGTTTTCTGGTCCACTCCCACCATTTCCTTCAAACATAAGCAATGTTTTCCTCTCCAAAAACATGTTTTCCGGACCCCCTATCTTCCTTATGTGCAACACAAGCTCCAGAATTGTATAATCTCGACCTTTCTGAGAACCTACTGTCAGGGGAGCTTCCTGATTGTTGGATGCAATATCAAGCATTACACTCACTGAATTTGGCAAAGAATAATTTCTCCGGAAAAGTACCGAGCTCATTAGGGCAGTTAACGTATGTTGTGTTGTTACGCTTGCATGATAACAATCTTTCAGGAGAACTGCCTCCTTCTTTAAAGAACTGTACAGAATTAAGGGTTGTTGACCTTGGAGCCAATAAATTATCTGGAAACATACCAGCATGGATAGGCCCCAGCCTAACAAACTTGCTGGTTCTACGCTTACGGTCTAATGAGTTCTATGGAAGCATACCCTTGAGTCTATGTAGTCTTCCCGCTCTTCATGTTTTAGACCTCTCTCAGAATAATATATCTGGAGCCTTGCCACATTGCCTTCCTAATATAACAGCTTTGTCTTCTGTGTCTACGAAGGTGGAGGACAATTGGATTCTTGGATTTGTGCAACTGGTGTGGAAAGGGATAGAGATTGAATTTGGAGAAAATCTTAAGCATTTGAGAAGCATCGACATCTCAAACAATAACTTAAATGGGGACATTCCACAAAGTATAACAAGTTTGCTGAAGTTGATTTCTCTGAACCTCTCAAGAAATGGTTTTACAGGGGTGCTTCCCAGCAACTTTGGTCAGTTGGAGATGTTAGAATCTCTTGATTTGTCAAGAAACCAGATATCTGGTAGAATCCCTCCAAGTTTTTCAAGCTTACATTATCTAGTGTCTTGGACTTGTCACACAACAACTTATCAGAAAGAATTCCACTAAGCACCCAACTTCAAACTTTTAATGCTTCTGCATTTATGGGAAATCTTGGACTCTGCGGGCCACCACTCACGCAAGAATGCCCAGGGGATGGAGCAACTCAAGATCCTGCAGTCCCCAATGGAGATGGAGGTGATCAGACCAAACAAGAAGATGATGGTCTCATAAGCTTCGGATTTTATGTCAGCATGGTGCTTGGATTGATCATAGGATTCTGGGGAGCCTGTGGTACTTTACTGCTTAAGAGTTCTTGGAGATACGCCTATTTCCGTTACCCGGATAATATAAAAGATCGGATTATGTGACAACCGCCATGCACAAGGCAAAGTTGCAGAGGAGACTTCAAAGATAAATGGTGAAGCTATTTCTTTTATTTTAGTGTCATGTTTTTGTGGGTTCTTTCAATATGCAGTGTCGAAATTCAAATTAGCAATATGAGATGATTATCATAACTGATCTTCCTTGATAATACAGGGGTTCCTCCTTTGAAACTCATTTTGTTTTAACATGATTTTATTCCTCAGAAGCTGCTGGCGTGAGGCATAAGCTTTTCTCCAGAAGCTGAAGTTTGAGTGCCAACGTGGAAGCCTCAACTATTTCAACCATGATGTAATATTAAATGTCATAAACTATGATGCTTGTTTGTCTTAAGGATTTTGTATAATGGGCTGCTCTTTTCTGCTGCAGCTGGATATCATATATATAACATATGCTAAGATTTTGACCACAACAACAACAACAACAAAAAAAAACAAAAAAACATATGCTAAGATTGACAACTCTCAGAAACTGGGCTGATCCCACCAAACGAAAATTTTCGCTACATTTTTTAATGTGTTCGAAAATCAGGCTAGGCGGGTCTGGGCGCCTGGGCGGATCGGTCCTTTTTTTAAATTTTTTATCCTGACTTTAAATAAATTAAAAGGCGCGCAGGGAGGCGTGCCTCTTTGCGAGGCGCTGGAAAAAAGCAGCGACGCGTACCTGCCCGGGCGTTTTGCCGTTGAGGTGCCGACAAGGGGCGGTTGAAATGCGCATGAGGTGGCGACGCGTAAGGAGGCGCTGCTAGTTAGGAAGAAAGAGAGAGAGAGAGAGAGAGAGAGAGATGAGATCGAAACAGAGGAAGGAGAAGGCGGCGCTGGGAAGAAGAAGATATCTGACCTAATTTTTAATATACCTAGGATTTTGTAAAATGGGCTTAAACATTGTATTAAAATGGGCCTTCTTTTAAATATAGCAAAATTGGTCTATATTTTTTTTTGCAGTTTTTTCTTTTAATATCAAGTTTACAGAAAATACAAAAGTAAAAGTCAGATAATAGAGGTTAGAAAATTTTAAAGTTTTCTTTTATAAATCATTTTATTTTGCATGATTTTGGTACAAATTTATAATACAAAAATAATTATAAAAAAACGAAACACCTAGGCGCCCTCCTAGGCCCCAATTCCCTGCATGCCGCCCGCCTACCACCTAGCGATTCTTCAAACCAAACATGTTGATTTCAAATTTATAATAGACATCAAATTCAAATCTTAGTATCTAAACGGGCCCTAAACTTTCATCTTTTATTTTTATGTGAAGCATGAAGCAGATAGATAAGCCCTAAGCTTTCATCTTTTATTTTTATGTGAAGCATGAAGCAGATAGATAACGCCACACAACACGGACATGCCCAAACTTTCAAAGAATGGCTATGCTCTATAAAACAAACTGTTCAATGATTTACACCTACATAAGAATACAAGACAACCTGCTCAGATGAAAGCCAGAGTGAAACCTGTTCAAACAAACCCCGAGTGAACTTCATTCAACCTCAAGCACACCAAGAACAAAGAGATCAAATCAGAAACCTTTATGACATAGATGTGACTCGGACAGAGTTATCAGCTGATCCTGTTACGAATAGAGGCAAAGTTGGGTGCCAATCCACAGTAGTTATTGCAGCACTGTGTGGGAGAGTTCTCAACCCAATAGCATGACCCCGAACCTGAGCCAAATTTATCAAACAAAACTTCGTGTTAAAACAGAAGCATCACCTACATCTTACAAAGCATGGCAATCAGGGAAATCCAAGACCACCAAAATGTTCAGTTTGGTTTCTAAGTCAATAATCCAAGTGCGACCCATCTTTGGATGGCTAGATTCAATATGCTTGGCAAGTTGACTCTAATCGAGTAGCACTGTACAATGTACATGACGAAGACACACAACACACACATATGAAGAAGAGAGAACAACCTGATATATGGGTGCTCTTACTAAACCAGAGGTTACCAACAGTCTCCTCCCATTAGCATCTAAAGCCATTTCATGTCTGCAAATTTTTGAGCTCTCAGGGTCACAGAATCTACAGTATGGAAGAGAGTAAGTTAGTTAATCAGGTGTATGCCCAAGTATTTTTGTTTGATAAGACTGCTGTGCAACCAATTTCTATATGCCAAAGAAGGTACCGGCTACAGTTTCTTGACCAAAGGATTTGACCTTGGTTTTGCAAGCTCCATTCAAGAACCTGACACCACAAAACCAGTTCTTTTAAGTAAATACTTTTAAGATAACAAAACTATAAGGCCATCGACAGTTCAAATAATGATGGGGACAACATTTCAAAATGCAAAGTTGGGAAAATGAATGTAAAGCACTTGCCTTTCCATCTACTCCCAAACTGAAAATACTTGTCTCATCAGGCCCAAAAAGAATGGAGCTTATAGCAGAGTCGTGTGCTGGCCACCCAGTTATTTGTAGACCGGCAGACATATCTTTGGCTTGTTAAGGTGTTCATATATCTATCAGCATGTACATCTGCAGGAAACCTCAGCTACAGAAAGGGGCAACCCATATATGATTCTACAAAGACATGGGCTTGACCATACAGTTAAATGCCCTTGTTGAGGGTGATTTAACCATCTTGGAAGAATAAATAACACTCGGGCAATGCAAAAGTGTCAAAAACAGGGGTTTTCTGCTCTTCTGAAAATCATTTACCATCTAATTTCCTACAATTTATACCAATCCCTAAAATATATGTGAGGATACCAAACATGTGAATCATTCCATCAGTTGCAGCGGCTGCTAAAATCTTTCCATTGTGATTGAAACTAAGGGATGTAATTGCAGGTGGATCTTTACCAAGAGGAAGAACTGTCTTCATGAAACCCAAAAGGTTATTTAAGGCATAAAAATACAAGTTTCTTCTCACAAAAAGAATAAGGCATTAAAACATAAGTGGCTATAGCACATACCATAGCCTTCCATGTCTTCATGTTCCACACAGTTAATGAAGCGAACCCGAGACTATCAAGATGACTTGATCCATGCCTACAAGGACAATAAACTCCTAATTCTGACATGCATCAAAATTTAATACCCCAACACACACATATAAGGACATAGATGCATGTACTTAAGTTATAAGATGAATCTTTTCATGATCCAATTATAATCATTTCACAGCATGGTGCTCATACCACACTTCAGTTGAAAGGGATTGTTACAATAGGGGCAACATTTTGGTCAAACACAGAGTCTGGCATATGAACAAAATAATAAGATTACAGAACATACCCCTTGGATGCTGCTGCAGAAACAAATATTGGCTCTACAGGGCTGCATTTTATATCCAAAACACTGTAGCAGGGAAAACAAAGGTAAATAGCAGCATCAAGGAGTACACAATAGTACCAGTAATATTAGGAAGAACCTTGGAAATGCTTCACTCGTGTTAAGATCGCAGACAACTCTCTTTGCATCGACATTCCATGCTTTAATGCCTCCATCAGCAGTGCCTATGAGAAGCTTTTGTCAAAAAGAAAAAAAAACACTTAAAAGTAGATAATTCCAATCTCAAATAATCAGAGTATGATTTCAAGGCCAAGCAATATTTGAGTTCATTATGAAAATCCAATCTGCATACCAATCGGTCAGATTTACATTCCCAGTCAAGTGACAATATTTTGGCTCCGCAATAAATGGTTGCATTTCTAGATGCCGGAGTTGATGAGTCATATGTCCATATCCTATTTAAATATGTACGAAGAAATACAGATTATAAATCTGGAACCAGCAAACAGTCAAGGAGTTGAGAAATCAGCCAAAAGTCAAGGAGTCGAACAATGAACACATCACACACAATAACATAGGCAACCCAAGGAATACAACACCTAGGTGTGGACAGATCTGTGAATATGTGAGGGGCCACATTTAACAGGTCACCTAGGCAGCCGACACATGATACAAAATAAAAGGCAATGGGATTAAGTAGAGTTGACAGCCAAGGTTATAACCATGAAATAATACCTTACTGTGCCATCTTCAGATGCGCTGGCTATATTGTTTCCAGATGCAGAAAAGCGGCAGCGAGTGATTGGACTTGTGTGGCCCAAAAATGTCTCCTACAAACCACAATGATTCAAAAGTTACGGAGTCCCCAATTAAATGTAAACTAGTGAAGCTAAAGAAAAAATCAGAAAAAAAGAAAAAGAAAAGGGGGAACTACAATATGCAGAAGCTCAAAGAATAGAAATATGAGTTTGTAAAATCAACAAAAACTAATCAAGCTTTAGACGCAACTTACCTGAAAGTCCACTTTAACTTCAGGGAAGTCTTCTACATGGCTTTCCCTGCCATTTTCTGCCACATGACATTCAATAGTTATCAACAAATAATCTGAGAAATAGTTACCGCACTGTCCCCAATACACCAAGGAAAAGAAGTCAGATATAGCTGTTATCTACCATTATACGGCCCATCCTGGAACAGCTGAATAGTATCAGCAGTTCCACCATCTCCTGCACGAAGGCTTGATTGAGAACTTAAGTTAGGATCAGATTTGGATATGTTAATTTCTGGTCGAATTCCAGCAGGTCCAGCCACAATCCAATCTTGATTCACCTCTGCTTCCCCTATTTGAAAAGTAGCAGGAGGGCATGTTTCCCGAGTATCTTTAGATATAAGACGATTTTCCTCATACACCACACTTGATGAACTCTTGGTTTCTTCAGTGCTTGCATCCACTAATGATGAAGCATTACTGAGTTTCACAAAAATAAAAGAATTAAGAAGGAAAAATAAAAAATAAAAAATCATAGGCTCACTACTGATGAACCCTTGCACCAATTATACACAATTCATTAAACATGATAGTCTCAGCTCTTAAGGGGTGAAACAATTAAAAAAATTTACCTTCTTAACTGCCATAACTGACCATCTTTTTCCTCCAACAAAGCCTGAAGTTCTGACAACTTGAGATTAAGTTGCTTGATGTCTTTTTTTAGACGGTTGACAGTAGTCTTCTCTGAATTGATTTTCAAAAGGGCTGGCATGCGTGGTTTAGTTAAGGGCATTTCTTTTTCAAATCTTAGTCATATTGTACCATAAAAGGGGAATAACCAACGAAAAACCAGCCAACAGTAGAGGAGGTTACTTGCTTCCACTTGAAATATATAAATTCACAATAAAATAGAGTAAGGTTCATCTAAACAAAGATAAGTTTTTATAGGCTAGTTGTGAAGTTCTGATAATATCATAAATTTAAACAAAGTCCCTACCATAAGCAGTCCACTCTCAAATGCCGATATATATATATATATATATATATATAACTAATTCCGAAGGATATGAGTACCATTGAAGATCTCACTAAAGAAGTTCCTCACAGATAAACGCAAGGCCTCATACCATTCCTTTGAAAAATATATACGAAACTCAGGATCAGAGTTTGGTTTCTTTACATATGGAATGGCTGCATCACACAATAAAAAGTGTAAATGAAGGAGAAAGTAGTTCACTATACCAAATTAGAAAGATGAAATGACAAACCCACCAAACCATGCAGCCCAGTCCTGGCCCCTTCGCAACAAATCATTCCCATTCATTCCAAAGAACTCTAAAACTTTGTCCCTCCTTCCTGACTGGATGGCACTAACAACATAGTAGCGTAGAATAGACACCTCCAATTTAGAAAGAGTAGTCAAAAGTACCGTCTCGGATGATGAAGAGAGACACTGCTTGAAAAAACTGAACAGGCCAACTAACTTTTCTGCCTGAAACTTAGGTACATACACCGAGAAGATCAAATCCATTATCTTATCCACTTGAAACCCTTTACCGATATCCGTAGATAATTCGGAATCAAAAGCTTGCAAAGTGTTAGTGAATCCTCTAAAGACAAGAAACTCCCTCACAAGCTCCTCGGCATACTGCATATTCTCCATCTTGTCCAACTGGACCAACAAACATAAATTCCCACCTTCTTCATATGTGAACAAAACGCATAAAAGAAATTACATTTCATTATTTATCACTGATAAAATTCTGATTATTCCAAGCTATATGACATGCTTATTTATTTAATTTTTTTTTTTTTTTTTTTTTTTTTTTTTTTTTTGTAAAAAATTGCAAAAAAAAAAAAATATCTCACATTTTGCCCCAGAAATAAACAATCAGTCACCATTTATAATTGAAGTAAAATATAGCATTAAGTTGGCAGCATAAATAAGAAAGACAAGGGGTTAAAGAGATCTAGGGTTTACAGCAATTTGAAATTTGAGGAATTTGCATTGAAAGAATGGTACCTTCTTCTGGAATTGCAGATGAAGCGCAGGGGTTTTGTGATTTACAGAAGGACCTGGGAAGTCCGATTAGCTTTCCCAGCTGGAAGGTAGAGTAGGAAAATATAAGTAAAAATGAGATTCGCGCTTAAAATATAACTAATTTATTTGCTTTCCTTTACCATTTTGTTATTATTTTGCTTCCTTCTTTTTATTGGCCTACTACTGGAACCAAAATTTTATTTTGGTCTCACTAGTGGGCCACTTTTGGGCCTACATTGAATTCAAATTTATGAATTTAAAGCCCAAGTGGACTATGACCTTATCTCACCAACGATTTAAATATAAATATAAATCAGTAAGCAGTCTAACTCATTGGAAAATGGGTTTGACTTGTAGACCAGATGTCTGCGATTCGAACTCCCATTATATCTTAGTTTTGTAAGTATGTGTGAAAAACCCCCCTCCCCTATAGTTTAGACTCTCGATTGTACTAAAAAAAATATACCTAAAAAAAAATATTGATGTCGTTCCAACAAAATCAAAATGAAAAAAACGAAGAAAAAAAAACATCAATGTCATTAATATTACACATTTTTGGACAAAAAGAGAATTTTTAATGACGAGTTCATCTACTGTATGAATTTGCATGGCATACGTACGCTTGCAAATCTAACAGTTCATAAATCTAAACTATGAACTGTTATGAATAAAAGAACCCCTCAATCAAGATCCAAAGGTTACAAAAAGGTCACTCTCTAAACTTGATCTTATAATTATATAAGATACAAATTTTGCAGCGTTCGTCTCCCTATATCCGCAGGGACTTTTGTTTTGGAGGTACGTGTATAAGCTTATATCAATCCATTTCTAGATTTGGAAATCAAATAGACAATAATTTCATAATTGAACCACGTTTGAATAGCTTTAAAATTATTTAGGACTTTGGCCATTAGCCGATACACAATGTATTGTCAGTTTCCTTTTATTTGCAGGCTAATGGACAGCTGCATATGGACAGTACATTCAATATCAACTCAAGCGTGTCTTCAACCTACAAACGAGAAAATAACTATACTACGAAGAAAGGGCAACGTAACCACAATGCCACGCATCTCTCTCTCTCTCTCTATCTCTCTCTCTCTCTCTCTTCTATCTATATAAGAACACCTCTTTCATATCATTAGCATACAAAACAACATTTCTCACCAAAACTTCTCAAACCACTTAAACCTAGGAAATGGCTTCAAAGCCCACAATGTCCCTAGCATTGCTCTCTTTAGTGGCAGTGCTAGTTCTGGCTGTGGGGGCTAATGCAGGTGGAATTGCCATATATTGGGGTCAAAATGGAAATGAAGGCACATTAGCAGAAACTTGTGCTTCAGGGAATTACCAATTTGTAAACATAGCTTTTCTTTCCTCATTTGGAAATGGCCAAACCCCCGTGATCAACCTCGCCGGTCACTGCGACCCATCGACCGATGAATGTACCAAGTTAAGCCCACAGATAAAGTCATGCCAAGCTAAGGGGATTAAGGTCATTCTCTCCATTGGAGGAGGTGCTGGCAGCTACTCTCTAACCTCTGCTGATGATGCAAGGCAAGTTGCTACTTATCTGTGGAACAACTTCTTGGGAGGACACTCCTCTTCAAGGCCATTGGGAGCTGCTGTTTTGGATGGAATTGACTTTGATATTGAGGGAGGGACCGACCAGCATTGGGATGACCTTGCAAGGTACCTCTCTGGATATAGCAAGAAAGGCAAGAAAGTTTACTTGACTGCTGCCCCACAATGTCCCTTTCCTGATGCTTGGGTTGGAAATGCCCTTAAGACAGGCCTCTTTGACAATGTTTGGGTTCAGTTCTACAACAACCCTCCCTGCCAGTACACTTCCGGCGATGTGGCCAATCTCGAAGACTCGTGGAAGCAGTGGACTTCAGCCATTCCTGCACGCAAGATTTTCTTGGGATTGCCAGCTGCACCTCAAGCTGCTGGCAGTGGATTTATTCCTGCAACTGATCTCAACTCACAAATCCTTCCAGCTATAAAAAATTCGGCTAAGTATGGAGGTGTCATGCTCTGGTCCAAGTATTATGATGATATCACTGGATACAGCTCCTCCATCAAGAATCATGTCTAGAATTTAATTTTATGTTTACAACTTGAAACAAGGATCCTTATATGGCCCTTGACAATATAAATATGTATCCTATATCCGGTTTATGATATGTCAATACTATTTCCTAGCTTTTTATGAAATATAATATTTTGTAAAAAGAATCCAATGAGGTTTCTAACTTTGATCAATTCAGCTAGTGGAACATACAAGATTATGCAACTCTAGGATTTTCTATTCCGCAACGGCTATAACCCGATTTCTAGCCACATCCGTTTGACTATCTAGGGGACATTGTGGAGTAACTACATGTAGCTTGCGATGAAGAAGGATGGGTATTGATGGTGAAGGAGCTGAAGTGATTGAACTCTCTCTTCATTGCTCTGTATACATGATCTAGGCCTTCATCAATTAACTCCAAAACTGTCTGGGGCATTGGAGGCATGTTGATGTCCACTGATCCTTCCAACATTCTCACCACATCCCCCATTGTAGGTCTCATGATAATCTCATCTTGAATGCACCAAAAGGCAACTTTCAAGGCTCTCATGAGTTCTTCTGCTTCCACAGCTCCTTCTAGTCTCCTATCTGCAACTTTCATGGGATTTCCACTTGTCATCTCCTACAAGCATAATTGAAATTCATTAGATAAAACCAAATTGTCCACAATATTTGAAGGAAAACAGAATTTTATATAAGAGAAAAAAAATTATATGAAATTTCGAGGGATACCTTAAAAGCCCATCCAGGATAGAAAAAGTCCTCTGCATCAAATGACATGTCAAGGTTCCTTCTACCACCAACGATCTCTAGGAGAAGCATGCCATAACTATAAACATCAGCCTTCACAGTTATAGGCCGGTTACTCACCCACTCTGGAGCCAAATAGCCTCTAGTTCCTCTGACCATGGTAACAACCTGTGAGTGCTCTTTTCCCATCAACTTAGCTAGTCCAAAATCAGAAACTTTAGGACAGAAATTTTCATCCAGCAGAATATTTTCTGGTTTGATGTCACAATGTATAATTCGATCTCGGCATTGCTCATGAAAATATGCAATTCCCTGTGCAGTACCCACAGCTATATTGAAGCGTGATTGCCAATCCAGCAGCTTGTCTCGGGAATAATTTGAGGAGAATATCCATTTGTCCAGTGACCTATTTTTCATGAACTCATAAACTAAAAGCCTGCCAGCACAAGAAAATATGTTAAGCTTTTATAAACTAATGTCAAATTGTTAGATCAATTGAATGCAGTATCTTAGAATGTTTAGTAGACTATCATATGCTCAATTTTTATTGCTTACCGGTGTGAGCCCTCGGAGCAGTAGCCACACAGACGAACCAAGTTCATATGATGCATGGAGCCAATGGTGTTCACTTCAGTTATGAACTCCTTCTCTCCATGCGGCAAAACCCTTTCAAGTTTCTTTACTGCAACCAAAGTGCCATCTGCAAGGCTTCCCTTGTACACACTCCCAAAGCCACCTGAAAAGTAGCACATCATTACTATGTACAACAAACATTACAAGACTGCACAAAAATTAGTACTCGAAGTCAAAGGTGTAGCCCCCCTTTAATATAGTCCATACTTACCAGTTCCAAGAAGCTGTGAAAAATTCCAGGTACGAATTTGTAAATCACGGTAACTAAAATTAAGTGGAGCACCAGACAAGATTATTGAGCTCTCCAGGGTTCTCTTCAAAGATCTCTTCCTATGCACATTGTAATATAGCAACAAACAGAGGAGGACTATAAGGAAGGTCATGCTGAGAACAATAGGAATAACCAAAACCTTTTCTCGCCGATTACTAGACCCCTTTGAAGACTCCCCGGATCCTCTAGCATTGCCCTCTGGTGTCACTGAGACATTAGACCTAACCTTCATAAACAGGGTCGAGCCAGGGTCCCCATAACCACCAAAATCCATGCTCCTCAAAACCCAACAGTAAGGCTTTTCATCATCAAGCCCGTAAACTGAAGCAACACATTCACAATCATGTAGACAAATATCTCCACACTTTGATACATTCTCAACATCACTGTAGTTTGCTATGACTGAAAATTCTGGAAAGTAGTAATTGGTTTGCTGCACCGTTGAAATTCTAAACTGGGATGGCTGATAATTATTCCGTAAATCACATTTTCGTATCAATGATGAATTCTCTGAACACTGACTTTCCCCATTCACCTTATAAGTCCCTGACAGGCATGAGCAAGAAGCATTAGTCTTGCTCCTGTCCAAATTACATATCCCATTGCCACAAATTCCAGCAATCTCACATGGTGTTGAAACTGCAGCCCACTCTGGCACCCATTGCCTTGTCCCATTAACATCATCATCCCAACGATACAAACGCAAATTCCCATTACTCTCAACTGTCAGCCTCCGAAGAACTGATAATCTGTTTGATATGTTTGATATGTTTGATGCTGCTGATAGTCCTCCATCATCACCATCATTTTTGTACACATAAACAGCTCCATCAGATGACTCCCCATATACAATTCCAAAGCTTCCTGCTTCGTCTAAAACTGCGACAACATCCCCAGTCACATTTGATATGTCTGGTCCATTCCAGTAAGAATAGTTATAGTAAGATTCAGGGGAGGAATTGTATAAAGTTTCTGGCATATTGTAAGTCAAGGCAAGGCTTAAAGAAGTGCGCTGTTGAAGCATTTTGAGTGCATAATAACCACCATGTGAGGGTGATTTAGAAGTAGTGAGCTCTAAAGAGACTGAAAGAGGTTGGTTTGGGAGGAGAGTATCAGATGGGTGTGAGAAACTCTGCCAAACAGGGCGGTTGACACGGTTGTAGAGAATGAAGTTGCCGGATTCTGCCAGGGTTGCGCCTTCAACACCAGCGCCAGAGGTGTTTGATGTCCACGCGGTAGCATCTCCGTCCATGAGTACAAGGTTTCCGGTTGTGTCCAGCTCCAGGATTGCATTGTTGGAGACATCAGCGTTTCTATATATTAGATGATTGAGAGAAAATGAAATTTGTTGGCTTAAGTGATCATGATCATATTTACCTGCAAAAGCTTTTGCAAAGACTAAAGATGGGGAATTGGTTTGTGATCAAAAATCAGTAACCATCCAATCTTTTGGAGACTTCCTTAATTCTTGGACTAGGCTAGTATGCAAAACATACATAAAAGTAGACTTCATTGCGCTGTTCTTAATATCATTAGCTGTAGCATTTTCATGCATCTTAAGACTTTTCATGGAGACATGTCAGAAACCAATTTGATCAAATATTATTCAATGAAAAAGAAAACAAAAACACACTAATAAAATAATTATCAATGCATGACTCAGCTAAACTCCTCGTGAAATTTGAAACTAAAGACTAAACCCCTGCATCTGCATTGCCATAGTTTTCTAAAGGGACTAAAACGACGAAGTTTTTGATGATTTACCTTATAGCAGACCAAACTATGGTTCGGTCCCCGGGATGCTCTGCAAACCAAATTGCCAGTTGAAATCTGTCGTGTTCAGCCGTTGGAGTGAAGCCAAAAGCAAATGTGCCATTATCTGAGACCAGTGTTTGGTTCTCTCTAGCCAACAGCCTAGAACCCAAACCAATCTGGCTAGCCGAGCAGGCATCAAACCCAGCTACAACCAAGAAGAACAATAAAACCAAACAAGTAGAAAAATAAGTAGAAGCCATTGGAACCCAAAGAGAGGTGATCAAGCTAGAAAAAGGGTGGTTGTGTCTTATTTATTTGGAAAAGTGGGGAAACTCAAGACAGACTAAATTTGAGAGATCATGACACGTGTAAATGGAGGTCGGTGAGCTAAATTTTGAAAAAAGTAGCACCAAATGGGTCGGCTGATAGGTGCAATCAGATATTGGACACGTGGTTAATGATCAAACCGAAAGGCATGAGCCCATATTGACACGTAGTTGCAATTATTTGCATGAGAATAACTCTGGGTTGACTTTCACACCGTATCAATGGGGATAGATGGTGACTGGTTGAGCTCAATCTCTTTTGGTACCGATGGTTGTACATGATATATATAATAACATTTTGGAGGCTAAAGTTCAAGATATGTTGAAATTCGCAACTAAATTAGTAGGCTTAAATTGACATCAAAAGCTCAAATATTGCGTCAACGGATTTATAGCCTAATGATTGGTAAGAGTACTTGCCTACAGATTAGTAGTGTCTGGTTCAGATCCTAATAGCACCTGCCTATTTCTCTTCCAATCTTAGACAACAACAAAAAAACACTCAAATATTGCAACTGTTTTCGAAAAGGAGGGGCCACTTGGGCTCGTAGACACAAAAAAGCCCAATGGAAAATTTGGGCCGAATTGACCCTAACCTTTTGGCGCTCTTTTCTTTTCCCATACGATTTTGAAGCCAGTCAAAACGACGTCACGAGCATCTGGCACGCGCACTCCGCGCGCTTTCTCTCCATCTTCCAACCCTCCCAATTCTAGGGTTAGGCATTGTCTGAAGACTCGTTGGATCAGATTGTTCACTCAATTTTCAATTCCAGGTTATCTCTCTCAAATGCAATTTCTGTTACTATACGTACATACACACATATTGATGGACGAATAATAAATCGGTGACCTGGAAAGATTGGATCTTTGGGTCTGAAAAGAAGTCGTCTGTTACCAAGACCCTCCCTTTGTTTTTCCTTTTTTTTTGGACCTAAACATTGAAGCACGTTGAATTTTTTTATGTACTTTAGGGAGATTGAATGATAATATATTGTTATTATGAATAAACTTTGATTGCTGATGAGCATTCTTGCAGAAGTAAACCGCATATTATGAATGTTTGGAATCTGTGGCGTTTGCTTATTGTCTTGAAAGGGGGACACGAGGGGGGACCAATTGTTTTCGAGTCACTCTCTTTTTCTGGGTTTTGTCACTAAAACCTGGGTTCAGTCACTAAAACCTGGGTTCATGTCCATTTCCTTATCCGACAACCCGGGGACCCCTGTCTGGTATTTCTTGTTCTTCTAGCCAATTCTTTACATAAATTACATCAATTTTGAATGAAAAGGTTGCAACTTTCTCTAACAATTCATTTGAGCTTGAGAAAAATAGTGTTTAGTGGATGAAAAAGCTTGGAGTTTCCTCACCAAGAAAACTTTATGATATTTTTCTTGTTCCTTTTCTACTACAGATTTTAGATACTTGGATTTTACTTATTTGAGGACAAAAATAGAGCTATTTATGACAATGGTCATCATTTGATTCCATCCATTTGTGTTTTGAACTGAATCAAAATTTATAAGTTATGCATAAAATTTAAATCTTTTGATAGCCAAGTTCACAAAACCAATCTAATTGTATTATATTTCCATAAAAAAATTTAAAGTATTATAATCATGTTCTAGTGTTAATATTGATGCCCTACAAATCCTAGGCATGTGATTAACTATCAAGTTCATATATATATATATACTAATAACAGCAAAGACCAAGTTCATAAAACACAATAATGTATAAAACTAAACTAAACCAGATTGTTATATGTCAAGATAATCATGATGTTTAAACTTTTCTTTTTCTGTTCTGTTCTTTCATTTTCCCTTTTACTAGGTAGGTGTGGTCTATTGAACCTAACAAAGGAAACACTCCAAGTTCTGGTTCCTCTTTCCTCATGCTCGTGGTCCAAAGTACATATGCATAGGCTTGCAGGACTATGAGACTATGAGTTTGATAATAATATATAGATTAACAGTCAAAAGAAATTTTCAAGGCCTTCATTGCTTTTGTAACTTTCCCCCCTAAAAATCTGCTGAAATCACAACAGGGTACGTATAGTCAGATATAACCATTTGGAATATTTGCTTGTTTTGCTCAGCCCCTTCTAGAACCTCATTACAGCTCTGCGACATTCATAATTTATATTTATGCACAAAACTAATTTTGTATTCAGAACACCATTAGTTGCATACAGCATATTATGATTGTGACATAATAGAATAGTATTATACAACGTTTAGGTTGAGCCCTGTGCTGAGGTAGTTAGCAAGTGAGCATCACATGGTGAAATCATCCTCTCAAAGTGGCCTAAAACCCTCCCAAATTTTTTGATAACTACAAGATAACATCAAAAGACAAAGACAAAGCAGCGCAAGCTAATCAAAATCAACCGCATTTTCCAGGATATGTATAATATATAGTTTTTTGATGAACAGGGTATTTATAATATATAGGTTATGACTTATGAGAGAATATTTGGAAGTCTTAAGACGGCACGGCTTACTTTTTTTTTTTTTTTTTTTTTTCTTTTTTTTTTTGTTTTTTTTGTTTTTTTTTTTTTTTGTTTGGGGGGGGGAAAGGAAAGGAAAGGTGGCTCAGTTGGCTTGATAAATAATGGAGCATATATATATATGAATCTGCTTTCATTAAAGTTTGAAACACTAATTTCTTATTGTTACTTTCTACTTATAGGATGTTCAAATGCATATGTGACTCAGTTTGATTTAGTTTCTAAGGCCGGCTTAGCAATTAAATTAATGCAGCATGCATGAACCTGTTTGTGTTCTGTTTCGCAGTTGTTTTAATTTAATTGAAAGCAAAATAAACATGTAAAAGGAAACAGTCTTCTGTGTGAACTTTAAGAAGAACAATGATTAAAAGGCAAAGTGGGGTTAACTATGGATGCAACAGTTACACATTATAGATGCTTGTGGGGGCTCACATTTCTCTGTTTCTTTCCTCCTTTTTCTCTTTTCCAAATTATCAAAATTTAATGTCTCTTGCCAGACAACCACATACACAACTGTTGGAGAGAGAGAGGATATTAAGGTATATATATGGGGCCTGATTTTCTAGCAAATAGCAATTTCCCCCACTTTACATATTCATATCTTCCTCATACTGCTAGCTAGGCCTCAATTCAATAACAAGGTGGAAGCCATGGAAGCATCTCAGCCTCTTTCCATTGAAAGCTTTTCATACAGTTGGTTAGTGAACCTGAAACCTTCTTTGGAAAGCCTTGATAATTCTCTCAGAACCTCACTTGATGCGTCCGATGAATCTTCCTTCATCGAGATGGACCCAACAATGTCACCCTCTAAGAGATTCTTTATGAATTCCCAGCAGGATTTCAAATTTGACTTCCCTGCTGTCTCCCAATCTCCTCTCACCACTCTTGTTCATGCAGATGAGCTCATTTCCAATGGCTACCTTTTGCCGCTTTCTGTTGACTCATTGAAGAACATGGAGGCATATGATCATTCGGCCTCAAAGTCCACTGGTGCAAATTTTGCAGCCTCTTCATCACATTCAGCAAGAGATGTTGATCCAACAGATAATTCTAGAGACTCCTCTAATTCATTGAGAAGGTGTAGAAGATTATCGAGACGAATATTGGAGAAGTACTTGAATTTTCTTAGGCCGTTGTACAAAAAGATTAGAGGTGATCATCATCATCATCATCATCATCACAAAGCAAATCCTAAAGCTGGATTTAGTGCTGATAAAAGGAGCCATTCAGTGAAGAACTGCAGGGTGCATTCATCAGAAACTAGTCAATCTCCCAGAATAAGTGTAGCCTATTCTGCCGATGATTGGCGGAGGTCTTGTGATTCCGAGAGCTCAATTTATGAGGCAGTTCTCCATTGCAAAAGATCCATAGGTATGCTTGCTTGTCTTCATCACTTTGGATCAGTCTCATCTTTTTTTTTTAAATATATTTTTTTAAGAGAAAAAAAGAAGCCAGTTAGCTAATATGCTTTTATTAATTTCAGGAAATTAAATGGATTGAGGGATGTGGTACAAAGCAGTGAACAGAAGAAGAAAGGGAAAGGAAGAAGAATTCACATGGGAAGAGAGGAAATGAGAGATAAGTCCAGAAGATCATCAGCCACTTGTTCTTTGTCATCTTCCTCTCGTCTGAATATATATTTCTTGGATGATAATGTAAATTAATTTTTGTCTTAGAATCTGTGTGGATTCCGAGCTTAGGGAAAATTGGGACATCCTAATTTTTCTTACCCTTCCTTTCCTGTTCCTTATTCCTGTAATATTAATTTAAATCAGGATTAATTAAGATTAATTTTGTTCATGGCACAGTTCCATTCAAATGGTTTGAAATATAACGAATGAAGCAGGCCACCACACCACACCCTTCAGGACCAAAGGGATATTACTCGACATTTGACATGTCAAATCCATCTTATGTAATGTTTTCTAGTTAGGATATATACATGAAATTCATAACCAGTTGTTGCCTCGTCAGTCCTTTCTCACCTTTGCTCCACGTGCCACAGTAGACATTTTTCAAAACCGGCAAGCAGAATATTATCTTTAAACGAATACAGAGTTTGGGAATAATTGATTGGCTATATGACAACTGGTCCTTGCATGTTCATATTTTAGATTTTCCAACAAAAACCAACAGAAAAATGTGTATCAGTTGTGAAAAGAAAGACATCAAATGAACTTAATTCTCCCATGTATACATTGGTTCCTGTCGAGAATCTGATATTTGATGCTCTTACAAGCTTCCAAGCTTCAAATTAATTATGGCGAAGAGACGTACAATAGAGGCAAAGAATTATTAGCTAAAAGAAAAAAGAAGGGTAACATAACAGATAGTCTGTTCTCTGTTGAGGTTGAAAGACATATGGAATGTAGTTTTGGTGTCATTTGAGGTAATCAGTGATATGGTAGACCCCTCTTTACAGTTGACACCAAACCATATGGATTGGTTGTTACATAATCATATCTATGGGCTACCTCTGTGCCCAAAAACCAATATTGAAGCATACATTTCTGATTTGCGAGCTCATATATTGCAGTGATGCTGGCTCATAAACAGACCAAAATGCTCACTTTGATGCTTTGATTGAATTGATTATTATTTTGATGTTGGAGATCGTCACAGTCATACGTATGGGACCCCAAAAAGACAGCCAACAAGTACATCCACCTCATCCTCAAAGCACTAAAAATCTTGTCAGAGTTAGTAACACAAAAGGATTGATGAGTTGGGTTATTGAGTTTCTGCTCTGATATATCAAACAGTGAAGTAAAAATGTCAAATGCAACCAATACTACATTGTCCGAGCTTAACCAATTACATAGCAAAAGGTCTCGGTACTATTAGTAGTAGAACCACTCATAATATGTTGTATTTTATTTCATTAAATTTCTGATGTGAGACTACATTGGACAACATATGAATGGTCCCCTTTTAAGCACATGCATGCCCATTTGTTGTTTCAATCAGTTGAAGTTGAAGCTCTCAATTTTCGGTGTGGCCTAATATTAGCCGGTGAGGGCTAAGATAAAGGAGATGATCATAAGCTTGTCACATGTCAAATAAGCAAGACAGGGAGACATAGACAAAGTGTGCCTAAGAGAAATGCCAAAGTTGGATGACATTACTTCTCTGTTTCTTTCCACTTCTTTTTATGTCCTTGCTTTTGGAATTTTCTCTTTGGTGGCCAAAGAAGCACGACATTGAGTAGCTTTATTATCTTGTTTTCCTCTTGTTGCTATAGCTAGCACCTCCTGACCCCCACCCCATAGGCCCTAGGGCCTCCTAGCCTCTGGGGGGACCAAAACTCCATACATGCTACTTGTCGCACCTATTGGTCCTTAGTCACTGTACCAACTAGCTTGACACACTACAAGCTCAAACTCATAACTCCTCTCGTCATCAACCTGTTTGTTTGATTACATTAGAGTCGCAAGTTGAGGATATGGATTAACATTTATGCGATTATGTCCTCAAATTTTTCCGTACACAGGAATGTGGAAAAGTTGCAAACTCATTGTTAAGTCAAGTAATCAAGCACATTTGGCACTTAGTAGCTACAAGAATAGGACTTGATTGATATATATTTACGACCTACACTTGTGTAAAGGGGGGAACTCGAATTTGGGTGCAAAGGGTTGGGCATTGTCTTGACCAACTAGTCTAACCCACGTCTACGAAAAAATAACACATATCTAATTGAGCAATATTACGCAAGTAAGGAACCGAAGACCTAAACTGATAATTATGACTAAGAGTATAAAGAGTTTGATGACCTCCCAAAAACCCAATTAAGAGAAAGAGAGAGGTGATTTGGGAACATCATAAGTTCGTCATTAAGAACCAGGGGGACCAGAAACTTGTTATATGCCGTATGTCGGAAGTATTAAGATCATATGATCCTTGTTACACACAATATTGCTTGTCTCAATGAATAATATGCATATAACTTGTTCCAAGTATTTGCCGAGACCTTGTTTTCTGCAAAGAGAAAGGCCCGGGGGGTCCTAATTAAGAAGTCCAAGTCAATTTGGATTTCATTGTTTGATTGAGTAGAGAAGGAATGATTGTCAATGTAGGCAGCCATCACAGCAGGGAGGGAAGATCCTAATTGCGGATGTCAGTATTTGCAAGAACAGAAAGGCCTACATACATACCCTGTTTTGGATGCCGCTGTTTTTGTGAACAGCCCATGAACACTCTCCTCCTTTTCCATTGATTGACTGGTATTCATGGAATTCTCTAAACCTGTAGCTTTCATTCATCCCATTGCATTGCATCACATTATTTGCTTTGTTATTGAATGCATGAACCTCCCGCTCAAAGCGGGATAAGGCTTTCAGAAATTTAGATTGACAAGTAAGCAGATTATGAACGAACAAAAGTATCATACGGTGCCTGATGTGGACATAAATTAAAAGCTTTTCATATGAAGAAGATAATATAATATCAGGTGCATCTGACCCCTTAATTTAACATTATACCAGTTGCAAACTAGAAATTGTAGCTAGGTTTCTACATAAAATAAGTTGGTAAGTCCTATGGTTTTCTGTGGACACGCAATGGCATGGCAGTGGCACCTGCCCATTAATAGCCAGCCATCTCCAAAAAATGAATGACAATGACCAAGTTGTGCATTTATTTTCTCCTGGTCTTCGTGGGGAAAAAAAGTGGAAACCTAACCTGCAGCAATAAAAGATCATCATCGCATATAATGTAACTCCAAGTCTTTATAAAAACAATATTGTATTAATTATAACGATCAAGTCTTTGCCAAGAAAGAAAATATTGCATCGATCAAGCTTTTAAAGTAAGTTCGAATAATTCATGGATCTGCCACTGTAGACTGAGCTGACATTGATCGATAAGCAGTTGCAGTATGAGGAAAATTTCTCTTTTTTAATTCATTACACAAAATTAGTATGATGTTGCACTCTGGATACATGTTCCTCCCATGTCCAAGTGGCGGACATAATATCATACAAGCTGTTGTTACTCAAAGTCTGAGGGTTTGGCGGTTTCTAAATCTTTGTTTTCTGAGGTTGATTCTTCTGACTGCAAGAAATTTTCAATGTCTTTGGCTTCCGAGCTTCCATGTAGGTGGAACCACTTCTTCTGTGTCTGTGGGTTTGGCTTTCTGTCACTGATGGCAATTGCAATGTCATTGGGGAAGAGGTTTCCGAGCACTAAGCCATGCAAGATGGTTGTTATGAGAAGAGCAATGACTGTGATTGTGGCAATGAGAGAGAGTGTAACAGCCAGAGCTTGTGTTACCACATTTGTGACTTCATTTGAGTATCTGATGGTTGCACTGGCAGCACCAGTCATTGGAAAAGTATATACCCACCATGCCATAGAAAACCTATAGAACCAAATCTAACTGAATGTCAGAAAAAAATATTTAAGTACAAAACTACAAACGGTAGATTCAGTTCAGAGAAATGAAAGTGATATCGTACTTAAATCCTCGGAAAAAGTTAACCCGGACTACCTGTGCAATCAGGAAAAGGTTAAAAGAACAGTTAGCGATACTCAACACCAAGCCAGTTCTTAAGTAGTAATGCAACTTAGTTCAGGTTATACTTGCCAGTGAGAGATAAAGGAACAAGGCAATGAAGTAAGCAATTCGTGAACTGTAATCAAAGGAGCCTTGGATTTTTGCCCATGCCATGGAAGCTACGCTTGGTGCTGCAACAAACAGAAAGAACACAGGATGGAGGTCCTTTGGGATTACTGTCTCATTAGTTGGTAGTCGCTGATAGAGCGTTACGAATAAAACTATGTAGTGCGCCAAACCAACAGCAAAAAAGAACAGTGGTCCTTCTTTGAGTCCCATTGATGCACCAAGCAATGCCCCCACAAAGTTCCCAACAATAGCGAGATGGTTAAAGGGATTAGCCACCTTTGAAAGCCTACGCTGGCCTCCTGACATCCACTGTCCATAGATTTTAAGCTCAAGGCCTAAAATTGGGGTCATGAGGATGTACCAAATTGCTGGATGCAAGTTGTTAGCAAATGAAGGTGGTACTCCAAGAGCTAAGAACAAGAGGACTATCCATGGAGCAAAGAAGAAGTTCATACGGATTGGATGGTAATACTCACGACGAACTGCTTCAAAGTAAAGGCTCACTTTTAGAAGGTAGATGAAAGCAACAATAGCTATCAGAGCAACTGAAATGCACCAAAGTACGAGATTCGTCATTAAGCTCAAGTGGAGAAATTTCATTGAGGCCGAGGTAGACAGGGTTTTCCACAAAATAGCTTGGCTGCTAACACCGAGGCAGATGCTAAATGAAGAAACTGGATATCGGAGAAGAAATGGCCACTGCTTGTCTGCTGGAAGCAGTATTTCTTCTGAGGCCTGTTTGATCAAAAGTTAAGAGGAAAAACTGATACTAAACTTCCCATATGAAAATCCAAAATCATTTACAAGACAATATTACTTTTGTAAGTATTGAAAAAGAACATAACATGAAAGACAGATTACCCTAAGGGTGTCTAGCTCTGGCCCTTCTAATGCATCAAAGTATCGGTCTGCAGGTAAACGTTCTACTTCTTCAATTTGAACAATTACATTCTCTGATTCAGTTTCCCCTGGCGTCTTTCCACCGAGAAGTGTTATTTGCCTGTCAAGTTTCCGGGACCATGTTTTGAAAGTATCAAACCTCTTATCATTCAACCTTTCAATACTTGGATGATCAGGGAAATGTCCAGTTTTAGTTGCCACTTCAAATGCAGAGCTTTTTGGCATTGGCTGAGGGTGAAACTTTAATCCTTTGGGCAGTGTGCTGCTGCTAGCACTTTTAAGTGTGGCAGAGGAAGCTGGAATTCCATTGTTGAAACTTGTTTCACCACTGAAGAGCATTCTTTTGTTGTCCTGCAAATGAAGTTCGATTGCTGATGTTGGCATGCTAATAGAAACAGAAAGCACACTTTGATGAATTTGGGGTTCAGATTCATCAAGTGTGCATTCTAAGGCATCTGTCTCAATTCCCTGACATAAAAAATGCATAACCATTAACAACCTTGTTTTTCTTCTCATTCTTTGGCGGTCGACGAACAAATCGAAGTATGCAATCACATCTTGTAGTAGATAGAGCAGAACGAAATAAATTTCTCAAAGCAAACTATAGTTTTCTCTGTGAATTATGGAAAACACTTAGTTTCATTAGGAATGTTATGTGCTGCAGCCTCTTTTTTAGTTTAATACACATGAAACTTTAAGATAAACTTACTTGAGCTGATGGACTGATAAGCTGAAGCGCACTTGGTTGATACCTATCATTGAGAAATCTTTTCTCCTCACCATTATCAAAGCCAGACACTTCATTTGATGATGCACACCTGATGAGAGATGGAAGTTCAAACGAATTCTCTTTTTCAGAATCCGGATTTTTGCTGTTTTCCATCATAAAAATTTAGAGCACAAAATATAAAGTACATCAGAAGCTGCCAAAGTAAAGTATTTACCAAATTTTGCTAATCGAAACAGCAGACACATGGTGTGGTTTGATTGTAATATAAAGTTGTTTATGTTAATTGGTGGAACACATAAATAGGACGACAAAACATTTCAAGATTCGTGACTGGTGATAGAAAACCACTGAGAACTACATTAGTGTAAATTGTCAAGATATTTTCAAAAGTTTTTTGGTGGTGGATATCCATGTTACAAGATATTTTCAAAAGTTTTTTGGTGGTGGAGCAATTTAGATTGGATATATCGTTTAATGGAGGGGGGGAGGTACATTGGTAATCTACTTAACATATTTAAATGGCATGTACTAGGTAATAGGTATTCATAACCTTAACCTCAATTATTGGTAATCAACAAAATCAATGTACAATTGCAGAAGTCAACAGATGACAAAACATCATAACCACAGACCTTGGTCAAACATGTAATGCAAATTCCACAAAAAAGAAAAAAAAAGAAATATAAATTGTTGCTCAAAATCAATGGTTAATGCCCGTTTGTTTATTATTGTTTGAGTAGATGAAGGAATGAATGTAGCCATTGCAGCACCGGAGATCATGGATGTCAGCATATGCAGGAATAGAGAGCCTTAGTCTGTTTTGGGATGCAGCTCAACAGCCCATGAACAGTGTCCTCCTATAGCTTTCATCCCTTGCATCGTTATAGTTTTGTTTCGGCTCATCACATTGTTCGCTTTGATATTGAGTGCATGAATAACATGTTAATTAAACAAAGTTTTTTTAGCAGGTTATTGAATAAGAGCCACTAAATCTGATAACTAAACCCAAATTTTAATCCCAAAGTTATACAAAGGTCCAGACAATTGGAATTTGTGTCAACACTCCATAATGTGATGAAAGTGCATATAGAGGAAGCTAAGTACTTATTACCATTATCAAGAGCCAAGAACGCAATTAATTAAGCAAGATCATGGATCGGTTTATCTCTTCAAGCGGTTCCGGAAATCTAACTAGTATAACACACAATATTAACAGCACCATTCTCTCACAATGCACTCTTAATGGACTACACAAGATATGATGTTTCACTCTACACATGCTCACTGGAACTATGAAAGTTTAAACCTATGTTCCTCCCATGTTCGAGTAGTGGCATAACATCATTTACGTGTTGTTACTCAAAATCTCAGAGCTAGGTGGCCTCTAAATCTTTGGTTTCTGAACTTGTTACTGACTTCAAAAGTTTTTCGATGTCCTCTAAATCTTTGGTTTCTGAACTTGTTACTGACTTCAAAAGTTTTTCGATGTCCTTTGAGTTCGAGCTTCCGTGTCTAAGTTGGAACCATGTCCTATTTGGTTTTAACTTTCTGTCACTGATGGCAATTGCAATGTCATTGGGGAAGAGGTCTTGGATCACAAAACAATGCAAGATGGTTGTTATGAGAAGAATGGTGACTACGATCGTGGCGGTGAGAGAGAGTATGACAGCCAGAGTTTGTGTTACCACATTTGTGACCTCATTTGAGTACCTGATGGTTGCAATGGCAGCACCAGTCATTGGGAATGTATATGCCCACCATGTCAAAGAAAACCTATAGATCCAGATGACAGTGAATGTTAGGCATTTGAAGTATAAATGTGCAATATTATTTTCAGGTTATGTAGAGAAATTAATGGATGTGATATCTTACTTAAATCCTCTGAAAAAGTTAACCCGAACTGCCTGTACAAGCAGTGAAGAAGGATTATAAAAAGTTAAGAATACTAGTCTTAATAAAATAAATGAATCAATAATCTATATTATCTTGGTAGTCCTAGAGTATTGGGACTTGATTCAGGTTATACTTGCCAGTGAGAGATAAAGGAACAAGGAAATGAAGTAAAAAATTCGTGAACCGTAATTGAAAGAGCCTTGGATTCTTCCCCATGCCATGGAAGCTACACTTGGTGCTGCAACAAACAGAAAGAAAACAGGATGGAGGTCCTTTGGGATTACAGTCTCGTTTGTTGGAAGCCTCTGGTAGAGAGTTACAAATAATACCATGTAGTGAGCCAACCCCACAGCAAAGAAGAATATTGGTCCTTCTTTTAGTCCCATTGACGCACCTAGCAATGCCCCCACAAAATTCCCAACAATTGCGAGATGGTTAACAGGATTGGCTACCTTTGAAAGCCTACGTTGGCCTCCTGACATCCACTGTCCATAGATTTTAAGCTCAAGGCATAAGATTGGGGTCATGAGGATGTACCAAAGAGCTGGATACAGGTTGTTAGCAAATGAAGGTGGCACTCCAAGAGCTAAGAACAAGAGGGCTATCCATGGGGAAAAGAAGAAGTTGACACGAACAGGGTGGTAATACTCACGGCGAACTGCTTCAAAGTAAAGGATCGTTTTTAGAAGGTAGATACAAGCAACAATAGCTACAAGAGCAACTGAAATGCACCACAGAACTAGATTTGGTATTAAGCTTAAGTGGAGGAATTTCGTGGAGGCAGAGGTAGGAAGGGTCTTCCACAAAATAGCTTGGCTGCTAACACCGAGGCAGATGCTAAATGAAGAAACAGGATACCGGAGAAGAAATGGCCATTGTTTGTCTTCTGGAAGGAGTATTTCCTCTGAATCCTGTTTCATCACATTAAAGTTGATAAACAAAACAATATCAAACATTTGTAAATGCTTTTTTTTTTATAGATGAACATTTGTAAGTGCTTTTTTTAATCGATGAACATTTTTAAATATTGAAGAAGAACATAACACATTACCCTAAGGGTTTCTAACTCTGGCCCTTCCAATGCATCAAAGTATCGGTCTGCAGGTAAACGTTCAACTTCTGCATTTTGCAGATTACCATTCTCTGGTTCAGTCTCCCTTGGTGTCTTTCCGCGGAGTAGTGTTATCTGCCTTTCCAGTTTCCCAGACCATGTTTTGAAAGTATCAAACCTCTTATCTTTCAACCTTTCAATAGTTGGATGATGTGCAGAGCTTTTTGGCATTGGTTGAGAGTGAAATTTTACGGCTTTGGGCAGTTCGAAGCCAGCAGTTTCAGTTGCGGCAGAAGAATTTGGAATTTCACTGAAGATCATATTTTTGCTGTTGTGTAAATGAATTCCGGTTGGTGATGATGGCATGCTAATAGAAACAGAATACACCTTTTGATGAATCGGGGGTTCAGATCCATCAAATGTGCATTCTAAAGCTGCCGCTTCAATTCCCTGGTGTAAAAATGCATAAAACAAGTTACTATATGCATAACCATTATAAACTTTATTTTTTCTTCTTGTTTGGCAGAATGAAATAAATTTGTGAAAGCAATTATAGCATGTGAACTGTGCTACTGCCTCTTTTGTATTTAGTAGGCATGAAAGTTTAAGATGAACTTACTTTAGCTGATGGACTGATAGGTTGAAGGTGACTTGGTTGACAGCTGCCATTGAGAAATCTATTTTCCTCAACATTATCAAAGCCAGCCACTTCATTTGATGATATATATCTAATGAGAGATGGAAGTTCAGGGGAATTCAGTTTTACAGAATCTAGATTTTCGCTGTTTGCCATCATAAAACTTTGGAGCAGAAAATCTGAATATGATATCAAGCTTTTTTATATCCATTGTTGAACAAATAAATAGGATAATGAAAGATGGCATGACTCATCATGAGTATAAGTCAAACCAAACTGAAAACTACGTGAATAGAAACGTACATCAATTGGTAATCTTCTCAAATATATTTATATTTAAAGGGACATGGCCATGTACAAAGGAGTGATAACCTTTGATTACTGATAATCAACCAAATTAACAAATAAAATTTCATAAAACTCATCTGTTTATGTAAAAAAATATTGATAAATTGATAACCCATCGGACTTGGGCATCTTATTACACCGTCAATCTTCAACTGCCCTGGGATAATATTGAAGGCAAGTTGTCTGCTAGTCAACTATTTGTTAATGCAGAAGCGAGAGTCCCCACATACAATAATACAACCCTAAACCCTAACATTAATTTGGTATTAAGTCAAATTTGGTGACTGATAAATAAATAATATACTGGGAAATTCTCAAGTGGGGGAGAAGAGAATACAGCTAAAATGAATTAAGGCATGATTATTATAATCCTAAATCCTAAAGTTCGAGAGTTGAAGCTATCTGTATAATATGTTGATAAACTGTCCCAGCATCTATAAAAACCTTAATGATAGCGTAATGGAAAATCTTCATCTCATTGAAGTCGCCAGTTTCTGCAAGAACATATCATCTTTTGATACAACAATAGAATACATATTCAAAATATATTATAAATAATCAATAAATAAATGAATTAAGAAGGCAAACCTGAAACCCCGTGGAATAATAAATAATAAAAAAATCGTATAGCCGATCGGCTGTACTCTTTTAAAAATGAAAAATCAAAACCTTTTAGCCGTGCGGCTATACTTGGTTTTTGATTCTAAAAATTGTATAGCCGTGCGGCTAGAATTATTTTGACACGTGGACGCCCTATCGCTAGGCTGGTCGGTATTTGCAAATAGTATAGCCGCGCGGCTATACATTGTCGAACTACATTTTTTAGTATAGCCGCGCGGCTATACGGATTTTAACCTCTTGATGTTTTCAAGAAGTGGATCAAATGGAAATACTCTTACATTCTGATGTCTTAATGGTTTATCATTTCTATTAAATTGTAGTAAACTAAAGGGGAAGAGGCTGTCGGTCCAAGGGCTGAAACTGCAGCACCTGAAAACAAAGGTGAAGCAGAGAAATCTGGTCCTGCTGTGAAGGAGGACAGCGAGAATCCACCTCCGCCAAAAGTTGTAAGTTCAAGTCCTTCAATAGGATACATAAAATCCTCTTGGTCGTCAGCACCTATTTTCTTCAGACTTCCTTGTCTTATGGAATTTTCATGGTGTTCGTGCAGGAAATTGCGCCTGACCTAACAATGAATTTGAGAAGCGCATAAGGCCAGTGGCTAGGCGGCAAGGCGGTGGCTAGGCGGCTAGGCAGTGGCTAGGCAGGCGCTAGGCGGCTAGGCAGTGGCTAGGCAGGCTCTAGGCGGCTAGGCGGTGGCTAGGCGGCTAGGTGGTGGCTGGGTGGTGGCTAGGCGGTGGCTAGGCGGCTAGACGGCTAGGGAGTAGCTAGGCCGGCGCCTAGGCGGCTGGGTCTTTTTTCAGTGCCGAACCCGGAGGACGAAGCAATGACTGCGAAAGAAAATTCCGTCCTCTGCGAGTGCAAGCTTCTTGTATTTAAAGCATATAGCCGATCAGCTGTGCTTTTAAAATAGGGAGTTTCACTAAAACACCTAAAATGGGGGTTGAAATTATAAAAAAACCCAAGCACTATTTAAACATATAAACACACCCAAAACCCATCATTACACACACTCAAAACCCATTTATAAACACACCCAAAAAGTTAACTTTGGGGTTGATTTTGGGTGTGTTTCTATGTTTAAATAGTGCTTGGGTTTTTTTATAAATACATGTCTAGGATTGGGTTTATTTATAAATTTGGATTTAAGATATTCGAATGTAATTAGATAGTATAGCCGTGCGGCTATACGTTTATAATCTCTATGATAAGTAATTGAAGGCGTGATTTTTATGGATTTGTTTTTCTAAAAAAACAGACTTTAAAACTGCTAGTTATAAATACCACAATAGTTTTAAACAGATTCGAGAAGCAAGCAAATAAGGGAATAGATTTTAATAGCATTCTGAAAGGGCATGCTGATTTACAATCATCCAAGCATTCCTCCATTACATCTTAAGCTAATTAAGGATCCATTACATTACATGGAGCACATATATGATAGTGATTGATTTTATCTACCCTAGACAAGACAAGGACAAATATATAAACTATACAACAACCAGTGCGGAAAAAAACATACAAAACCTTCCCCCACCCCATCCTAAAATGGCTGGCAAAACAGGACGGGCATAACCTAACAAGGTAAGCAACTCAAAGAGATAGAGCAATTTACCAATGCCGCATGACAAAAATATCACAAAGCCTATGAGAATGATGATCCCCACAACAATCAATTTTATCTTCATATTCTGAAACCACATCTTCCTTTTCATTTTTGTTCCCTGTGTCCTGAAATCTTGGGCCTACAACACAAACACACCATTGTTTTCAACATATAAAAACGCCATATCAACAGCACAAAAGAGGAAAGGAAATTAAAAGATGATTTTTAAAATAAATATAAAAACTTGGAGAGAAAACCATATCACTCTCCATCACCCAAACCTAATAAACTAAACATAAGTTATGCTTCTTCGACTAACCTAGGAGCGAAGATAATCAGTTTTGTCCACCAACAGATCAATATTCTCCCCGCGGTCAAGAACCCGCAGAATAGATGAATTTCCATGACTAAAAATGGATGACATATTTACCTACTTGGAATCAGAATGAAAATGGGCCTAGGCGGGCGGCTAGGCGGTGGCTAGGCGGCTAGGAGGGCGCTAGGCGGTGGCTAGGCGGGTTGGGTCTTTTTGGGGTGCCGAACCCAGAGGACGAAGCAGTGACTGCGAGAAAAAGCTCCGTCCTCTGCGAGTGCAAGCCGATCGGCTGTACGTTTAAAATATTCGAGTGTAATTAGACGGTATAGCCGTGCGGCTGTACGTGTATAATTTCTATTTATAAAGTCGAGCCTTGCGGCTATAATGGAAGCGTATCGTACAAAAGAAGACGTATCTTCCAAATGAGAAGCGCATAAGGCCAGAGGTTATCCCTGCAAATGAGATTGGAGTCACATTTGCAGACATTGGTGCATTGGATGATATCACTTCAGGAGTTGGTCACGCTCCCGCTTCGAAGACCAGACCCTTACAAAGGTGGGCTTCTTAAGCCTTGTAGAGGCATTTTGCTTTTTCGTCCTCCTGGCACTGGAAAAACAATTCTGGCAAAAGCCATTGCAAATGAAGCAGGAGCAAGTTTTATCAATGTCTCAATGTCCACCATCACTTCAAAATGGTTTGGAGAAGATGAAAAAAAACGTCCGAGCTCTGTTCACACTCGCAGCAAGGGTCTCCCCAACTATTATCTTTGTGGATGAGGTTGACAGCATGCTTGGGCAGCGGACCAGAGTTGGGGAGCATGAGGCCATGAGGAAGATAAAAAACGAGTTCATGACACACTGGGATGGGCTGTTGACAAAAACCGGAGAGCGAATTCTTGTTCTGGCTGCAACCAACAGACCATTTGACCTTGATGAAGCAATCATCAGGCGGTTTGAGCGCAGTTATAAATCTATATTTTTTTGTAGTCAGAGTTCGCAACATTCCTTTTCAATTTTCATTCAATTTTTGTTGATCGGTAACTCTTATATGACAGAAAAAATTTGTGATTTCAACTTCATGTCTGCTAACTTTGAACTCTTTTTTGTGTTGAACAGAGTCATGGTTGGTCTTCCCTCCGTCGAGAATAGGGAAATGATCTTGAAAACTCTTCTTTCAAAAGAAAAGGTTGAAAATCTAGACTTCAAGGAGAGACAAAAGGATATGGTAACTAACTACCTCTTACGCTCTTCCTCTGCCTTGGCAATATTCATATTTTTCCAAATTCTCATTTACACAGTAATGCTTAATGATTTTCGAATACTTGGAACTACAGGAAAAGAAGAAGAGAGAAGCACAAGGCAAGAGCTCAGAAGATGCTTCAGAGACAAAAGAGGAAGAGAAAGAGGACCGAGAAATTACTCTGAGAGCTTTAAACATGGAAGATATGCGGCAGGCAAAGAATCAGGTAACTAACTTGACCTTTTTTCAACATTTTGCCTCCATAAAATACCATCTCTTTTATGTGTGTTAAGTTTTGCATGTATGTTTATACATGTCTATGGTGTGATGCAGGTTGCTGCCAGTTTCGCTTCAGAGGATCAGTAATGAGTGAGCTGCAACAGTGGAATGATTTGTACGGAGAAGGTGGCTCAAGGAAGAAGCAACAACTCACTTACTTCCTGTAAAACATTAATAATACATGGGGAAGCAGGCGTCCTAGACAGTGATCAGCTTCATTCTTCGAGAAAGAATGTGAAGATTTGAGGAAGTTGGAAACTCCACCTGAAACACAAATGTTTGATGGCTCGTGACAACGTGACGATCAATTAGAAGCAGCTCTAGCTCTGATCCTCAAACGAAGAAAACGTTACAACCCAATGAACGTATACACCAGTGTACAATATACATAAATATTGTATTTTGTAAGAGAGGATTTGGCATTTGTTCACCAAATGTAAAGGGAGGGTGGGTTCTCGGTATTTTATTAAGCCGTCTTGCAAGCAAAATACCACCAGCTGGGGTTTTAGTCATGTTCTGTGAACGTGTGGTATTTGGAAAGGCATGCTTGATTTCAGATTGGTAGGGAGGGAACTTGGAGTGAATTTAATTTGTTTGATATGATATATATATATATAGCCTGTCGCTTATGGACAATATTCAAATACAGTCAGAGCATTTGTACATTGTTCTTAAATTCTGTAACACTTGATAATGCATTGCTCTTTGTATTACATAAAACATGTGAATTACGGCACTCATGTCCCTGTACAGGATCTGTTCTTGATTGCCGCTTTCGCTTATACGTTTTATCGAGAATGGTCATAGGCAGGGTGACAGTCATGAATGTCTCTCTAAATCTTTATTTGTTATGAATTACTTATTTTTCTTCTTTTATCTTTTGTGAGAAAAAGAAAACTAAGAGAAAAACTTGGAGAAAGAGAGATTACAATGATAATGATAGTGGGAAAGTTCGGATCTCTATGATAAGTATTTGAAGACATATAAAATTGAGAGAAGAAAGCCGGAGAGCTCTATGACTTTTCTTTACTTTGAAGTTTATAATTCACACTCCAAAGCAAAGTCTACCGCTTAATGAAGTCTTTACAAATCCATGAGATTTTGAGCACCAAAAATTGTGTAGCCCCGTGAATTTTATGGATTTGTTTTTCTAAAAAAAACAGACTTTAAAACTCCTAGTTATAAATACCACAATAGTTTTAAACAGATTCGAGAAGCAAGCAAATAAGGGAATAGATTTTAATAGCATTCCGAAAGGGCATGCTGATTTACAATCATCCAAGCATTCCTGCATTACATCTTAAGCTAATTAAGGATCCATTACATTACATGGAGCACATGTATGATAGTGATTGATTTTACCTACTCTAGACAAGACAAGGACAAATAAATAAACTATACAACAACCAGTGCGAAAAAAAAACATACAAAACTTTCCCCCACCCCATCCTAAAATGGCTTGCAAAACGGGACGGGCTTAACCTAACAAGGTAAACAACTCAAAGAGATAGAGCAATTTACCAATGCCGCATGACAGCACGAAAGCGTCCATGGACATATTCCGATGCAAACTTAGGTACACTTAAAAACCACGGCAGATTGACAAAAATATCACAAAGCCTATGAGAATGATGATCCCCACAACAATCAATTTTATCTTCATATTCTGAAACCACATCTTCCTTTTCATTTTTGTTCCCTGTGTCCTGAAATCTTGGGCCTACAACACAAACACACCATTGTTTTCAACATATAAAAACGCCATATCAACAGCACAAAAGAGGAAAGGAAATTAAAAGATGATTTTTAAAATAAATATAAAAACTTGGAGAGAAAACCATATCACTCTCCATCACCCAAACCTAATAAACTAAACATAAGTTATGCTTCTTCGATTAACCTAGGAGCGAAGATTATCAGTTTTGTCCACCAACAGATCAATATTCTCCCCGCGGTCAAGAACCTGCAGAATAGATGAATTTCCATGACTAAAAATGAATGACATATTTACCTACTTGGAATCAGAATGAAAATGGGCCTAGGCGGTGGCTAGGCGGCTAGGCGGGCGCTGGGCGGTGGCTAGGCGGCTAGGCGGTGGCTAGGCGGCTAGGCGGGCTAGGCGGTGGCTAGGCGGCTAGGCGGTGGCTAGGCTGCTAGGCGGGCGCCGAACCCAGAGGACGAAGCAGTGACTGCGAGAAAAAGTTCCGTCCTCTGCGAGTGCAACCGTCGTGTTAGTTCGAATATATTTAAAGAGTATAGCCGATCGGCTGTACATTAAAAATATTCGAGTGTAATTAGAAAGTATAGCCGTGCGGCTGTACGTTTATAATTTCTATTTATAAAGTCGAGCCTTGCGGCTATAATGGAAGCGTATCGTACAAAAGAAGACGTATCTTCCAAATGAGAAGCGCATAAGGCCAGAGGTTATCCCTGCAAATGAGATTGGAGTCACATTTGCAGACATTGGTGCATTGGATGATATCACTTCAGGAGTTGGTCATGCTCCCGCTTCGAAGACCAGACCCTTACAAAGGTGGGCTTCTTAAGCCTTGTAGAGGCATTTTGCTTTTTGGTCCTCCTGGCACTGGAAAAACAATGCTGGCAAAAGCCATTGCAAATGAAGCGGGAGCAAGTTTTATCAATGTCTCGATGTCCACCATCACTTCAAAATGGTTTGGAGAAGATGAAAAAAAACGTCCGAGCTCTGTTCACACTCGCAGCAAAGGTCTCCCCAACTATTATCTTTGTGGATGAGGTTGACAGCATGCTTGGGCAGCGGACCAGAGTTGGGGAGCATGAGGCCATGAGGAAGATAAAAAACGAGTTCAAGACACACTGGGATGGGCTGTTGACAAAAACCGGAGAGCGAATTCTTGTTCTGGCTGCAACCAACAGACCATTTGACCCTGATGAAGCAATCATCAGGCGGGTTGAGCGCAGTTATAAATCTATATTTTATTGTAGTCAGAGTTCGCAACATTCCTTTTCAATTTTCATTCAATTTTTGTTGATCGGTAACTCTTATATGACAGAAAAAATTTGTGATTTCAACTTCATGTCTGCTAACTTTGAACTCTTTTTTGTGTTGAACAGAGTCATGGTTGGTCTTTTTTGTGTTTACCAGTGCCGCATGACAAAAATATCACAAAGCCTATGAGAATGATGATCCCCACAACAATCAATTTTATCTTCACATTCTGAAACCACATCTTCCTTTTCATTTTTGTTCCCTGTGTCCTGAAATCTTGGGCCTACAACACAAACACACCATTGTTTTCAACATATAAAAACGCCATATCAACAGCACAAAAGAGGAAAGGAAATTAAAAGATGATTTTTAAAATAAATATAAAAACTTGGACAGAAAACCATATCACTCTCCATCACCCAAACCTAATAAACTAAACATAAGTTATGCTTCTTCGACTAACCTAGGAGCGAAGATAATCAGTTTTGTCCACCAACAGATCAATATTCTCCCCGCGGTCAAGAACCTGCAGAATAGATGAATTTCCATGACTAAAAATGAATGACATATTTACCTACTTGGAATCAGAATGAAAATGGGCCTAGGCGGGCGGCTAGGCGGTTGCTAGGCGGCTAGGCGGTGGCTAGGCGGTTAGGCGGGCACTAGGCGGCTAGGCGGTGGCTAGGCCGGCGCTAGACAGCTGGGCGGTGGCTAGGCGAGCGCCTAGGCGGGTTGGGTCGCCGAACCCAGAGGACGAAGCAGTGACTGCGAGAAAAAGTTCCATCCTCTGCGAGTGCAAGCGTCGTGTTCGTTCGAATATTTAAAGAGTATAGCCGCGCGGCCGTACTTTTAAAATATTTGAATATTAGAAAGTATAGCCGTTCGGCTGTAAGTTTATAATTTCTATTTATAGTCTAGCCTTGCGGCTATAATGGAAGCATATCATACGAAAGAAGACGTATCAATCCAAATGAAACGTATCATACAAAAGAATATGCAATATAAACATATACCAATTTCTGAGCTGTTGTTGCTGTGTCCTTTCGAGGATGAACGAATACCATTGCATGTTAACCTTGCCTGAGTGAGTCAACAACCTGGCCGAAAAAATATAATTCAGTTAAATAATCATTCGAATACATACATTACACAAAGGAAAGCGTAAGGAAAAAAGAAACTTTCATGTGGCATATACCATTTTGCAGTTAAATACGCGCGGGCTGTAAAATTCTGCTCACTAACAGATCAGCGGTAACTGGAATCAAACAAGAAGAGTCCTGCTTCTGGATTCACTCTCAGAAACTGTAATTTAAATAGCATAGCCTTTTAAATATTAATGTTTAAAATTCTAATGTGTATTTTTAGGAATTTTTGCGTAGGATTCTTTTCTCACAAAGCAGTTTCCTCACAACATTATTGAAGGGAAGAGAAATCACCAGCAGACTAGTCCAACAGAGACTAAAGATTGCATATCGAGGAAACTGAATATGTGAGCAAGAACATCTTGTGGCAGCTGGGTTGAACCTGAAACTACAGGGATAGGAGACAAAAAAGTTAACAAGGCTATACTCCATAAATAGAAATTATAACGATATAGCCGCCCGACTATACCTGTTGAATACAATATTTTAATAGTGTAGCTGCACAGCTGTACGCTCTAAATATTTTAAAAGTTTATCCGCATGGCTATACTCGTTAAAAGTATAAAATTAGTTTCTTTACTTTTTTTCTTAGGCAGCTTTTGTTATTTAATATATGTAATTAAGTAATGTCTTAGTCTTTTTGAATTACTTTAATTATTGTTTCTCTGGTAAAAAATAGAATATTTTAAGGGATAGCTGCATGGCTAGAACCCATAAATAGAAATTATAAAAGTATAGCAGCTTGGCTGTACTCTATATACAATATATTACCGGTATAGCCGCGCGGCGATACTATAAATAGAAATTTTAAAACTATAGCTGTAAGGCTAGACTCTATAAATAGAAATTTAAACTAATCCAACTTTTCTGGTTTCGGCTTTGTCTTGCTCACTAATTGATTTGAAAAACAAAATAGGTGAGGGATGAGCAAACCACCGCTTAGTGTGTAGATAATGTAATATGCCTGTCAAACAATGTCATTTTACACTCTCTAGAAAAATATAATAAAAAGATACACAATCCAAATCATATCACATTATTACTTCATATCTTGGTTATCCTTCACAATTTGTACCCAGTACGTGACCCCTATCGGCCTCACTACCCTATGTACCCGTCTAGTACATTTATCATTTGGATACCCCATCACTAAAGTTTTCATATTCCATGAATAATACATACTTCACAAAAACTCCAAATAATATATATTGTGTGAAATATTGCACAAATTAGACATGCTTGACTTGAAAATATAGAGAAGTTTGTAAATAGATTTTCACATTTATCACAAAATAAGAGCTTTTAGAATATATTACATAACCCCACTCACCATGGTAAGTATGAAATATTGCAAGACAAACACACACGCTCTTCATCTGGTTTCTCTCTCTCTCTCTCTCTCTCTCTCTCACTACTTCATGGTAGAAATCTACCATAAAATATTGGAATGAATGATTGAAGTAAGCAAGCATGATACTTATAGGAGAGGCTATGGATGCACCCATATAATATTTATATATACAATATTGGGGTTTTTTATAAATACATGTCTAGGATTGGGTTTATTTATAAATTTGTAATATTTTAAACCACCAAAAGATAAGATAGAAGTAAGAGAATAATATGACTCATCCCTCACTGGCCAATGATATCACAACATCACCACCAAAAGATAAGATAGAAAAATAAGGAAATAATGTGAGTCATCCACCTTTGGCCAATGATATCACAACATCACTTTTTACAAGCATGCAAGGTGGCATGATAATGATGATTTGATTAAAACCAATTCTAAGTCTCTACATGTGGAAAACAAGAATTGTGTCATCTTTCCACTAAAGGGATAATTTCATACTAGGCTTAAGATTTAATAATATATAAGTCTTCACAAAAAATATTTAACTAAGAAAAATTTATTATTTTATAGTTTCTCACATTACAAGTCTAGCCGCTTGCTATACATAAATAGAAATTAAGGGGTATAGCCGTGCGGCTATACTATGCATATCTATTTTTAAAGAAAAGACCTTGGTATAGCCGCATGGCTGTACTATTTATTTTAAAAAATTAAATACAAAAAATAGGAACCGCCTAATAGCACCTATTCGGAAGATTTTTATTTTTTATTTTTAAATTTTTAAAAAGAATATAGCCATGCGGCTATACAAAGAGTCTTAATTTCTCACTTTACACCCTAAAATGGAAATTTTCTCACTTAACCTTCTGGAACTGAAAAGTTCGGCCACCATATAATTTTATGTGTATAATACTTGAATTTTGTATGTATTATTGAAAATTTTGTAGAAAAACACATGTATTAAACATGAAAAATATGTACATACGTGTATTGTACTAAGTCTTTAAGACGTGTATGCAAAACGAAAGTATTATTAAAAAAATACGACCGTATATGTATAATACAAGTGTTAAACGGGAAATTGCTAGTTAAAAATCAAAAGGAGACAATAGAGACTTGGATAATGGCAAAATAGTAATGGATAATGCTCTAAATTACTCTAATCGATAAAAGAAAATTAGGAAAAGATTTTGGTCTTTTTAAAAAGGATCCCAGTATATATTTAGATACTCTTTAAAATTTATTTTACTATTTAAAAAGTATAGATATTCGAATACAAATTTACGCTCAAGAAACCCAAAAATCAATCTTAGGATTTCGGTTTTGATTCGATTCCTGCACTCTGAAAGGTGCTGCACCATAGAAAAGCAAAACTTTGTGTCTCCTCCTCCAGTTGCTATATTCTACCTGCCGGAATAGGGAATGATCTGTCTAGAGTTTTCTACTAATCTTCTGCTTGATGATGTCAGGTTTGTAGATGCCGTAAATTGAGGGAGGCAAGTGCATAGGGTTGCAAGACTAAGAAAGAAACTGTGTTTGTATAGTGCAGCAGCCAACGGATTTATTTTAAGCCATCAATATAGTTCTTAAGTTTCTTGAAGAATCGTTCAGCTTTGTAAATTTCCAAGCTCCCTACCAAAGCACCACATCTTTCTCAGTGTATTAAAAACACTTCCAATAACAGTTTACTGTCCTGGCGGAAGTGGCTCTAATAGACATTATCTAATAATGAAAACAAGGGCATCTGTAAAAGATTTGTTTGACGAGCAAAACAAAAAAGATGTAATGTTAAGTAACCTAGTAAGAGGATATCTGATAGTGATTGATTTTATCTACCCTAGACAAGACAAGGACAAATATATAAACTATACAACAACCAGTGCGGAAAAAAACATACAAAACCTTCTCCCACCCCATCCTAAAATGGCTGGCAAAACAGGACGGGCATAACCTAACAAGGTAAGCAACTCAAAGAGATAGAGCAATTTACCAATGCCGCATGACAAAAATATCACAAAGCCTATGAGAATGATGATCCCCACAACAATCAATTTTATCTTCATATTCTGAAACCACATCTTCCTTTTCATTTTTTTTCCCTGTGTCCTGAAATCTTGGGCCTACAACACAAACACACCATTGTTTTCAACATATAAAAACGCCATATCAACAGCACAAAAGAGGAAAGGAAATTAAAAGATGATTTTTAAAATAAATATAAAAACTTGGAGAGAAAACCATATCACTCTCCATCACCCAAACCTAATAAACTAAAAATAAGATATGCTTCTTCGACTAACCTAGGAGCGAAGATTATCAGTTTTGTCCACCAACAGATCAATATTCTCCCCGCGGTCAAGAACCTGCAGAATAGATGAATTTCCATGACTAAAAATGAATGACATATTTACCTACTTGGAATCAGAATGAAAATGGGCCTAGGCGGTGGCTAGGCGGCTAGGCGGGCGCCGAACCCAGAGGACGAAGCAGTGACTGCGAGAAAAAGCTCCGTCCCCTGCGAGTGCAAGCGTCGTGGAGTATAGCCGATCGGCTGTACGTTAAAAATATTCGAGTGTAATTAGAAAGTATAGCCGTGCGGCTATACCGTTAATAATAATAAATCGTATAGCCGTTCGGCTATACCCTTTTTTTTTTCCCTTCCAAGACAGAGTATAGCCTCAGGAACTCTCTTGTGTACTCTTTCACTGATCCCGTTTGCTTATGGTTGCTTATCGATGCACTCTCCAGGCCCAAAGAACTTCCAAAAATTCACCACAAACTGCGACCATTAATACAAGCTGTGGTAGGGCTCGTACAAGCCTGACATCCATGGAATCGCATCACCTGTAAGTGAAGGGACGCAATCTCCACTTTGTTCAACTCGGGAGTCTTGAGGTACTTGAAGTAAAGCTCCGCGAGGCAGAGATAGTCTACTGGGTTGTCGTTTCCTCCGTGAAACACAGGGCAGTTCAGGTTCATTGTCCATGGCATTGAGGAGGACCCATCCTTTGTTCTTGATTGTTCAAACCCAAATCTAAGTTGGCAAATTTCTTCCAGAAGCGTTTGCTGGAAGTGAGTTTGTGCGGAGGCCATGGAGTTTATGGAGTTCTATAGCTCCTGAAGCGAAGTCTGAGTTTTTCTTTGCGGAGTTGTAGCTCCAACTCAAGGGAACCCATTTCTTGCACAAAAACTCGGTTTTTTTGGAATTAGAAAAATATATATTATAGCCAATCGGCTTTACTTATTCTGCCACGCGATCGTATAGCCGCGCGGCTATACTTGGATTTCCTTTTATGAACGTTTTTAAAAATAGTACCGCCGAGCGGCTATATTCTGTGGTATTCTAAAAATGGTATAGCCGAGCGGCGGTACTATTCGGATAAAATAGTACAGCCGCGCGGCGGTACTATTAAAAAAATAATTATGATAAATCGTATAGCCGATCGGCTATACCGTTTTTATTTTTTCCAGACTTAAAAAGTATAGCCGCGCGGCGGGACTATTTTTTATCCCAATAGGACAGCCGCACGGCTCTACAGTTTTAAAATATTAATAATAAATAGTTCGGCTATACTCTCAGGAACTGATCCCGTTTGCTCATGGTTGCTCAGCGCAATCTCTATCGATGCACTCTCCAGGCCCAAAGAGCTTGAAAAATTTCACCACACACTGCGACCATGAATCCAAGCTGTGGTAGTGCTCGTACAAGCCTGACATCCATGGAATCGCATCCCCCTGTAAGTGAAGGGACGCAATCTCCACTTTCTTCTCCTCGGGAGCCTTGAGGTACTTGAAGTAATGCTCCGCGAGGCAGGGCCAGGCTACTGGGTTGTCGTTTCCTCAGTGAAACACAGGGAAGTTCAGGTTCATTGTCCATGGCATTGAGGAGGACCCATCCTTTGTTCTTGATTGTTCAAACCCAACTCTAAGTTGGCGGATTTCTTCCAGAAGCGTTTGCTGGAATTGAGCTTGTGCGGAGGCCATGGAGTTTGAGTTCTGTAGCTCCTGAAGAAGGAGGTTGTTTAAGACAAATGAGTAGGCCAATCGAATCAGCAGCCCAACTATGCTTCTCAGCCCATCAGAATTGTTGTAAATTTGGAATATCTGAAGGAACTCTCTTTTCTCTCTCCCCTGTGCCTCTGAATCACAGAAGGCATGTCAAAACCATTACAGAGATACCAAAAACTTGGCTTGAAAGAGTTTTTACCAAGAATTCACAGGTACCCGTTAGCCTGTAAAGACCTGAGCTTAATTCTCAGAGGCGCTTACAAGAAAATTCCCAAGAATCTTCAATCGCTCATCTTCCAGGATACCCTCACCGCCTTTCGTCTCCTCCCTCCCTGAGTATGCTCTTTCCCGTATCTCGGATTTTATAAACTCTTTCTTCTTGTTTTGATATTTTTGAAAGAAAGAAACTTTTTTTTGCAGTGGCAGTGAAAATCTAGACTTCTGATATACGTATTTGTTTTCAAAATAAAGATAGTATAGCCGCGCGGTGATACTCGGTTTTTCTGATTTCTTTTTAAAAATATTATAGCCGCCCGGCCATACTCGGTTGTATCAATATTACAAATTTATAAATAAACCCAATTCTAGACATGTATTTATAAAAAAACTCAAGCACTATTTAAACATAGAAACACACCCAAAATCAACAATTGTATATTTTTTGGGTGTGTTTATAAATGGGTTTTGAGTGTGTGTAATGATGGGTTTTGGGTGTGTTTACAAAGTGTTTTGGGTGTTGGATTTTTTTATAATTTCAGCCTTCATTTTGGGTGTTTTAGTGAGACTCCCTAAAAATAGTATAGCCGCCCGGCTATACTGTTTTATTTTTTTCTAGACTTGAAACAGTATAGCCGCTCGGCTATACTATTTTTAATGTCATAATAGTATATCCGCTCGGCTGTGAGTGAAAATATATTCGATTTTCTTTTTCTTTTCTTTTTTTCAAACTATAAAGAAAAGAGTAATGCTACACTTACCACATTATTATACCACATGATGTGGCAGCCACATCAATTAAATGAATGAAGTGTATTTTAATAAATAAAATTAGAAAAACAAAAACTAGTATTTTACATGATGTGGTATATACATATCAGCTGCCACATCATGTGGTATAAAAAATGTGGTAAGACTAGTATTATTCTAAAGGAAACTAGGTTTTATGCCTAACTACAAACAAGGATATACCAATCTAAAGTCTTGAAATAGTCAGAATCCTTTGTTTCTTCCTTTTTAGAGAATTTCCTCTCTTTCTTCCTCTCTCCATTTCCTCAAAATCCTTTCTTTCCTTCCCTTTTCTTCAATCAACCAATCAACCCAGGAAAATGCTCATCACTTTATCAGGACTTCAGAGTCCTAACAACTCCATACAACCAGATTTTTACACGAACAAGATTTCAGACTTTTTGTCTCTCAAGACTGCAACTGTGTGATTATCATGTTAAGACTTATACCTTCTCTAGAAATTCATCAAAGTTACTGTGAGCCTCTTTAAATCTCTGAATTATGTCTTGTATGGATGCTGAGACAAAGACATATTGTTTCTTCAATCGCAGTTCCTTCTCCAGTAACACAAAATAAAGTGAAAAGGGAAACATACCAAGCAACAAAATGAGAAAATATATGAGTCAAATGGCCTTCTACCTGCCCTGGTTAAGTGCGCTTGCACTAACTCCTAGTGGTCTTTTGGTCGAAGGTTGGTACCACCCAGAATTTATACGAGTCATCCGCTTAAAAACCTAGTAACTGAGTTGATGCGGCTGGACCAATGGGCTAAACCCTTCAGGGCCGAACTCTCAGTTTTGGACTAATAGCCTAAACCCCGTTTAGGGCCCAAATGGGTGGTTGCATGGCTGGTTCTGTGGCCCAAATGAAACTTGTGTGTAATTAAAATTAAAAAAACATAGCATGGAAGAGCGAGCCTTGAGAAATGGGAAAACCTAGCTTGCTAGGGCTTTTGGGCGGATAGAGCAATCAACATGACAAAAAAATCTATTTTTTTTTTTCTAAAAAGAAATTAGATTTATTCGCATGCACTCAGTTAGTTTTACAACTCTTCTTAGTTGCTCCATCTTGTTCTTATGAGTAAAAGTCGAATTAGGACAAGGGCAGCTGGAACACAAGCTCTTTTAGTTTAATATGGCCCTACATTTTTGGAGTCGAGGCTTTGTGGGACTGTTGCACTTGTCACAAGTTTAGTAGTGGAAGGGTTAAATATTTAGATGTTATCATTACACACATTCATGTGATGTTATTAGTCTCGATATTATTATACAGGTAGACAATGTAGTTGATATTTCTCAATCAGTGATATGTATTATGTCATAAGTTGATTGTAGCACCGCATATAAAAGTCAAGCTGGAATATTACTCGTCAAATTGTAGCTCTAGTTTGTTTTTTCCCTAAAACAAATCATTTCTTCCCCACCAAGCACTAGCTAGCCACTTAGCACTATAAGAAGGCGATGAAACGTACGATACAATTTCTCAGTTATGGCATGCTCAATATGTATGTAAGCCACTATGCCTTACATATATAAAGTAAGTATCACCTGCTTCCAACCCCAATGTTGTCACATCAATCTTTGTTACCACTAACTCATTAATGTATTCCCGTGACCTAATTAAAACATGACTTCAAAGTTCGATCATGCAAGACACAATTGAGAATTTAAGATTTTTGGTGAATATCCAACTCGTAACTAACTACCTACGATTAAAGGAGTGAGAATCAAACCTATGACCTAATGTGCATGAGATAGATATTCATAATCTTTTTGAGCTACAGCTCTATCTTTTGTTATGTTAAATTCCGATACAATTTTTTCTTCTCATCTTTAATAAGATAAGAAAGCAAGAAAAAAGTACTAGCAGAAATCTTAGTAAGGAAAATGATAGATCCAAGCAATGTGAAACGGTTGAAAATTCGTAAAGAAAAAAGTTAGTCCTAATTGAAAGCTACCGATGCAACTTGGCATGGAAACAGCAAAATGCAATGTCCTAACAAATAACTTGATAAGGACGGATCTATTGCATGGGTTTACTTCTTTTCTTTTGGGTGTGGCCCTGACATGGTGGGCTCTACATTTCGAGCGCATAACATGCACAGAACGCACGCGCACACAGTCAGATGGCTAGACGGAATTTTATATTAAAATAATGGGTACGTATTGAAAAAGAAAATCGATAGTCTTATGGTTGAAGAAATATACACATACGTATGGCTTTTGCATTACATGGCGCCATACAACTTTTTGGGGTTTAATTTAGGAATTGCCAATATGAAGTTTAATTTAACACTCTCTTTTCCGGTTACATTGGGAGGAAAGAAATCAAGGAATTTCGATTCTGTGTGCTAAATAGGAAGAAAGGGGAGGGCGATAACTATTGTGGTAATCCCGCATTGGCTATAACACTGTTTTTTAAAAAGTGAGATGGCATGTCATGTTGTTGTTTGCCTGCCTTTAGACCTACTTAGTTGTTATAGAGTGAGCACCTTTCTCTTTCTTTGTGGATGTGTCACTTAGCACCACAAACCAACAAAAGAGCCAGTCGGCATTTCCTGGCTGGGCCAATCTGGACAAACAATTGGTCTGGATATTTTTGGTTAATAATTTAAGTGAGATTAGGTCTTACAGCCTGTGGGGGTCGGTTTTAATTTGTGCCTTCTCCACCCACATGCATAACATAACACCACATTAATGAATTAAATTAATACGTGTTTTAATCTTAATTAAAAAGATCTTGTGTGTGGTGCTGAGTAGTTTTCTTCCCGATGTGATAATTGATTTACTGCCATATACTACGAGCTTGAGAAGATGACAAATCTCCACAAGAAAAAGTTGTTGTCTTATGCGTATAAACCAAGCATGTGCTGGGGGCAGCGAAAACCCAAAGGCAAAGAAAAAAAAAAAAAAAAAAAAAAAAAAAAAAAAAAAAAAAAAGTACCTATATAACTTTCTTTGATACTTTTGTGACTTAATTTGGTTGTGTCGTGTCATACTAATTAAATCTAATTAGACCCAGTTGATCCTTTTCACCCTATACTAAATCTAATCATGGTTGAACCAATCCCAATGAAATACCAGAGTTAATGGGTTCATTATTGGTGCAAACAGTTGACAGATGTGCAAGATCCGGTTTACGTCCACATCTGTAAAAATCCAAGCCTTGTCTAAATGGAAAATATATATATTTTTTATGTAGTCAAAAACACCTTTTAACAAAGTGAAACTTTGAATATTAATTACTAATATTTATGTTTAAATTAGGTTTTTGGTTGGGTAGCAGAATAGTGATTTAGATAAATTAGCAAAGGTGACATGCAACAAAACATCAACAAGGAGGAGTGAGGAGGGAGGAGGGAGGAGGGAGGAGGGCTTTACACACGATCAAGTTTAGTTTGAATGCTTTTTGTCGAAAGTGAATTGAAATCTCCACGATCAAGTTATTCATTATGCATATCACCAACAACATGGAAGGGAACAGAAAAATAAAAAGCCATTGTGAATGATAACTTTATAAATACTTTTAGCAATAAAAAAAGTTACGTTCCTCTCTCCACTAACGGGTTTTTGGAAAAGTTGTTGCACAGGTTCAAATCAAGCTAACCCTTTTCATATGTTACTGTTTTTAAAAAATAAATAAATAAACATAGAAACCCTTAATTTGTAATTGGACCTTGAAAATAAACATGTTATGAGTGAAATTGAACAGAAAGATGAAGATAAAATGAGAGTTGGGGGTGGAATTTCCGTTTGGGGCCAAACACGTAAGCACACAAGTCACCTCTCTATGATGTCTCAATGAGGACAAAAATCATATCCGATTGTAAGGTATAGAGGAGTTGCATCTGATTCAAAATTCTCCACACGCAATAATCATGAACCAATTAGCAGTAATTTGTGATTAATTGTATAATTCTTTACGCAAATTGAAAATTGCAAAATGATGAGAGAGAGAGAGAGAGAGAGAGAGAGAGAGAGAGAGAGCAGGGGGAATTCATTAAAAATGAGCAAAACCCAACCCATTGATATTGAATAATAAAGAAGAAGAATGAAAGAAAGTGGGTTGACCCGACAAGGACCAAGAGTTTAAGAGTTTGAATCATAGTCTAAAATTGTTATTAAAGCCTAATTAAACAAATTAATAATAATAAAAAGAAGCTTTTGGTTTCTGGGTGTCGACTGTGGTGTGTGACTAAGTAAAAGGTAAAGTGGCATTGCATTGCATTGCATGCGTACGTGTAACCCACCAATGGAAATGTTGCCAAAAGATTTGTGAACCAAAGCATGTGCTGCTGAGGTGTAAAAGGCCTCAAGGATACGTGGAACATGACTAGTATTGTAATTTCACATCCATCCTCTCATATTTAAATCTAAAATTTGTTGCCCTAGGAAAACCCTGGTCCCTAGAGAGAGGAAAGAAAGATTCTCCGATTATATATATATATATATATATATATATATATATATAAACTATACGGCACAAATGATAAGTTGATAAGAGCTGTAACTGCTCACATCTGTCTTCTCTTCTTTTCCAATATGAACCTTCTTTTTGGCGACTGCAACTTGCAAGTGCAATGCAAGCAAAGTAAACCCCACAAAAGCCATCACTTTCCTTTGCCCTTTTATTTTCACATTGGAGTCTTTGACGCCACAAAATAACAAAGCCACTGCATGCATAACCCATCACACAAAATACAAGAAAATAAAGTGGTGAAGTGCACTGCAAGAAAAGTAGTAGGAGGGCCAGAATTTGCATGGAAGATTCACGATTGACTGTTTTTTTCTTAGTTTTGTTGAAAAAACCTAAAACTAAATGTAGAAAAATTCGACCTTGGTTGGACTTGGAATTTTTGTCAATTGTGAGTTTGCGTGGAAGGCTTTGCTCAAATTATTGAACTATATTTTAAGAGTGCTGTTATTTCCACCCACTTCTCTTATTTCCCCACCCACCATGAAAATTTAAAAAACCACAATTATATCTTTGCACCCACCATTATTCCTAAAATACTCTTCCATTCACTTAACACTTTTAACCCTAACTTAACACTATTGATTGAGTTTGAAAAAAAAATAAATTAAAAAAAAAAAAAAAAAAAAGTTTCCACCCTCCTCCTCATGTCTCTTTCACCATTATTTCAGTTGTATTGAACAACACCTTCAAACCCCAATCTAACATTCTTCTCCTCTCTCCATTCCAATCAACCCACGAATAAACAAACCCACAAGAAATATTACATCAATTGGCCCATATATGAGATGACACTTCTTCGACTGCATTGCCTGCCAAAGTCTCTCATCCTAGTCTTCATCAATATCAGCAACTTCATGGCCCTTTATTCTTCCAAGTTTCCAATTTGAGAGAGATAGAACATTCCAATCTTTATTCTTTCCTTCTTAACTATTTCCTAGACATGCCCAATTTGAGGTTATAGGGATTCAACCCTTCCGAAACCAAAATAATTTTCTTTTAAATGCAAAGAGTTGTCATAAAAGCGACATTGGGATTTTGTCAATCAATCTCATAAGTGCAGCAAAGTCTTACAAGACTGGGAATTTTACAAGAGCAACTCATTTGGTTTAGGTGGCAATTGATGATATGGCTGGCGGTGAGGTGAGGAGGGGAGGTTGGTTTGGTTGTCACGGGGTTGGGTGGGTAGTCTGAGGGTTGTTTGCTGGGCTCTTTTATTTATTTATTCTAATTTTCTGTTTTTATTTTTACTTTTATTTTCTTGACTTAACAGTGTTAACTTAGAGTTAAGTCCTTAAAAGTCATTTTACAATAGGGTAAACTTGCTTTTAAAATTTTGAAGATAAGGTGGGTGGGAAAATAGGATAAGAAGGTGGGAATAGCATCACTATATTTTAGTACTTTTCTTTGTCATCGAGTTTTTCTTTTTTGTTGCTATTTTGTTGTCATCATGCATAAAAATCTATAAAATATCTTAAAATTTAAGCCCTTATTTAAGTGGTTTCCTAAAAAGGGTGATGATTAAGCAAGCAAAATATCTCCAAATAACAGTTTATGAAAGGGTGTTGATTTTTCCACTATTCTTTTGTTCATTTACACTCCCTTTGGTTTTTTTTTAAATATTTTTTACTATTACATACAAATGAGACAAAAAATGAGTGAGAAAATCAACTTCCTTTATGAAAAACATTTATATTTAAAGTTTTTTTTTGGTGGTAAATTCCAATAGATTTATACGCGATGTTTTTTTTAAAATTTTTTTATGATTACATAAATTATTCAATTATTACTAAAGAGAGAAAAAAGTAATGTAGAAAAGAAAAGAAAAAAATGGTATAAAACCCAAAAGTTCTCCATGTAAAGGTTATTTCTCAAAATGAAAAAGAAATCGGGAGTTTTTATTTTTGTTTCCTTTTTCCTTGTTGAAATAAAAGGTGTGCATACGAAGTTAACAAAACGTAAAACTTTATTTTATTATAGAGCCGCCTCCTTTTAGTCTTTTAGCACTTTATATAGTGGCAGCTTGAAAACTGGTGGTGAAAGAAAAAACAAAAATTCCCAACCCAAAAAAAAAAAAAAAAAAAAAAAAAAAAAAAAAAAAAAAAAAACAATCAATTAAAAAGAAAGAAGAGAAACGAGAAAAATACCTATCTGAATCATGTGCTTCTAAAGTAATTAATGACCGAAAGTAAATATATATATTTAAAAAAAACCAAACTGTACAAAAAGGTAAATCAATAAAAAAGTTATGTGTCCAATATAATTCGTTTTATACTCCCCCTCACGGCTTATCCTATTCACGCACAGTTTATTGTTCGGTAATTCTTGGAAGTTTGTGTCACTGCACAGTTTACACTGCTTTCCTAATTATCTGTTAATTGTACTTACAAAACTTAAATAGATTTTTATTTCGAAAATGACCTATTAGTATAGTGGTTTGAAGTATTTGTTTCATCAGACAATGTTCTGGGTTCGAACCCTAGAATCTGTGTAGATGTGTGAGTTTAGTATATTATCGCCTCTTTTAATAGTAAATGTCCTAAAATAAAAACCCCACACTTAACAAATAAGAAAAAAATTACCCCAGTTAAGATTTTCTAACTGAATATCGTTCTCATCCACAAATAATATGTTATATATCATTCATTATCATTAAAAAAAAATAGTTGTTTTTTCTGTAAATATTTCTCAAATAGCATTGCTGGTCATTAATGTACAACCAAACATGTAGATTAACAACTAAAAACCTGAGAGAAGTTGAGCCCACCAAGGTAGGTAGGTACAGCATGGTTCTAAATTTGTTGAAGCCTGGAAAAGAAAGTTGTTGAAGCCAACCAAAATACAACTCAGAGCTACACTGTCGCAATCTGCAAATTGTGAGACCCATCCCATGCTAGCTGACACGAGTTAACATATGCCCACAAGAAAATACAGAAAAAAAAAGGCGGGTAACGTTGTAAAATATGAATGAATTTCGTATAAGATAAACTATTTATACAAACTGCAACGAAAATTGGTGGAAAGACAGGAAAAGCAAAGTTGAAAAGGAAAAGAAAAGAAAAGAAAAGAGAGAAATCCCCCAGATTAGGAGGTCACCGGTAAGTCAAAAAAAACAGCAACCAAGAGGTAAAAAAGAATCTATCTATCGTTTTCATTGTGTGTTTTCTTTTCTTGGGGGAGCATTTAACGTCCACTAGTATGTGTGCCATGCTATAAATAGCTGGGGAGGCTCAAGAACATAAGCAATCCATAGACAAACGTTGTATTCGGACGTGTGTAAAACAACACATACGCACCCAAAGACTCTCTCTTTCTAAGTTTCCTTCTTGTCCAAAAGAAATCCCACCAACCCATCTTCTTGGTTCTTACAAAGTTCATGAATCTCTGACCCATTTGTCGAATCTCAATCGCATTTGGGTGATATCTTCCAGGAAAGTCTGATAAAAAGGCTCTGCCTTTAACTTCTGCTGTTAAAGATAGAGACTTTTTCTTCAAAGAGTTGGATTTGCAGATACCTTTGAGTTGGCCTTTCTTCAAGATCGGTTAAAGGGTTGGTGGAGCTGATGGAACAGAAGCACATTTTCTTGTCTGCTCTGAGTGTTGGTGTTGGGGTTGGGGTGGGCCTGGGGTTGAGTTCTGGGCAGGCTGTGAGCAAATGGGTAAACGGTAATTGCTCGGCCGATGAGGTTACCGCGGAGCAGATTGAACAGGAGCTGATGAGGCAGGTGCTGCCTGGCAGAGACAGCAAAGTTACCTTTGAGGAGTTTCCTTATTACCTAAGGTAATTTGACCACTTCTTACCCAATTGCATAGCTTTTATGTTAATCGTTTAAGCAGGCACATGGAAGATGAGTGCGTTGTATATCTAATTTTCCTGGTAGAATGTTGTTGAAGTTTTAACCAATTTTGTAATCATACAATCCATCAAGAAATGATTTTTTTTTTTAACTTATCAGCAAATGATTATGCCAAGATCTTCTGCAAGAATTTTTTATTTTTTATTTTCTTTCTGGGCAAAATTTTGTTTACATGAATGTGTTATCAGTTGACTAATTAGCTTGATTATTTACTATAATGGCTAAGTTAAATTTTTCTGGGTTTTTGTTGTTTTAATTAATTTTTATCAGCCATGGATATTAGCATATTGTACTTTTGCTAAATTGCTATTGAATCCAATCTTTGCTTTTATGGATGCTGAGCCTTCTTTATTTTTTTGTTTTCCTTTGGCTTTTAACTGTGTTTTGGAGCAATCCATCAAGTTCTGTCTTTTAAGTTATCAAAACAGGTCAATCGTAGCAACGAAAATTAAGGGTTAACACTACCATCCGGCTGGTGGAAGAATATATTGAAGGGCGGAAAAATACTTCTAAGATATTGCATATATAAGTACTCCTAGTTATATAAATCCTGACTTCTGAAACTTGAACTTGTGGTGACGCAACATTTCTTGCTCTTATTATAATTTACATCTTCTGTTTTAATGGTGGCAATGACAGAGAAAGAACTCGGATGTTGTTAACAAGTGCTGCATATGTTCATCTGAAACACTCTGACTTATCCAAGCACACCCGGAACCTTTCACCTGCAAGTAGAGCTATTTTGCTCTCAGGACCTGCTGGTATGCTATTTAAAACTGTCATCTGAGTTTTGGTTTTCCATTGAAATTTTTATGCCTTAAATTCTTTGAGCTAACCTAATTGTATGTTTTATTTCCCAAAGAACTTTATCATCAAATGCTCGCCAAGGCTTTAGCACATTACTTTGAGTCGAAGTTGCTGTTGTTGGACATTACTGACTTTTCTATCAAGGTAAACTATGTACAACTTTAATTTTCATTGAATTTGGTTGATATGTATAGATCCATTAAATTGACAGTAGTACTTAAACCTCTCATTTTTACATGTTTACAGATCCAGAGTAAATATGGGTGTGCCAAAAGAGAACCTGTAAGCTCTCTCTGCTTCATAAGGAGGAACTAAGAATGCTTTTAATCTTTTCTGAATTCTTAATGTACATATTAGATTTTCTAGGTGGTGAAGCATGAATCCAATGTAGTAGTTGCTTTGTTGTTTAAACTCAAAATCAATGTTATACATTTCTGCACTTCATGTATAAGGAAAGTTTGAATTAGCTCAAGTGGAGTTTTTCCTAATTCATTGCCTTCTCTTTGTAGTATCTTAAGAGGTCTTTCTCAGAGGTGACAATGGAGCGAATGTCCAGTTTGCTTGGGTCTTTCTCAATCCTCCCTTCAAGTGGGGACAGTAAAGGTAAAAGAAGTAAAGCCATATTATTTTGTTGTTAATGCTCCTCTGATTGAATCCTTGTTCATGTCCTCAGTTTAGTGACAATTGGTAATGTTCACTCTTCACTGTTGTTATAATCAATCGTTTTCTTACAGGCACATTATGCCGGCAAAGCAGTACTACAGATCTCAAATCAAGGTAGAGTAAGGGGTCATTGATCTTGATTTAAAAGGTGCCACAGTGGTTACATGTAATGTTTTGTTTCTAAAACATCACTGTCTAATACCTGCAGGGGCGCTGAAGGGCCAAATAATTCAACGCTTCAAAGAAATGCCTCCTCTGCATCTGATATGAGTAGCTTCAGTTCCAAATGTGCTCCCACAAGTTCAGGTTTGTTCATACAGCGAAATACTGGCTGTTTAAGTATCTAGCTTTTATGTTTTAGCTAAGCAGAAACTTGCTTTGAAATTATACTTATTACTTGGTGATTCTTTGTTTTTCAGCTCCTCTCAAACGCGTGACCAGCTGGTGTTTCGATGAGAAACTTTTTCTACAGTCACTTTACAAGGTAATGTCTCTTTTTTTATTTGGTCACATACAGGGTAATGTTATCATTATCATATCTATGCACAAGCATGTTTAGATGATACTTTCAGTTGATGCGCATGATGATAGATACTAGCTGATGTGAGTGGTGTTACAATTCTCAATTTCAGGCTGATAGCCTTTTCTTCCTTTTGATATAACTGGTGTCCCAATCACATGCCATTTTACCCACTTGATGCATACTTCATTTTATAGATATAAGTTATTTCCTTGTGTATGCAAGACTTAAGTCAATATAGACTAGATAGTTATGTAGGTTCAATATATCTGAAAAGGTAAGGTAATGCTAATAGGCATGCGTATTATTTTTCTTACAGGTCTTAGCTTCCATATCAGAAACTGGTTCGATCATTTTATACATCAGGGACGTTGAGAAGCTTTTTCTCCAATCACGGCGGTTATACAATTTGTTCAATAAAATGTTGAAGAGACTTTCAGGGTCAGTGTTAATACTTGGTTCCCGGATGTTAGATGCTGAAGATGATTGCAAAGAAGTTGATGAGAGGCTTGCTGGTTTGTTCCCATACAATATTGAGATCAGCCCCCCTGAAGATGAGACTCATCTTGTCAGCTGGAAAGCCCAACTGGAAGAGGACATGAAGATGATCCAGTTCCACGATAACAAAAACCACATAGCTGAGGTACTTGCATCAAATGATCTTGAGTGTGATGATCTAGGTTCCATCTGCCATGCAGACACAATGGTCCTCAGCAACTACATAGAAGAAATCGTTGTATCAGCGATATCTTATCATTTGATGCAAAAGAAGGATCCAGAATATAGAAATGGAAAGCTTGTTATATCATCGACGAGGTAAATGCCAAGTTTCTGTACGCTTGATTTCATTGATATATTTTTGTTATATTTTATTGCAGAACAGACTGTTTTATCTTTCTAATTACCCATTCTGGATCTGGAACAGTTTGTCCCATGGATTGAGTATATTCCAGGAGGGAAAAAGTGGCGGGAAAGATTCTCTGAAACTGGAGACCAATGCTGATTCCAATAAGGTTTTTTTTTTTTCCTTTTCCTCTTCCGTATTTTTATTTTCACCTCTTGATGTTTTTCAGGAAGTGGATCAAATGGAAATACTCTTACATTCTGATGTCTCAATGGTTTATCATTTCTATTAAATTCTAGGAAACTGAAGGGGAAGAGGCTGTCGGTGCAAAGACTGAAACAGAGAAATCTGGTCCTGCAGTAAAGAAGGACAGCGAGAATCCACCTCCGCCAAAAGTTGTAAGTTCAAGTCCTTCAATAGTGTGCATAAAATCCTCCTGGTTGTCTTATTGAATTTTCATGGTGTTCGTGCAGGAAGTTGCGCCTGACAATGAATTTGAGAAGCGCATAAGGCCAGAGGTTATCCCTGCAAATGAGATTGGAGTCACATTTGCAGACATTGGTGCATTGGATGACATTAAAGAATCACTTCAGGAGTTGGTCATGCTCCCACTTCGAAGACCAGACCTTTTCAAAGGTGGGCTTCTTAAGCCTTGTAGAGGCATTTTGCTTTTTGGTCCTCCTGGCACTGGAAAAACAATGCTGGCAAAAGCCATTGCAAATGAAGCGGGAGCAAGTTTTATCAATGTCTCGATGTCCACCATCACTTCAAAATGGTTTGGAGAAGATGAAAAAAACGTCCGAGCTCTGTTCACACTTGCAGCAAAGGTCTCCCCAACTATTATCTTTGTGGATGAGGTTGACAGCATGCTTGGGCAGCGGACCAGAGTTGGGGAGCATGAGGCCATGAGGAAGATAAAAAACGAGTTCATGACACACTGGGATGGGCTGTTGACAAAAACGGGAGAGCGAATTCTTGTTCTGGCTGCAACCAACAGACCATTTGACCTTGATGAAGCAATCATCAGGCGGTTTGAGCGCAGGTATAAATCTATATTTTATTGTAGTCAGAGTTAACAACATTCCTTTTCAATTTTCATACAATTTTTGTTGATCGGTGACTCTTATATGACAGAAAAAAATTTGTGATTTCAACTTCATGTCTGCTAACTTTGAACTCTTTTTTGTGTTGAACAGAGTCATGGTTGGTCTTCCCTCCGTTGAGAATAGGGAAATGATCTTGAAAACTCTTCTTTCAAAAGAAAAGGTTGAAAATCTAGACTTCAAGGAGCTTGCAACCATGACAGAAGGTTACAGTGGCAGTGATCTTAAGGTTAGTTTTGGAGTCGATAATATTATAACCTTAAATTGTAATCAGTATGATGAGCTCATGAAACTAACTACTGGAAAACAGAACTTGTGTGTGACAGCAGCTTATCGACCTGTGAGGGAGCTTATACAACAGGAGAGACAAAAGGATATGGTAACTAACTACCTCTTACGCTCTTCTTCTGCCTTAGCAATATTCTTAATTTTCCAAATTCTCATTTACAGTAATGCTTAATGATTTTCAAATACTTGGAACTACAGGAAAAGAAGAAGAGAGAAGCACAAGGCAAGAGCACAGAAGATGCTTCAGAGACAAAAGAGGAAGAGAAAGAGGACCGAGAAATTACTCTGAGAGCTTTAAACATGGAAGATATGCGGCAGGCAAAGAATCAGGTAACTAACTTGACCTTTTTTCAACATTTTGCCTCCATAAACTACCATCTCTTTTATGTGTGTTAAGTTTTGCATGTATGTTTATACATGTCCATGGTGTGATACAGGTTGCTGCCAGTTTCGCTTCAGAGGGATCAGTAATGAGTGAGCTGAAACAGTGGAATGATTTGTACGGAGAAGGTGGCTCAAGGAAGAAGCAACAACTCACTTACTTCCTGTAAAACATTAATAATACATGGAGAAGCAGGCGTCCTAGACAGTGATCAGCTTCATTCTTCGAGAAAGAATGTGAAGATTTGAGGAAGTTGGAAACTCCACCTGAAACACAAATGTTTGATGGCTCGTGACAACGTGACGATCAATTAGAAGCAGCTCTAGCTCTGATCCTCAAACGAAGAAAACGTTACAACCCAATGAACGTATACACCGGCGTACAATATACATAAATATTGTATTTTGTAAGAGAGGATTTGGCATTTGTTCACCAAATGTAAAGGGAGGGTGGGTTCTCGGTATTTTATTTAGCCGTCTTGCAAGCAAAATACCACCAGCTGGGGTTTTAGTCATATGTTCTGTGAACGCGTGGTATTTGGAAATGCATGCGGGATTTCAGATTGGTGGGGAGGGAACTTGGAGTGAATTTAATTTGTTTGATATGATATATATATATATATATATAGCCTGTAGCTTATGGACAATATTCAAATACAGTCAGAGCATTTGTACATTGTTCTTAAATTCTGTAACACTTGATAATACATTGCTCTTTGTATTACATAAAACATGTGAATTACGGCACTCATGTCCCTGTACAGGATCTGTTCTTGATTGCCGCCTTCGCTTATACGTTTTATCAAGAATGGCCATAGGCAGGGTGGCAGTCATGAATGTCTCTCTAAATCTTTATTTGTTATGAATTACTTTTTTTTCTTCTTTTATCTTTTGTGAGAAAAAGAGAACTAAGAGAAAAACTTGGAGAAAGAGAGATTACAATGATAATGATAGTGGGAAAGTTTGGATCTCTATGATAAGTATTTGAAGACATAAAATTGAGAGAAGAAAGCTGGAGAGCTCTATGACTTTTCTTTACTTTGAAGTTTATAACTCACACTCCAAAGCAAAGTCTACCGCTTCATGAAGTCTTTAAAAATCTATGAGATTTTGAGCACCAAAAACTATGTAGCCCCGTGATTTTTATGGATTTGTTTTTCTAAAAAAACAGACTTTAAAACTGCTAGTTATAAATACCACAATAGTTTTAAACAGATTCGAGAAGCAAGCAAATAAGGGAATAGATTTTAATAGAATTCCGAAAGGGCATGCTGATTTACAATCATCCAAGCATTCCTCCATTACATCTTAAGCTAATTCCATTACATTACATGGAGCACATATATGATAGTGATTGATTTTAAGTAAAGAAACTAATTCTATACTTTTAACGAGTATAGCCATGCGGATATACTTTTAAAATATTTAGAGCGTATAGCCGCGCAGCTACACTATTAAAATATTGTATTTAATGGGTATAGTCGGGCGGCTATATCATTATAATTTCTATTTATGGTGTTTAACCAGATACTTGTAAAATTTATATTTATAGAGTATAAAGCAACGCGGCTATACTGTTAATATATTGTATTTAGGGAGTATAATGGCTATACTCTTATAATTTCTATTTATGGGTTATAGCCGTGGGGCTTTACTTGAAAATTTTCTATTTATAGCGTATTGCTGGGTGGCTGTACTCTAAACTTCTATTTACACAGTATAGCCGCTCGGCTATACAGTTATAATTTCTATTTATGGAGTATGGCTGCCTGGCTTTACGGGAAAAATTTCTATTCATATAGTATAGCCTCGCGGCTCTACTGTTAAAATTTCTGTATCCAGCAGAAGCACATTGAAACACAGTCACTTTCATGGGAACATCGCTTCAGGATCGCCTGTGAAGTTGTCGGAGCAGTATCATATATGCACTCTGCAACTTCAATCCCCCATCTTCAAGTCTTCTAACATTCTTCTAGACCATAACTACAGTGCTAAAGTATCCGACTTTGGGACTTCAAAATCAGTTCCTCTTGACAAAACTCACTTAACCACAGAAGTACAAGGAACTTTTGGGTACATGGATTTAGAGTACTTCAGATCTAGTAAATTTACAGATAAAAGTGATACCTACAGCTTTGGAGTCACTCGTAGAAATATTAACTGGGAAAACCCCGTTTTCTTTTGCTAAAGATGACGGGGAAAATCTGGTTGCTTCTTTCATTTCACTGACAAGGGAAAACCAACTTGTTCAGATTTTGGATCCTCAAGTGGTTTGAGATGCAGAGATGGAGCATGTTGGAGCAATTGCTGAGCCTGCAACAAGGTGTTTGAGGTTGAATGGGAAAAAGAGGCCTAGTATGAAAGAGGTATCAACAGAGTTGGAAGGATTGAGTAACACTCAAAGATTCCTAGAAAAGTTCCAAGAGCCTCAGTCATTCAAAGATGAAACAACATTCATGCACTCTACCAGTGAAACCATGAAATATCATACAGAGGAAAGCATTCTCTGGGCCAGTGGGGCAAGTTTCCCTTTGCTCCAACGCAAGTTGCAGGGCCATTAGTTGATAGTAAATTACCCCTTGCCATACTCCTACTTCTACTTAAAATACTAAATTCATCCTCGTCATACTTCTCCCTTTGGAAACCAAAATGTGATGTCCTCTATGTGTAACTAATAGGCCTCTGGAGGTGTTCATTGCCATTATTGCAAACATAAGCCGGCTGGAATAATGGCCTCCTCCAGGCATTACCTCCTCTACATGCATCAACATTGCCAAATGAAAGTCCGGGTTCATCTGCTGTATTTTCTTTCCAGATTCCGGTTTTTACCCAAGAAGTAGTGGTAGTCCAAAGAACTGCCTTGTGCTATCGAGTACTTGAATTGAGGAACACATATGCCACTCAAAATTTTTGACTGTTCCTCTTCCCACCGCTCAGCTAAGTCCCTTCCACCCTCCATGATGAGAAGTGCAATCTTGGATCCGTAACATAGCGTCCCAATTGTCCCTTCCATGTCTCCTCACACCTATCCAAAGAAAATCCAACTCCTCTTCAGACCACATGGTACTATATGGCATATATTTGTCATGAAAACTACTCCTTTCATTGAAAGCTCTTTGCTCGGCTTGCAATACTATCATGCATAAGCTTGTGTCTCAATACTGACGATAAATGGCTCGAGGAAGATTGGAGTGCTGCATCTCGGATAAATTCTCTGGTTTCAATGACAGAGTTCAAGAAGGGAAATGCACTGAAGCAGGTATTGGTTGCGCATCCTGCAGTTAAAGGGTTTTCTGATAAGGATAGGCCTAGTAACAGAGGAGATTCTTGTTCTGGTTGATTATTTTTGCCTCCCAACTGAAGAATTTCTTCTTTGTTCTGAAGCTATAGAAGCCGCCGCCACAGGCTGTGTTGTCACTGGTTTTTTCTTCTGAAAATAGCTGGAATCAATTCCAAATATGAAAAGTAAAATAAGATTAGTTGACAGCCAAATCATCCCCAAAACTTCAAACAACAAGACTTACAAATCTCACCCGCAGACACTGGTTTTTTGGTGTAATTTCCTTGGAAAATAGAGGACTAACTTTATCATCATCTTTGCAGCTGTCACCAACTTCTAAAAATTCAAATGCATCTTTGTGTAACCGTGAAGCATGAGTTTCTACTCTTTCAATTCTCGCAGCTGACATTTCTGGAGGAGACGGTTCATGCAATACAGTGGCATTATTTCTGCTAGTAGAATCCAAGGAGTCCCACATAGTTTTTGGCACAGCCAGGTCAGGTTGCGTCTGAGAACTCAAGTTTAAGTCAACATTGCATTCCACAGTGCCACGTGAATCTGCTAGTAAGAATTCTTTTAGATAAAGTATTGTCAGTTAAACACAATGTGAATTGATAATGTTACTGGTTCAAATGCATCCCTAGAAATTAATGAAGTCCTACCAGTGGGGATAACAGACAAGTCCAAATAAGGAAGTAATCTGCCTAAATGAGGGGTTTCTGTTGCTTTAAGATCAGCACTTGATAAAACTTGAGCTTCATCTCTTATCAATGCATGGGTTTTTCCTGGTTTACATAGAGTTGCAGCTTCAGAAGAGGAGTCTCTAGTATCACTACTTTTTCTTAAATGATCCATGCAAAGAACTTCAACATCCATTGCACTTTGAGCACTCTGGCCAAGTACTTCTCCAGCCTGTTGTAAGGCGTCACTGCCTGTCTTTTCCTCATCATGAAGTTGTTCTTCTTCATGCATCAAACTGTCCCGATGAATGAAGTAAGCAATTAAAATATAAGAAACCAATAAGTTCTGAAGTTAATGTAAACCTACATTTTAGTTCCAGCGACGCAGATCCAGCACGAGCATATGTAAAATCAATGATCCGTAGCAAAGAAATTAGATCGGTGATTACAAATTACATATACAGAAATGAAGTATCAGGTTAAGAATGCACATAATGGTGGAGTCAGTCAGCCACTCGAGGGCAACTAAGCACCAACAGTGATGCACCTTTTATTCAGACCTTGTTTTTATACATATGTATTATTATAGAATACATGTAAATGAGAATGTATTTTCCATGTCGCATCTTATTTTCTATTTCTCATTTCACATTATTGTGTTTGTGCTCATGGGCAGATACATTATTTCCAAATTGACAAAAGATAAGCTTCATACATACCTCTCCGGAGTTCTTCAAATCTGCTTCATGATCTACTGAGCAGTTTTCAGGGGAAGTTTCTTCATAAGGAATGGTATTAGTACAAACAGAATTATTCAATTTGGTTATCAATGAACAGCTATTTTCCACGGGCAGTGATTTCCTTTGTATATTAGACTCATACATATCCTTTTTTCTTTTATTCCTTCGGCAGAAAGTAATCAATGGGGTGGTCAACTTGTTTCACGCAAGCTGAATCACCACCTAATTTATCTAACTTATTTCTAGAGAATGAATCAGTGTCTTCTAAGTTTGATGTATTCAATCTTGGCAAGCTACCATCGCATTCAGAGCTGCTTTTTCTTTCAAATGCTGCTGCTGATGATGATGATTTTTGTTTTACAAAATCAGCAGTAATTACAGCGGAATTCATCACCAATTGAGAAGCTAACCTCCCTCCAACACTATTATCATCGACCAATGCTCCAGCATTAGCATTTGAAGATAAGCCTGCTTTCTTGCCACTAGACTTATTCCCATATGCATCTCTTTGGGAAGGAACCTCACCAAGACTTGTCGGAATGGTTTTAATTGGTATTTGTCTTGTGCCAGACACTTCAATGTGTTTCTTTTCCTTATGGGGCTTATCTAGGCATTGGAGATGATACGACTGAAGGCATTTTCCACAGTGCTTCAGGTTACCCCCAACACAGCACACAAAACAACATGGCATACCTGCAAGAAAAAGAGGCAGGTGAGACAGAATATAGCAATGACCTTAATAATAAATTATAGTTCTAAGACAACTAAGAGAAGATCTTCATAGAAACCTAAATTAAAGAACCAAATCTAAATGTTCATCTCAACTAGATACGCTTTCAAGGGTCAGTTGAATAGGGCACATTCTGGTGGTATCTGGTAATCTTTTAAAACCTTTTTCTTTTCAGTATTTTTTTTCAAGAACAAAATTATTAGAGGAAAAATAGGTAAGGATGGATTATTAAATTATCTACTTGAGGATGATTGACATACAACATATATCCCTATGAAACAAACTACAAAAAGTGAACAGGTTCCAACTTTCTAAAATCTCACCGCAGAATTTCTGTTGTAATTTTCTGATGAACGCTTATCAATCAAATGAACTTGCAAGTCTGGTGGTTTGCTTAAAGAAGTATCATCGGGAGCAACAAAAAGTGAATTACGGCACTCATGTCCCTGTACAGGATCTGTTCTTGATTGCCATTTTTGCTTATACGTTAGCAACACTTTGCTTCCTGACATTTTTTTGGACATGAAATTTGTATTTATTCCACTATATGTTCAGTCTCATTTCAACACAGAAAAACCTGCATATGTTAAGGAAGAATAACCAATTAACTAAACAGCAAGTCATGACTCATATAGTTAATACAGTTATGAGTAGCAACACAATGATAGCTGAAGGGCGAAAAACGGATTTCGACTACTCTGAAATTGTGAATCACTATTACGAGGAATGCGGCAAACAAAAATTGTACTAACATTCTCCACCTAAAACACAGGCAGTGAGGTACAAGCATAAATGCCATTTGCATATTAAAGAATAAACATAGCAAGAGAAGCTAAACGCATGCATTCACAGAAATGTTTAAATTTCAGAATCAATTTGAATTCAAGAAGCCTAACGCATGCCATTCACAGAACCTTGTCATTGGAAAGACCACAGAAACTCCATGATAGGACAACTTCATCATTTCCTTCCACAGAAGACAGATACCAAGTCAGCAAATGTTGTATTTTTTTCTTCTGCGCCATGTCGTCAGTGCGAAGAGAGAAGAATATAAGGCGACAAACAGGGAGAGGAATAGAATTAGATGAATTAAGAGTATCATGATCTGTTCTTCTATAGACCTGATTTGTGCTTCATCACTGCCTCGGCTTCCCAATCTCAAGCTCAAATTTGCAGCTAAATTTTTTCAATTTCGGGTTTCAGACTTTCACTCAATCGCAGTGTTTGAAAAGTTAGCCTAGGCGGGAGGCTGGCGCTAGGCAATGGCTAGGTGGCAAGGCGGTGGCTAGGCAGGCTCTAGGCGGCTAGGCAGTGGCTAGGCGGTGGCTAGGCGGCTAGGCGGTGGCTAGGCAGGCGCGCGGTGGCTAGGCGGGCGCTAGACGGCTAGGTAGTAGCTAGGCGGGCGCCTAGGGGGCTGGGTCTTTTTTCAGTGCCGAACCCGGAAGACGAAGCAGTGACTGCGAGAGAAAATTCCGTCCTCTGCGAGCGCAAGCTTCGTGTATTTAAAGCGTATAGCCGCTCGGCTGTACTTGAAAAATATTCGAATGTAATTAGATAGTATAGCCGTGCGGCTGTACGTCTATAATCTCTATGATAAGTAATTGAAGGCATGTAAAATTGAGAGAAGAAAGCTGGAGAGCTCTATGACTTTTCTTTACTTTGAAGTTTATAATTCACACTCCAAAGCAAAGTCTACCGCTTAATGAAGTCTTTAAAAATCCATGAGATTTTGAGCACAAAAAACTGTGTAGCCCCGTGATTTTTATGGATTTGTTTTTTCTAAAAAAACAGACTTTAAAACTGCTAGTTATAAATACCACAATAGTTTTATACAGATTCGAGAAGCAAGCAAATAAGGGAATAGATTTTAATAGCATTCCGAAAGGGCATGCTGATTTACAATCATCCAAGCATTCCTGCATTACATGGAGCACATGTATGATAGTGATTGATTTTATCTACCCTAGACAAGACAAGGACAAATATATAAACTATACAACAACCAGTGCGGAAAAAAACATACAAAACCTTCCCCCACCCCATCCTAAAATGGCTGGCAAAACAGGACGGGCATAACCTAACAAGGTAAGCAACTCAAAGAGATAGAGCAATTTACCAATGCCGCATGACAAAAATATCACAAAGCCTATGAGAATGATGATCCCCACAACAATCAATTTTATCTTCATATTCTGAAACCACATCTTCCTTTTCATTTTTGTTCCCTGTGTCCTGAAATCTTGGGCCTACAACACAAACACACCATTGTTTTCAACATATAAAAACGCCATATCAACAGCACAAAAGAGGAAAGGAAATTAAAAGATGATTTTTAAAATAAATATAAAAACTTGGAGAGAAAACCATATCACTCTCCATCACCCAAACCTAATAAACTAAACATAAGTTATGCTTCTTCGACTAACCTAGGAGCGAAGATAATCAGTTTTGTCCACCAACAGATCAATATTCTCCCCGCGGTCAAGAACCTGCAGAATAGATGAATTTCCATGACTAAAAATGGATGACATATTTACCTACTTGGAATCAGAATGAAAATGGGCCTAGAGAACGAAGCAGTGACTGCGAGAAAAAGCTCCGTCCTCTGCGAGTGCAAGCGTCGTGTTCGTTCGAATATATTTAAAGAGTATAGCCGATCGGCTGTACGTTTAAAATATTCGAGTGTAATTAGACAGTATAGCCGTGCGGCTGTACGTGTATAATTTCTATTTATAAAGTCGAGCCTTGCGGCTATAATGGAAGCATATCGTACAAAAGAAGACATATCTTCCAAATGAGAAGCGCATAAGGCCAGAGGTTATCCCTGCAAATGAGATTGGAGTCACATTTGCAGACATTGGTGCATTGGATGATATCACTTCAGGAGTTGGTCATGCTCCCGCTTCGAAGACCAGACCCTTACAAAGGTGGGCTTCTTAAGCCTTGTAGAGGCATTTTGCTTTTTGGTCCTCCTGGCACTGGAAAAACAATTCTGGCAAAAGCCATTGCAAATGAAGCAGGAGCAAGTTTTATCAATGTCTCGATGTCCACCATCACTTCAAAATGGTTTGGAGAAGATGAAAAAAAACGTCCGAGCTCTGTTCACACTCGCAGCAAAGGTCTCCCCAACTATTATCTTTGTGGATGAGGTTGATAGCATGCTTGGGCAGCGGACCAGAGTTGGGGAGCATGAGGCCATGAGGAAGATAAAAAACGAGTTCATGACACACTGGGATGGGCTGTTGACAAAAACGGGAGAGCGAATTCTTGTTCTGGCTGCAACCAACAGATAATTTGACCATGATGAAGCAATCATCAGGCGGTTTGAGCGCAGTTATAAAAAATGATTTGTACGGAGAAGGTGGCTCAAGGAAGAAGCAACAACTCACTTACTTCCTGTAAAACATTAATAATACATGGGGACGCAGGCGTCCTAGACAGTGATCAGCTTCATTCTTTGAGAAAGAGTGTGAAGATTTGAGGAAGTTGGAAACTCCACCTGAAACACAAATGTTTGATGGCTCGTGACAACGTGACGATCAATTAGAAGCAGCTCTAGCTCTGATCCTCAAACGAAGAAAACGTTACAACCCAATGAACGTATACACCGGCGTACAATATACATAAATATTGTATTTTGTAAGAGAGGATTTGGCATTTGTTCACCAAATGTAAAGGGAGGGTGGGTTCTCGGTATTTTATTAAGCTGTCTTGCAAGCAAATTACCACCAGCTGGGGTTTTAGTCATGTTCTGTGAACGTGTGGTATTTGGAAATGCATGCGGGATTTCAGATTGGTGGGGAGGGAACTTGGAGTGAATTTAATTTGTTTGATATGATATATATATATATATATAGCCTGTCGCTTATGGACAATATTCAAATACAGTCAGAGCATTTGTACATTTTTCTTAAATTCTGTAACACTTGATAATGCATTGCTCTTTGTATTACATAAAACATGTGAATTACGGCACTCATGTCCCTGTACAGGATCTGTTCTTGATTGCCGCTTTCGCTTATACGTTTTATCGAGAATGGCCATAGGCAGGGTGACAGTCATGAATGTCTCTCTAAATCTTTATTTGTTATGAATTACTTATTTTTCTTCTGTTATCTTTTGTGAGAAAAATAAAACTAAGAGAAAAACTTGGAGAAAGAGAGATTACAATGATAATGATAGTGGGAAAGTTCCGATCTCTATGATAAGTATTTGAAGACATATAAAATTGAGAGAAGAAAGCCGGAGAGCTCTATGACTTTTCTTTACTTTGAAGTTTATAATTCACACTCCAAAGCAAAGTCTACCGCTTAATGAAGTCTTTACAAATCCATGAGATTTTGAGCACCAAAAATTGTGTAGCCCCGTGAATTTTATGGATTTGTTTTTCTAAAAAAAACAGACTTTAAAACTCCTAGTTATAAATACCACAATAGTTTTAAACAGATTCGAGAAGCAAGCAAATAAGGGAATAGATTTTAATAGCATTCCGAAAGGGCATGCTGATTTACAATCATCCAAGCATTCCTGCATTACATCTTAAGCTAATTAAGGATCCATTACATTACATGGAGCACATGTATGATAGTGATTGATTTTACCTACTCTAGACAAGACAAGGACAAATAAATAAACTATACAACAACCATTGTGAAAAAAAAACATACAAAACTTTCCCCCACCCCATCCTAAAATGGCTTGCAAAACGGGACGGGCTTAACCTAACAAGGTAAGCAACTCAGAGATAGAGCAATTTACCAATGCCGCATGACAGCACGAAAGCGTCCATGGACATATTCCGATGCAAACTTAGGTACACTTAAAAACCACGGCAGATTGACAAAAATATCACAAAGCCTATGAGAATGATGATCCCCACAACAATCAATTTTATCTTCATATTCTGAAACCACATTTTCCTTTTCATTTTTGTTCCCTGTGTCCTGAAATCTTGGGCCTACAACACAAACACACCATTGTTTTCAACGTATAAAAACGCCATATCAACAGCACAAAAGAGGAAAGGAAATTAAAAGATGATTTTTAAAATAAATATAAAAACTTGGAGAGAACCATATCACTCTCCATCACCCAAACCTAATAAACTAAACATAAGTTATGCTTCTTTGACTAACCTAGGAGCGAAGATTATCAGTTTTATCCACCAACAGCTCAATATTCTCACCGCGGTCAAGAACCTGCAGAATAGATGAATTTCCATGACTAAAAATGAATGATATATTTACCTACTTGGAATCAGAATGAAAATGGGCCTAGGCGGGCGGCTAGGCGGGTGCTAGGCGGCTAGGCGGTGGCTAGGCGGTTGGGCGGGCACTAGGCGGCTAGGCTGTGGCTAGGCCGGCGCTAGACAGCTGGGCGGTGGCTAGGCGAGCGCCTAGGCGGGTTGGGTCTCTTTTGGGTGCCGAACCCAGAGGACGAAGCAGTGACTGCGAGAAAAAGTTCCGTCCTCTGCGAGTGCAAGCGTCGTGTTCGTTTGAATATTTAAAGAGTATAGCCGCTCGGCTGTAATTTTAAAATATTTGAATATTAGAAAGTATAGCCGTGCGGCTGTAAGTTTATAATTTCTATTTATAAAATAGCCTTGCGGCTATAATGGAAGCGTATCATATGAAAGAAGACGTATCAATCCAGATGAAACGTATCATACAAAAGAATATGCAATATAAACATATACCAATTTCTGAGCTGTTGTTGCTGTGTCCTTTCGAGGATGAACGAATACCATTGCATGTTAACCTTGCCTGAGTGAGTCAACAACCTGGCAGAAAAAATATAATTCAGTTAAATAATCATTCGAATACATACATTACACAAAGGAAAGCATAAGGAAAAAAGAAACTTTCATGTGGCATATACCATTTTGCAGCTCAATACGCGCGGGCTGTAAAATTCTGCTCACTAACACATCGGCGGTAACTGGAATCAAACAAGAAGAGACCTGCTTCTGGATTCACTCTCAGAAACTGTAATTTAAATAGTATAGCCTTTTAAATATTAATGTTTAAAATTCTAATGTGTATTTTTAGGAATTTTTGCGTAGGATTCTTCTCTCACAAAGCAGTTTCCTCACAACATTATTGAAGGGAAGAGAAATCACCAGCAGACTAGTCCAACAGAGACTAAAGATTGCATATCGAGGAAACTGAATATGTGAACAAGAACATCTTGTGGCAGCTGGGTTGAACCTGAAACTACAGGGATAGGAGACAAAAAAGTTAACAAGGCTATACTCCATAAATATAAATTATAACGATATAGCCACCCGACTATACCTGTTGAATACAATATTTTAATAGTGTAGCTGCGCAGCTGTACACTCTAAATATTTTAAAAGTTTATCCGCACGGCTATACTCATTAAAAGTATAAAATTAGTTTCTTTACTTTTTTCTTAGGCAGCTTTTGTTATTTAATATATGTAATTAAGTAATGTCTTAGTCTTTTTGAATTACTTTAATTATTGTTTCTTTGGTAAAAAATAGAATATTTTAAGGGATAGCTGCACGGCTAGAACCCATAAATAGAAATTATAAAAGTACAACAGCTTGGCTGTACTCTATATACAATATATTACCGGTATAGCCGCGCGGCGATACTATAAATAGAAATTTTAAAACTATAGCCGTAAGGCTAGACTCTATAAATAGAAATTTAAACAGTAGAGCCGCACAGCTACAAGCTATATATATAAATTTTACATGTCACGACCCGATCCGAGAATAAAGAATATTCCCGAATCAGGGTACGTGAATTGAAATAAATAAATAAAAGAACTGAAAAATTGGTTACAATACGTTACCATTATATTTATATATAAAAAAATTATAATAATCTTACAAGTGTACAAGATATAAATAAAAGTTTATCACTCTAAACTAATCCAACTTTTCTGGTTTCGGCTTTGTCTTGCTCACTAATTGATTTGAAAAACAAAATAGGTGAGGGATGAGCAAACCACCGCTTAGTGAGTAGATTATGTAATATGCCTGTCAAACAATGTCATTTTACACTCTCTAGAAAAATATAATAAAAAGATACACAATCCAAATCATATCACATTATTACTTCATATCTTGGTTATCCTTCACAATTTGTACCTAGTACGTGACCCCTATCGGCCTCACTACCCTATGTACCCGTTTAGTACATTTATCATTTGGATACCCCATCACTAAAGTTTTCATATTCCATGAATAATACATACTTCACAAAAACTCCAAATAATATATATTGTGTGAAATATTGCACAAATTAGACATGCTTGAATTGAAAATAGAGAGAAGTTTGTAAATAGTTTTTCACATTTATCACAAAATAAGACTTTTAGAATATATTACATAACCCACTCACCATGGTAAGTATGAAATATTGCAAGACAAACACACACGCTCTTCATCTGGTTTCTTTTTCTTCCTTCTCTCTCTCTCTCTCTCTCTCTCTCTCTCTCTCTCTCTCTCTCTCTCTCTCTCTCTAACACTACTTCATGGTAGAAATCTACCATAAAAGATTGGAATGAATGATTGAAGTAAGCAAGTATGATACTTATAGGAGAGGCTATGGATGCACCCAAATAATATTTATATCTACAATATTTTAAACCACCAAAAGATAAGATAGAAGTAAGGGAATAATATGACTCATCCCCTACTGGCCAATGATATCACAACATCACCACCAAAAGATAAGATAGAAAGATAAGGAAATAATGTGAGTCATCCACCTTTGGCCTATGATATCACAACATCACTTGTTACAAGCATGCAAGGTGGCATGGCAATGATGATTTAATTAAAACCAATTCTAAGTCTCTACACGTGGAAAACAAGAATTGTGTCATCTTTCAACAAAAGGGATAATCTCATACTAGGCTTAAGATTTAATAATATATAAGTCTTCACAAAAAATATTTAACTAAGAAAAATGTATTATTTTACAGTTTCTCACATTACAAGTCTAGCCGCTTGGCTATACATAAATAGAAATTAAGGGGTATAGCCGTGCGGTTATACTATGCATAATCTATTTTTTAAGAAAAGACCTTGGTATAGCCGCATGGCTGTACTATTTATTTTTAAAAAATAAAATATTAAAAATAGGAACCGCCTAATAGCACCTATTCGGAAGATTTTTATTTTTATTTTTTAAAAGAATATAGCCATGCGGCTATAAAAAGAGTCTTAATTTCTCGCTTTACACCCTAAAATGGAAATTTTCTCACTTAACCTTCTGGAACTGAAAAGTTCGGCCACCATATAATATTTTCATATAATTTTATGTGTAAAATACTTGAATTTTGTATGTATTATTGAAAATTTTGTAGAAAAACACATGTATTAAACATGAAAAATATGTACATACGTGTATTGTACTAAGTCTTTAAGACGTGTATGCAAAACGAAAGTATTATTAAAAAAATACAACCGTATATGTATAATACAAGTGTTAAACAGGAAAATGCTAGTTAAAGTTCAAGAGACAATAGAGACTCAGATAATGGCAAAATAGTAATGGATAATGCTCTAAACTACTCTTATCAATAAAAGAAAATTAGGAAAAGATTTTGGTTTTTTTAAAAAGGATCCCAGTATATATTTAGATACTCTTTAAAATTTATTTTAATATTTAAAAAGTATAGATATGCGAATACAAATTTGCGCTCAAGAAACCCAAAAATCAATCTTAGGATTTCGGTTTTGATTCGATTCCTACACTCTGAAAGGTGCTGCACCAGAAAAGCAAAACTTTGTGTCTCCTCCTCCAGTTGCTATATTCTACCTGCCGGAATAGGGAATGATCTGTCTAGAGTTTTCTACTAATCTTCTGCTTGATGATGTCTGGTTTGTAGATAATGCCGTAAATTGAGGGAGGCAAGTGCATAGGGTTGCAAGACTAAGAAAGAAACTGTGTTTGTATAGCGCAGCGGCCAACGGATTTATTTTAAGCCATCAATATAGTTCTTAAGTTTCTTGAAGAATCGTTCAACTTTGTAAATTTCCAAGCTCCCTACCAAAGCATCACGTCTTTCTCAGTGTATTAAAAACACTTCCAATAACAGTTTACTGTCCTGGCGGAAGTGGCTCTAATAGACATTATCTAATAATGAAAACAAAGGCATCTGTAAAAGATTTGTTTGACGAGCAAAACAAAAAAGATGTAATGTTAAGTAACCTAGTAAGAGGATATCAGAATTCCACATTTATGATGTCTTGCACATGATAGGAATAAAACATCGCTGTGGACTAGTGAAGAATCATGTGTAGGAGGAGGAGAAGCCAAAACACCTCCTGATGGAAAATAAGCCTCTTCTAGCCGGCAATGACTCGGGTTTATCCTTAGATTTATTGTGAGGAAAGTGCCTATGAAAGGCATTCACTGCTCCTGTCACCCCCATCTTTCGCCATCCATGGCCTTGGCAATTTCAACAGCACACTCTTTAACCTTTCAACATAAAATAGTTATTTATTTGTTAATTTAATCTATTCAGGTCCACGCAAGGGATTGAAATAACATAAAATAACCCCAGAGTTGTGACAAGTATTTGCATGTTGAAATTGATTACAAAACAATGTCAACTTCAATTAAATCAGTGCGTCTGCATGTGTGATAAGTTTACACTCAAGAAATGACAAATTTTATTTAAATCACTTGGAAGTTTAAAAAGAAAATGGTAAATACCTTTGGATCTAACATGAAGCGTATCGCATCAACCAACTTTTCAAGCGAGAATTCATCAGCTGGAATGGGTGCAGAACCTACTCCTCTGGCATGCACCCTCTCCCCCCAAAATGGCTGGTCCCCAAAGAATGGTACAATTGTGGTTGGAGACTAAAAAGAACACAGAATATGAGCCAAATGAGTAACTGAATCATTTACAAATGTAAGACCCCCAAGAATATAGCATTATCAGTTACCGCAGCTTTCAGACTAGCAGGAATTGTCCCAGCACCCCCATGATGCACCTAAGAAATTTTTTTCATATCCAGTGAGAAACCGGGAGTAGCCTAGTTATCCAAGGGGGGAACAAAACAACAAAACGACAAAAAGGTGCATCAAGTTCATGTGACGTTCTGAACACCAGTGCAGTGAAATCCCCAACCAAATTAAAAAGAATTAAAAGCATTGAAATTTACCAGAGCAGAGCATCGTTGGAATGGCCAATCATGGGGGCAATTGTCCACTAAATACACAGAATCACTCGGTTCTGCCACTGAGAAGAGAAATATATGAAGGCTTTCAGATGTAAAGAAGCATAAGAATACAATGTGCTTGAAAGTAATCTTTTTTTAAGAATCGAGACTTACAATATTACCAAGGCCACCCCAGTCTCGGTTGATGACGCCTCTCTGTCCAGTTATTTCCAGAGCTTGAAGAATAATACTGGTCATTTACTCTGGTTCTTCAAGAGGCTAATACAATACACATAAAAAAAAAATTTAGCAAGCAAGACAATTTACCATTTCAATCAAATGTACAATCAAGTAACCTTAACTATGCAATTCAGAGGTATGTATTAGACATGCCTCAGTCAAATTAGATATTGAACAACTGAACAACCAAAGGGTCGATTTGTCATCTGTCATGAATAGACCTCCACAACCTGTTTGTTGGGGACCAACATGAAGGTGGTCACTCTTTGGGGATTGTGGCTTTAGTTGATTGTTTTAATTGGGAAGGAACAAGTAATTCTTTCAGGGTAAGGACAAACAGAGCTACCCGGGGATAGAACTGGGAAAAGAATATTAAACATGAATAGAGAAAGCTGCAATAAACTCACAAGGCTATTAAATCCAATATAGACAGGCTGTTCACCAGCTTCAAGCCACTACGCAAGTGAATCTGGGGGTTCATAATTTGAAGCAAGGTCAAGAAAACAAAAAACAACATCAACCTTCGGTCCCCAATCTGCCAAACAAGTAAAACGTAGAGCATCTCAGCAAATAATCAGCATACTGTATTCTCATTTGGTCAAGCTGGTCTATTTCTACCGCATCAAATCATATTCCTGAGGCTTCTACAATATTATCAGCATACTATTGCTAGAACAAGAATAAGCCCATGTCATAAGATATGCTTAATAATCCAAAACCACCATGAGGATTCTGAAATGACCATGTATCTCTATCATACGAAGGCATCTTCTTGTACTCTTTCTTCATATTAAATGAAATTATGACCTTAGTTTACTTTTGATGAAATAAATTACCTCGAAGATTCATAAACTAGTGGAGGGATCTAGTAGACAGTAGATTGTGAAATTATTCACATACATTTTTGGCCAACGAGATTATCGACAAACTTTAGAGTGCAAAACAAGTAAGAAACAAGGTGAAGAGTAGTAAGGAAATTCACAAGGAAAAAAATAGTAACAAGCTCTGCGAGTTCATACTTGAACTGCATAAATGTTGAAATATAAGTGTTTTAGCTTATATGATTTTGTATTTAGTTTAAATTTACAGATTTAAATGTGAGCCCTTGGATTACAGTCCAAGTGGACAGCTAAGATGTAATCTTAGAATAGAAGAATGGATGGCTAGATTTGGATGATGTAATTTGGGAATTTCCTGTTCCAGCTGTTATTAGTGCACAGTGTGTGCGTGAGAAGAATAACAGAATTCATCTTTTTGTTCCTTCCTCAAGCTCTCTCTCATTCTGAACATCTCTCTGAAACCTTCACTCATTCAGTAGCATTTGTAGAATGCAAGTTATAATTCAGATCATAGTCTGAATTCTAACAATCGAGTGGTATCAAAGCGTCCTTTCTGCATTTTGCATCCTTCCTTGAGTTTAAAGCAAAGAGCTCTCATAGCAGATGCTGCACGTGACCTGGACAAAGCAAAAATGATGCGCTTTGATGAGAGAAGTAGCAACTTCTATTGTACAGAAATTTGTCGAATTGCAAGCCGCTTTTATATTCAATGCTCAAGTGTCGAAACATACAGTGAAATGTTGAGACGCCACATGAATGAGACTGAGATTATTGTTTATGTGAATTATTTTATATGTATTTTTACTTTATTTTCCTACCAGTTACACCCCATTCATTTCTTCTATCAAACTCGTTTTCAGAAAAGAATCCTACGCAAAAATTCCTAAAAATACACTTTAGAATTTTAAACATTAATATTTAAAAGGCTATACTATTTAAATTACAATTTCTGAGAGTGAATCCAGAAGCAGGACTCTTCTTGTTTGATTCTAGTTATCGCCAATGTATTAGTGAGCAGAATTTTACAGCCCGCGTATTGAACTGCAGAATTGCATATGCTACAAGAAGGTTTTTTTTTCCTTAGGCTCTCCTTTGTGTAATGTATGTATTCGAATGATTATTTAACTGATTGATATTTTTTCTGCCAGGTGTTGACTCACTCAGGCAAGGTTAACATGCAATGGTATTTGTTCATTCTCCAAAGGACACAGCAACAACAGCTCAGAAATTGGTATACGTTTATATTCCATCTTCTTTTGTATGATACGTCTTCTTTCATATGATACGCTTCCATTATAGCCGCAAGGCTCGACTCTATAAATAGAAATTATAAACGTACAGTCGAACGGCTATACTTTATAATTACATTCAAATATTTTGACCGTACAGCCGAGCGGCTATATTATTTAAATACTCGCAGAGGACGGAACTTTTTCTTGCAGTCGCTGCTTCGTCCTCTGGGTTCGGCACCGAAAAAAGACCCAACCCGCCTAGGCGCCCGCCTAACCACCTTCCAGCTGCCGCCTAGCCACCGCCTAGCCTCCCGCCTAGGCCCATTTTCATTCCGATTCCAAGTAGGTAAATATGTCATCCATTTTTAGTCATGGAAATTCATCTATTCTGCAGTGTCTTGACCGCGGTGACAAGATTGAGGTGTTGGTGGACAAAACTGATAATCTTCGCTCCTAGGTTAGTCGAAGAAGCATAACTTATGTTTAGTTTATTAGGTTTGGGTGATGGAGAGTGATATGGTTTTCTCTCCATGTTTATATTTATTTTAAAAATCATCTTTTAATTTCCTTTCCTCTTTTGTGCTGTTGATATGGCGTTTTTATACGTTGAAAACAATGGTGTGTTTGTGTTGTAGGCCCCAAGATTTCAGGACACAGGGAACAAAAATGAAAAGGAAGATGTGGTTTCAGAATATGAAGATAAAATTGATTGTTGTGGGGATCATCATTCTCATAGGCTTTGTGATATTTTTGTCAATCTGCCGTGGTTTTTAAGTGTACCTAAGTTTGCATCGGAATATGTCCATGGACGCTTTCGTGCTGTCATGTGGCATTGGTAAATTGCTCTATCTCTTTGAGTTGCTTACCTTGTTAGGTTAAGCCCGTCCCGTTTTGCAAGCCATTTTAGGATGGGGTGGGGGAAAGTTTTGTATGTTTTTTTTTCGCACTGGTTGTTGTATAGTTTATTTATTTGTCCTTGTCTTGTCTAGAGTAGGTAAAATCAATCACTATCATACATGTGCTCCATGTAATGTAATGGATCCTTAATTAGCTTAAGATGTAATGCAGGAATGCTTGGATGATTGTAAATCAGCATGCCCTTTCGGAATGCTATTAAAATCTATTCCCTTATTTGCTTGCTTCTCGAATCTGTTTAAAACTATTGTGGTATTTATAACTAGGAGTTTTAAAGTCTGTTTTTTTTAGAAAAACAAATCCATAAAATTCACGGGGCTACACAATTTTTGGTGCTCAAAATCTCATGGATTTGTAAAGACTTCATTAAGCGGTAGACTTTGCTTTGGAGTGTGAATTATAAACTTCAAAGTAAAGAAAAGTCATAGAGCTCTCCGGCTTTCTTCTCTCAATTTTATATGTCTTCAAATACTTATCATAGAGATCCGAACTTTCCCACTATCATTATCATTGTAATCTCTCTTTCTCCAAGTTTTTCTCTTAGTTTTCTTTTTCTCACAAAAGATAAAAGAAGAAAAATAAGTAATTCATAACAAATAAAGATTTAGAGAGACATTCATGACTGTCACCCTGCCTATGACCATTCTCGATAAAACGTATAAGCGAAAGCGGCAATCAAGAACAGATCCTGTACAGGGACATGAGTGCCGTAATTCACATGTTTTATGTAATACAAAGAGCAATGCATTATCAAGTGTTACAGAATTTAAGAACAATGTACAAATGCTCTGACTGTATTTGAATATTGTCCATAAGCGACAGGCTATATATATATATCATATCAAACAAATTAAATTCACTCCAAGTTCCCTCCCTACCAATCTGAAATCAAGCATGCCTTTCCAAATACCACACGTTCACAGAACATGACTAAAACCCCAGCTGGTGGTATTTTGCTTGCAAGACGGCTTAATAAAATACCGAGAACCCACCCTCCCTTTACATTTGGTGAACAAATGCCAAATCCTCTCTTACAAAATACAATATTTATGTATATTGTACCGGTGTATACGTTCATTGGGTTGTAACGTTTTCTTCGTTTGAGGATCAGAGCTAGAGCTGCTTCTAATTGATCGTCACGTTGTCACGAGCCATCAAACATTTGTGTTTCAGGTGGAGTTTCCAACTTCCTCAAATCTTCACATTCTTTCTCGAAGAATGAAGCTGATCACTGTCTAGGACGCCTGCTTCCCCATGTATTATTAATGTTTTACAGGAAGTAAGTGAGTTGTTGCTTCTTCCTTGAGCCACCTTCTCCGTACAAATCATTCCACTGTTGCAGCTCACTCATTACTGATCCTCTGAAGCGAAACTGGCAGCAACCTGCATCACACCATAGACATGTATAAACATACATGCAAAACTTAACACACATAAAAGAGATGGTATTTTATGGAGGCAAAATGTTGAAAAAAGGTCAAGTTAGTTACCTGATTCTTTGCCTGCCGCATATCTTCCATGTTTAAAGCTCTCAGAGTAATTTCTCGGTCCTCTTTCTCTTCCTCTTTTGTCTCTGAAGCATCTTCTGAGCTCTTGCCTTGTGCTTCTCTCTTCTTCTTTTCCTGTAGTTCCAAGTATTCGAAAATCATTAAGCATTACTGTAAATGAGAATTTGGAAAAATATGAATATTGCCAAGGCAGAGGAAGAGCGTAAGAGGTAGTTAGTTACCATATCCTTTTGTCTCTCCTTGAAGTCTAGATTTTCAACCTTTTCTTTTGAAAGAAGAGTTTTCAAGATCATTTCCCTATTCTCGACGGAGGGAAGACCAACCATGACTCTGTTCAACACAAAAAAGAGTTCAAAGTTAGCAGACATGAAGTTGAAATCACAAATTTTTTCTGTCATATAAGAGTTACCGATCAACAAAAATTGAATGAAAATTGAAAAGGAATGTTGCGAACTCTGACTACAAAAAAATATAGATTTATAACTGCGCTCAAACCGCCTGATGATTGCTTCATCAAGGTCAAATGGTCTGTTGGTTGCAGCCAGAACAAGAATTCGCTCTCCGGTTTTTGTCAACAGCCCATCCCAGTGTGTCATGAACTCGTTTTTTATCTTCCTCATGGCCTCATGCTCCCCAACTCTGGTCCGCTGCCCAAGCATGCTGTCAACCTCATCCACAAAGATAATAGTTGGGGAGACCTTTGCTGCGAGTGTGAACAGAGCTCGGACGTTTTTTTTTCATCTTCTCCAAACCATTTTGAAGTGATGGTGGACATCGAGACATTGATAAAACTTGCTCCTGCTTCATTTGCAATGGCTTTTGCCAGAATTGTTTTTCCAGTGCCAGGAGGACCAAAAAGCAAAATGCCTCTACAAGGCTTAAGAAGCCCACCTTTGTGAGGGTCTGGTCTCCGAAGCGGGAGCATGACCAACTCCTGAAGTGATATCATCCAATGCACCAATGTCTGCAAATGTGACTCCAATCTCCTTTGCAGGGATAACCTCTGGCCTTATGCGCTTCTCATTTGGAAGATACGTCTTCTTTTGTACGATACGCTTCCATTATAGCCGCAAGGCTCGACTTTATAAATAGAAATTATACACGTACCGCCGAACGGCTATACTGTCTAATTACACTCGAATATTTTAAACGTACAGCCGATCGGCTATACTCTTTAAATATATTCGAACGAACACGACGCTTGCACTCGCAGAGGACGGAGCTTTTTCTCGCAGTCACTGCTTCGTCCTCTGGGTTCGGCACCCAAAAAAGACCCAACCCGCCTAGCCGCCTAGCCACCGCCTAGCCACCGCCTAGCGCCCGCCTAGCCGCCTAGCCACCGCCTAGCCGCCCGCCTAGGCCCATTTTCATTCTGATTCCAAGTAGGTAAATATGTCATCCATTTTTAGTCATGGAAATTCATCTATTCTGCAGGTTCTTGACCGCGGGGAGAATATTGATCTGTTGGTGGACAAAACTGATTATCTTCGCTCCTAGGTTAGTCGAAGAAGCATAACTTATGTTTAGTTTATTAGGTTTGGGTGATGGAGAGTGATATGGTTTTCTCTCCAAGTTTTTATATTTATTTTAAAAATCATCTTTTAATTTCCTTTCCTCTTTTGTGCTGTTGATATGGCGTTTTTATATGTTGAAAACAATGGTGTGTTTGTGTTGTAGGCCCAAGATTTCAGGACACAGGGAACAAAAATGAAAAGGAAGATGTGGTTTCAGAATGTGAAGATAAAATTGATTGTTGTGGGGATCATCATTCTCATAGGCTTTGTGATATTTTTGTCATGCGGCATTGGTAAATTGCTCTATCTCTTTGAGTTGCTTACCTTGTTAGGTTATGCCCGTCCTGTTTTGCCAGCCATTTTAGGATGGGGTGGGGGAAGGTTTTGTATGTTTTTTTCGGCACTGGTTGTTGTATAGTTTATATATTTGTCCTTGTCTTGTCTAGGGTAGATAAAATCAATCACTATCATATATGTGCTCCATGTAATGTAATGGATCCTTAATTAGCTTAAGATGTAATGGAGGAATGCTTGGATGATTGTAAATCAGCATGCCCTTTCGGAATGCTATTAAAATCTATTCCCTTATTTGATTGCTTCTCGAATATGTTTAAAACTATTGTGGTATTTATAACTAGCAGTTTTAAAGTCTGTTTTTTTAGAAAAACAAATCCATAAAAATCACGCCTTCAATTACTTGTCATAGAGATTATAAACGGGGCTACACAGTTTTTTGTGCTCAAAATCTCATGGATTTTTAAAGACTTCATAAGCGGTAGACTTTGCTTTGGAGTGTGAATTATAAACTTCAAAGTAAAGAAAAGTCATAGAGCTCTCCAGCTTTCTTCTCTCAATTTTACATGCCTTCAATTACTTATCATAGAGATTATAAACGTACAGCCGCACGGCTATACTATCTAATTACATTCGAATATTTTAAGAGTACAGCCGAGCGGCTATACGCTTTAAATACACGACGCTTGCACTCGCAGAGGACGGAATTTTCTCTCGCAGTCACTGCTTCGTCCTTCGGGTTCCGCACTGAAAAAAGACCTAGCCGCCTAGGCGCCCGCCTAGCTACTACCTAGCCGTCTAGCGCCCGCCTCGCCACCACCTAGCCGCCTAGCGCCCGCCTAGCCACCGCCTAGCCGCCTAGCGCCCGCCTAGCCACCGCCTAGCCGCCTAGAGCCTGCCTAGACACTGCCTAGCCGCCTAGCGCCTGCCTAGCCACCGCCTTGCCGCCTAGCCACTGCCTAGCGCCAGCCTCCCGCCTAGGCTGACTTTTCAAACACTGCGATTGAGTGAAAGTCTGAAACCCGAAATTGAAAAAATTTAGCTGCAAATTTGAGCTTGAGATTGGGAAGCCGAGGCAGTGATGAAGCACAAATCAGGTCTATAGAAGAACAGATCATGAGACTCTTAATTCATCTAATTCTATTCCTCTCCCTGTTTGTCGCCTTATATTCTTCTCTCTTCGCACTGACGACATGGCGCAGAAGAAAAAAAATACAACATTTGCTGACTTGGTGTCTGTCTTCTGTGGAAGGAAATGATGAAGTTGTCCTATCATGGAGTTTCTGTGGTCTTTCCAATGACAAGGTTCTGTGAATGGCATGCGTTAGGCTTCTTGAATTCAAATTGATTATGAAATTTAAACATTTCTGTGAATGGCATGCGTTTAGCTTCTCTTGCTATGCTTATTCTTTAATATGCAAATGACATTTATGCTTGTACCTCACTGCCTGTGTTTTAGGTGGAGAATGTTAGTACAATTTTTGTTTGCCGCATTCCTCGTAATAGTGATTCACTATTTCAGAGTGGTAGAAATCCGTCTTTTGCCCTTTAGCTATCATTGTGTTGCTACTCATAACTGTATTAACTATATGAGTCATGACTTGCTGTTTAGTTAATTGGATATTCTTCCTTAACATATGCAGGTTTTTCTGTGTTGAAATGAGACTGAACATATAGTGGAATAAATACAAATTTCATGTCCAAAAAAATGTCAGGAAGCAAAGGTGTTGCTAACGTATAAGCAAAAACGGCAATCAAGAACAGATCCTGTACAGGGACATGAGTGCCGTAATTCACTTTTTGTTGCTCCCGATGATACTTCTTTAAGCAAACCACCAGACTTGCAAGTTCATTTGATTGATAAGCGTTCATCAGAAAATTACAACAGAAATTCTGCGGTGAGATTTTAGAAAGTTGGAACCTGCTCACTTTTTTTAGTTTGTTTCATAGGGATATATCTTGTATGTCAATCATCCTTATGTAGATAATTTAATAATCTTGAAAATTTTGTTCTTGAAAAAAAATACTGAAAAGAAAAAGGTTTTAAGGGATTACCAGATACCACCAGAATGTGCCCTATTCAACCGACCCTTGAAAGCGTATCTAGTTGAGATGAACATTTAGATTTGGTTCTTTAATTTAGGTTTCCATGAAGATCTTCTCTTAGTTGTCTTAGACCTATAATTTATTATTAAGGTCATTGCTATATTCTGTCTCACCTGCCTCTTTTTCTTGCAGGTATGCCATGTATGTTTTGTGTGCTGTGTTGGGGGTAACCTGAAGCACTGTGGAAAATGCCTTCAGTCGTATCATCTCCAATGCCTAGATAAGCCCCATAAGGAAAAGAAACACATTGAAGTGTCTGGCACAAGACAAATACCAATTAAAACCGTTCCGACAAGTCTTGATGAGGTTCCTTCCCGAAGAGATGCATATGGGAATAAGTCTAGTGGCAAGAAAGTAGGCTCATCTTCAAATGCTAATGCTGGAGCATTGGTTGATGATAATAATGTTGGAGGGAGGTTAGTTTCTCAATTGGTGATGAATTCCGCTGTAATTACTGCTGATTTTGTAAGACAGAAATCATCATCAGCAGAAGCAGCATTTGAAAGAAAAAGCAGGATTTCGGTTTTGCTTTGATTCCTACACTCTGAATTTTCCCTCTCTTTGTGGATCAAGCTAAGGCTAGGGTTTTCTCTGAACAGCGCGATCCATCTCCATCTCCTGGGAATGTCGCTGTAAGTTCCCTTATTTATTTATTTATTTTTTCAAACACTTTCACTTTATTTTCTGAAATCTTCACGGTTCAATGTATTTATTGATTATTATTTCAAAATCGAGACACACTCATAGATATGTATTCGTGGTTACATATTAGAATGTATGTACATATGTTATGCTTTGCTTTTAGACTATTCTGTTTGGTTTCCGAGAAAATAGAATAGAAAGTGAAGTATGAAGCGGGTTTTGTGTGGCGTGAAGGTTGTGTGTTGCTTTGGTCTCTAGAGATGGGGGTGTTTTGTTTTTCCACTGGTCTGTCATTTAATTTAAAATATCACTAAATTATGATAGAACTGTGGTGGACTTTGTATTTCCTTCATGTTTACATGTATTTTGTATCTGGCTTTTACATCTGAATTTTGATATGAAACTAATCATGGCAGCAAGTGCTTTGTATTTGGAATGATATTTGTTTTACTTATGAAACGTTTTCAGTTTTTTTTTAAGGTTGAAGCGGTTACAGTAAGTAGCACCTATAACAAGCATTGTTCGACTCTCTGTTGCACATGATGAATTAAGTAGGATGATGAGTTGGGTTTGTCAAATGAGTTTAAGGCTTTTGATAATGTTATTGAATGATGAAACCATATTGGAGGATATATGAGTTGGAGCCTAATTAAACTGGGATTGGGTAGTTTGATGCTCATGCGAATGTAGATCAAACAAGTAGTCATTGAGGATGGATGATGATGGTGACATTGATATTTTTTTTCTCCAATTGGAACAACAAGAATCCAACTTATCTTCTTTTTATTGTCTCTTGCCTTATCGCTGCTCTAATTGGAATTTTGACTATAGCCTACATGTGGATTGCAATAGTAGCATGTCCAATGAAACAGATGATATTTGTGATTGAGGTCTATTCAGAAGGTTGACTCTATCCCCTCTTCATGTCGGGTGGATTTTTGAGCTCCATTAATGAGATGGCATCTTCAGTATGTGCAACTGTTAGGAGTCACAAGTCCAACCATGGAAATGAAACCTCTGTTGACACGGGAAATAATGGTAGTACTGGGGGTACGTCCACAGAAAGCACAGCTGATACTCATCAAGCTGTTAATCTCTCCTCAGTTGATTTCAATGGAGTTTGGTGAACCTATTCCTCTATTATTATTTCGGATGTATGATAAATTGTTGCTTAATTGTTGCATGTGCTTGTGTTTCATGTAGGTTTTTGAGCTGACCTCAACACAAGGACCGGAGGTGAGTCTTTATTTATTCATAAAGGTGCCACACCATAGAAAAGCAAAACTTTGTGTCTCCTCCTCCAGTTGCTATTCTACCTGCCGGAATAGGGAATGATCTGGCTAGAGTTTTCTACTAATCTTCTGCTTGATGATGTTTGGTTTTTAGATAATGCTGTAAATTGAGAGAGGCAAGTGCATAGGGTTGCAAGACTAAGAAAGAAACTGTGTTTGTATAGTGCAGCGGCCAACAGCTTTATTTTTTAGCCATCAATATAGTTCTTAAGTCTCTTGAAGAATCGTTCAACTTTGTAAATTTCCAAGCTCCCTACCAAAGCATCACATCTTTCTCAGTGTATTAAAAACACTTCCAATAACAGTTTTTACTGTCATGGCGGAAGTGGCCCTAATAGAGATTATCAAATAATGAAAACAAAGGGATCTGTAGAAGATTTGTTTGACGAGCGAAACAAAAATGATGTAATGTTAAGTAACCTAGTAAGAGGATATCATAATTTCACAATTCTGATGTCTTGCACATGATAGGAATAAAACATCGCCGTGGACTAATGAAGAATCACGTGTAGGAGGAGGAGTAGCCAAAACACCTCCTGATGGAAAATAAGCCACTTCTAGCCGGCAACGACTCGGGTTTATCCTCAGACTTATTGTGAGGAAAGTGCCCATGAAAGGCATTCACAGCTCCTGCCACCCAATCTTCAAGTCCATGCAAGGGATTGAAATAACAGAAAATAACCCCAAAGTTGTGACAAGTATTTTGCTCGTTTCATAAATTACTTCATGAATAGTAATTAATTATGGACTTTGTTTTCACAAAATTAGTTTGGGTAAATCCAAGTCTCAAACTAGAAACCCTAGCTTCCGAAATTGTTCCCAAACCTTTCTTAAGCCTCGAACCCTAATCATAAGCCTACTAAGGAGTAGATACTTTCTCTTCTTTTCCAATGTGGGACTCAAGTTCATGTATTTCAATCAAACTCCAACAAGCAGTTGATATTATCGAATCACGTTGTGACTTGGATTTAAGTTTCAAGGCTAAAATCCATTTTTGGAATACTAAAATATGTTGGGTACTAAAACTAAATTTCTAGGATTTTTATTAAAATATTTAATGCTAATTACTCACTAAAGAAATAATAATTAAAACGTAATCACTAATGAAAGTATTTAAACAAGGCTAAGATATTATTTAATGAATAAAAAAGAAAATTTTGAAAAGGATATTTTAAATAGAATATTTTAAAAGTATAGCCGCCCGGCTATACCCGTTGAATAGCATAATCTTGATTTCTCTTTTTAATTACTATTTACTTAGTGAATAATTAGTATTTAAATATTTGATTAAATAAAAATAATAATTTCCATTTATTAAGTTAATTAAAGTATTTAATTATTCACTAAAGAAATAATAATTAAATAAGTCTAAGATGTTATTTAATTACTAAAAAGAAAATTTATTGGACCTAAAAGATACTAAATTTAAATTTATTTTTAAATAAAATATCTCCCAACGACTAGCAGAAATAATGCCACTGTATTGCATGAACTCATGCTTTGCATTAAATAAAAGGCTTAAATGCTAAAATGGTCCCTGTGTTTTAGCCCGTTGGCCAATTTAGTCCATGTGTTTTCAATTTGGCTAATTTGGTCCCTGTGTTTCGGACCATTAGCTAATGTAATCCAATCCGTTAAATTTTTGCTAAAATATTAATAAAAAATATAAATATTTGAATTCAATCTATAAAATAAATAATTATGAAATGAAAATAAGATTTAAAATCTAAAAGCAATTAAAAATCAAAGGACAACACCATTTCAGTAACACCCTTTCTCCCCAGCAACAACTCAGCCACATGCAAAAACCCCAACTCCCCAAGCCACAGTCACCCACCCCACCCCTCCCCTTCTCTCTCTCTCTCTCTCTCTCTCTCTCTCTCTCTCTCTCTCAAGAACAATCCCTAACTCCTGACCATCTCCCAGTAGAATATTCACCATGCAGTCATCGCCCCACTCCCCCAACCACATTGCTGAGCAGCCCCACGCCCATCCTGTTTTTTTTAATCTTTTTTCTAATGCTATGTTTTAGTTCTAATGAAGTTTTAATATGTTTTTAAATTAATTTCAACAAAATTTCTAGGTTTTCAAAGGAAGAAGAAGAAAAAAAGAATTATTATGTTAATTTAACGGCAATTTTAACAGAATGGGCCACATTGGCTAACAGTGCTAAACACAGGGACCAAATTGGCCAAATTAAAAACACATGGACTAAATTGGCCAACAAGATAAAACACAGGGACTATTTTAACATTTAAGCCTAAATAAAATATCTCCTCCTCCAGAAATGTCAGCTGCGAGAATTGAAAGAGTAGAAACTCATGCTTCGCAATCTCTATATCGTTGCACTCTCCAGGCCCAAAGAACTTCAAAAATTTCAACACAAACTGCGACCATGAATCCAAGCTGTGGTAGGGCTCGTACAAGCCTGACATCCATGGAATCGCATCCCCCTGTAAGTGAAGGGACACAATCTCCACTTTCGTCTCCTCGGGAATCATGAGGTACTTGAAGTAACGCTCCGCGAGGCAGAGCCACTCTACTGGGTTGTCATTCAGTGAAGTTCAGGTTCATTGTCCATGGCATTGAGGAGGACCCATCCTTTGTTCTTGATTGTCCAGACCCAAATCTAAGTTGGCGGATTTCTTCCAGAAGCGTTTGCTGTAAGTGAGTTTTTGCGGAGGCCATGGAGTTTATGGAGTTATGTAGCTCCTGAAGCGAAGCCTGAGTTCTTCTTTGTGGAGTCATAGCTCCAACTCTAGGGAACCCATTTCTTGCACAAAAACTCGTTTTTCAAAATTTTTTTTTAAAAAAATAGTATAGCCGACCGGCTGTACGTATTTTGACACGTGGGCTCCTATTCCGTAGGTGGTACCCTTTTTTGAAAATGGTAGCGCCGCCCGGCTATACTCGGTTTTATCTTTCAAATAGTACAGCCGCCCGGCTATACGTGGTTTTTCTGATTTTCTTTTAAAATAGTATAGCCGACCGGCGATACTATATTTTTTGTTTTATTTATGCATCATATAGCCGCGCCGCTATACCGATTAACACAGCAGGTTTTAAAATAATAATAATACTAATAAATAGTATAGCCGCACGGCTATACCTTTTTTTTTTGTTGAGAGCAAAGCCTCAGGAGCTCGGTTGTGTACTCTTTCACGGATCCCGGTTGCTCAGCGCAATATCGATATCGTTGCATTCTCCAGACCCAAAGAACTTCAAAATTCTCACCACAAACTGCGACCATGAATCCAAGCTGTGGTAGGGCTCGTGCAAGCCTGACATCCATGGAATTGCATCCCCCTGTAAGTGAAGGGACGCAATCTCCATTTTCTTCTCCTCGGGAGTCTTGAGGTACTTGAAGTAACGCTCCGCGAGGCAGAGCCAGTCTACTGGGTTGTCGTTTCCTCCGTGAAACACAGGGAAGTTCAAGTTCATTGTTCATGGCATTGAGGAGGACCCATCCTTTGTTCTTGATTGTTCAAACCCAATTCTAAAAATTGTATAGCCGTGCGGCTAAACGTATTTTGACCCGTGGACGCCTATTACTAGGAACAGTATAGCCGCGCGGCTATACTGATTTTAACCTCTTGATGTTTTTTAAGAAGTGGATCAAATGGAAGTACTCTTACATTCTGATGTCTTAATGGTTTATCATTTCTATTAAATTGTAGTAAACTGAAGGGGAAGAGGCTGTCGGTCCAAGGACTGAAACTGCAGCACCTGAAAACAAAGGTGAAGCAGAGAAATCTGGTCCTGCTGTGAAGGAGGACAGCGAGAATCCACCTCCGCCAAAAGTTAAAATCCTCCTGGTCGTCAGCACCTATTTTCTTCAGACTTCCTTGTCTTATGGAATTTTCATGGTGTTCGTGCAGGAAGTTGCGCCTGACCTGACAATGAATTTGAGAAGCGCATAAGGCCAGAGGTTATCCCTGCGAATGAGATTGGAGTCACATTTGCAGACATTGGTGCATTGGCTGATATTAAAGAATCACTTCAGGAGTTGGTCATGCTCCCACTTCGAAGACCAGAACTTTTCAAAGGTGGGCTTCTTAAGCCTTGTAGAGGCATATTGCTTTTTGGTACTCCTGGCACTGGAAAAATAATGCTGGCAAAAGCCATTGCAAATGAATATCAATGTCTCGATGTCCACCGTCACTTCAAAATGGTTTGGAGAAGATGAAAAAAACATCCGAGCTCTGTTCACAGTTGCGCCTGACCATGACAGAAGGTTACTTATTTCACCACAGACTGCGACCATGAATCCAAGCTGTGTCAGGGCTTGTACAAGCCTGACATCCATGGAATCGCATCCCCCTGTAAGTGAAGGGACAAAATCTCCACTTTCGTCTCCTCGGGAATCATGAGGTACTTGAAGTAACGCTCCGCGAGGCAGAGCCAGTCTACTGGGTTGTCATTCAGTGAGTGAAGTTCAGGTTCATTGTCCATGGCATTGAGGAGGACCCATCCTTTGTTTTTGATTGTTCAGACCCAAATCTAAGTTGGTGGATTTCTTCCAGAAGCATTTGCTGTAAGTGAGTTCTGTAGCTCCTGAAGCGAAGCCTGAGTTCTTCATTGTGGAGTTGTAGCTCCAACTCTAGAGAATCCATTTCTTGCACAAAAACTCCTTTTTTCCCAATTTTTTTTATAAAAAATAGTATAGCCGACCGGCTGCACTTATTTTGACACGTGGGCGCCTATTCCGTAGTGGTCCTTTTTTTTTGTAAATAGTATAGCCGATCGGCTATACTCGGTTTTTTCTTACAATACTCTGTTTTTATTTTTTAAAATGGTATCGCCGGTCGGCTATACTGGGTTTTGGTAATGTTTCTAAAAATTCGTATAGCCGACCGGCGATACTAGGTTTTTTATTTTCTTTACAAATAGTATAGCCGACTGGCTATACGATATTTTTAGTTTTATTTATTCATAGTATAGCCGGACGGCTATACCGTTTCATTTTGTTTTTTCCAGACTATTAATAGTACAGCCTGCTTTATACTAATAATAAATAGTATAGCCGCACGGCTATACCGTTTTTGTTTTCGACAGCGCAGCCCCAGGAGCTCTGTTTTGTACTTTTCACTGATCCCGGTTGCTCAGCGCAATATCGATATCGATGCACTCTCCAGGCCCAAAGAACTTCAAAAATTTCACCACAAACTGCGACCATGAATCCAAGCTGTGGTAGGGCTCGTACAAGCCTGACATCCATGGAATTGCATCCCCCTGTAAGTGAAGGGACGCAATCTCCACTTTCTTCTCCTCTGGAGTCTCGAGGTACTTGAAGTAAAGCTCCGAGAGGCAGAGCCACTCTACTGGGTGGTCGTTTCCTCCGTGACACACAGGGAAGTTCAGGTTCATTGTTCATGGCATTGAGGACGACCCAGCCTTTGTTCTTGATTGTTCAAACCCAACTCTAAGTTGGCGGATATCTTCCAGAAGCGTTTGCTGGAAGTGAGCTCGTGCGGAGGCCATGGAGTTTATGGAGTTCTGCAGCTCCTGAAGCGAAGCCTGAGTTTTTCTTTGTGGAGTTGTAGCTCCAACTCTAGGGAACCCATTTCTTGTGGAGAAAGAGGGTTTTTGCCCATGTTCTCGGAACCAAGCTCTGATACCCAAATAGGATCAGAAGGGGAAGAGGAAGAAGAAGACAAAAGGAATATGAGAGGTGGTCAAAAGTGGAGCCCTAGAGGCTATTTAAGAAATATGAGTAGGCCAATCGAATCAGCAGCCCATAAGGACTAAACAGCCCAACTATGCTTCTCAGCCCATCAGAATTGTTGTAAATTTGGAATATCTGAAGGAACTCTCTTCTCTCTCTCCCCTGTGCCTTTGAATCACAAAAAGCATGTCAAAACCATTAGAGAGATACCAAAAACTTGGCTTGAAAGAGTCGTTACCAAGAATTCACAGGTACCCGTTAGCCTGTAAAGAGCTGAGCTTAATTCTCAGAGGCGCTTACAAGAAAATTCCCAAGAATCTTCAATCGCTCATCTTCCAGGACACCCTCACCGCCTTTCGTCTCCTCCCTGAGTATGCTCTTTCCCTTATCTCGGATTTTATAAACTCTTTCTTCTTGTTTTGATATTTTTTAAAGAGAGAAACTTTTTTTGATATCTGGGTTGCTTCTGTTATTCGAATTCTGAGACATTTTGTATTCAAAATGAAAACTTCACAACCCAAGTTTGGACGAAAATTGAATATTTTGTTAATTTTAATTCGTTGAGAGCTTCCATCATACTTAAATTATCTTAATTCGGTTATAATGCAAATTGTAATGAGGATGGTGATGAAACTTTGCTTGTTTTGAATGAACAAAATTGTCAATTTTGGACTTTCTGGGATCAAACGTACTTTTGAGCTGGTTATTGTTTTAAGTTGTCTACTCTTCTGGATCAAGTTTAAGTTCTCGTAACAAGAAATTTTTGGATGGCTATTACAAAACTAGAATGCAGACACGCAATGCTGTTTTGGCAGCCCATCTCCTCCTTCAGAGCGTCGAGGCCACGTTGCCAAAGCAAAAGAAGAATGCAGCTGTTACAGAATATAAGAATGCAATGGTTGCTCATAAGAGGCGCACTAAAGCCCGCCAAGAAGAAAACGGTAACATGATTTTACTTTTATGTTTGCTCATACCTCACCATTTTTCCATGTTCCTAGTTTGACAGTCAGAAATTTTTGATAGGTTTAATCTGTTAAGCCTCGCATCCAATCCTTGTTAACTTTTTTGTCTCCTATCCCTGTAGTTTCAGGTTCAACCCAGCTGCCACAAGATGTTCTTGTTCACATATTCAGTTTCCTCGATATGCAATCTTTAGTCTCTGTTGGACTAGTCTGCTGGTGATTTCTCTTCCCTCCAATTATGTTGTGAGGAAACTGCTTTGGATCAACAATTACCTCTAATACTTTATGATTGTTTTGGTGAAGGTTGTGGAATATAGCGGCAAGTGAGAACAATTTGTGGCGGGCACAATACACTACTTTCTTCGGGAATTCTGATAATGATGCAATGATTAAGGGTCGACAGATTGGTAGACTGGTTGAAGATGAAGAAGGGTATACACTATTTTGGCGAGAAGCCTTCAAACGAACATATTTAGGTATCTTATTAGATATATGCTTTTGCTGCATCTGTTTTGAAATGCGTTGTATCACTAGAAAATAGATGTTTTATATATACCTCCTTAGAAAATATACCTCTAGATCTGGTTGTGTCACTAGAAAACATAAGTTGCAAAGAAGCACAGGCATACATGCCTGGGTGCAAGCACGTGCGTAGCGTGGATTCTTGTTCTGCTTCCTGTCAGCATTCAAGTGCAAAGTCATCCATTCTTACCTGTGCAAGCCTGCTTGGATTTCAGGTAGTTCTTCAAAGAAATTGAAATCCAGTAGGGGATACTGTAGGGACTGCAACACGATTGTTTGGCTCGATAACATGAAATGTTCAAATGAACATACAGGACTAAATTCTGAAAATCAGCAAATTAAGCTGGTGTTACCCAGTCAGGTATTTTCTATCTTGTTCTTTGCTCTAGTTTTTCGATTTTATTTAGTGATGCTGGCAGGGATTCACTGAATGCTAACTCTGATGCTTGACTATCTTCCTTGTTTCTTGTCCTTACTAACGTATATTGTCAAATAAGACCATTATTTGAAGAATGAAATCTGCTCTGGTTTTAGTTCTTCTTGTTTTCTTCTTAGAATCACTGGCTCTGTTTAGATTTTTGGTTCCGGTGACCTTACATCTATAACCATATTGCCATCTTTTTTCAGGTGGTTGGGTATCTCTTGGATGATTCTTTATCATTGGCATCTTCTTCAGACAGTGATAGTGATTCAGATGGAGGGCCATTTTCCAGGTTATGGGCCTACCAAAGACCCTTGAGCAAAACCCAGTAAAAGCATTTCATTCATGTATAGAGCTGCTCAATGAGGATGGCTAATATCTAGCGGCCAGCGTTCTCGCTTCTTCAAGAGGCTCTTCCCTCGCTGCTTGAGTCCGGACCGTACCGGTCCCGGAGCTGGATTTTTTACTTTGTTTTCAAAAGAATGTGTTTTGAAAAATTAGAAGTAATAATATTATCGTTCTTATACCAAAATATATGTATATTCATAATCTCTGTGTTTCTTTCGCAACACATTTCACATTGATAACAATCGACCTCAAACAGTAAAATGTAAAACTAATTCATCAGTCAGTAGTTTGGACAAATTTTGAAAGGTGAGTTCACTAATGCAGACAATATCGTAGATCAGATTGCTTCTTTTCAAGAGTAACAATTTCGAATTAAGGCATATAAGGATAATAATTTCCATTACAGATCGGAAATAAAAGTCAAATTAAATGTATAATCAAGTTCCGAAATATAAAAATTACGGTCTAATAGCAAAAATTACAGCCATCCAGAAACACAGAGATCTAAAAAGCATATATTCATTCATTAAGCTGTGTGCACCCAACCAGAACTAAAACATAAACGCACAAAGACGTAATCTAATGGAACCAAATAATTCAACACTGCCTTGACTAAAAACACAGTAACTTAAAGTGAACCCCTAAGTAAACACCTAACATACATCAGCATGGTCTGTGTCTCTCTAATCCTTCTTCTTTTCTTTCAATGGGCCCTTGGGAATTTTACTCAAAACCTTGGCATCAAACACTGCGTACTGCTTCTTGAACTCAATCAATGCCTTCTCGGAAAAGGCATCAATCTGCACATCATATTTCTCATAAATCACCGGCAATGTGTGCAGCAACACAAAAGCTGCCATTTCAAAATTCAAGGAGATGTTAATAACAGATGTTTTCCCAAATCAAAATCGAGAAACACGCTAAAGAGAATCGAAAACTAAAAAGAAATCCTTACTTATGTAGAATAAGGTCAGGAAGTTGAACCATTTCCCAACCACTGACGCAATCCACAAGACAGCTATAACCTGATAACCAGAAGAGCATCACTTAATGAGTCTATAATCCTAACAACTGCCTACACATACAGCACCACTATGAAAGAAAGATCAACTTACACCAAGGAACGTCTTCAAATCTCTCCCAGATGCAATATCCCGCAAAATGTGAAATGCTCTGTTGAGCTCAATTCTCAGTGCAGATGCCAAATCAAGGACAGTCCTCTCAGAGAGTTGAACCTTTGGGATTTGTGGTGGAGACCTGAACAAGGAACATAGTGAAGTTAATACCATATAATATTATATCAAATATCAAATCTGCCAAAAATAGCAAGAATACCAGAACATTACTTGTTGATAAAGGTTGATGCATTAGACCACAGGAAAAAGACAGCCAGAGAGAGTATCAATAAATGGCACACCAGAGTGATTAGATGGTATTCAAGCAACTCAAAGAAAACCCATAATACAGTAGCACCACCAAGCACACTTGCAGAAATTTTCTTGTTCCTCCATAGGAGAACATCAGCAGCTGCATTGAAATACTGACATTAGATCATAATTGAGGTCTTTTTTGTACAAGGTTCTTCTCACAGGCATAGTCATAAATGAAGAAACGGAAAACTAGTCCAGAAATTCTTGCAGGATTTAGTATCTCAGCTTTTCTAAGGCATAATTTCAAAAACAAATCACCAGTTTCCAAATTCAAAATGAAGATGCCAATAGTGCTACACAGCTTTAAAAAATATTATAAAAACACGCGGGCACAACCCAACACAGCAAATCAAAAGAAAGTGGAATACTAAACCACATACTATAAACATATGAAATATTTATTATGTATCAGAAACCAGGAAAATACTATTAAAATATTGTCAGTATATGTTCATTACATCATTTTGAAACGTATATTATATATACAAAACAGAATGCAGAGGAAAAATAAAAAATAACTAGTATGTAAAATCAACAATTTGAATAATGCCTACCAATTGGAATCTATCCACTAATACTACACACACAAAAACCCTACAATAATTCAATTATCTAACTTTGTTTTACCTACCAATAAACCCAGCACATTAATTAATTTAATTTAATTTAAAAAACAAAACAAAATCATGGGTGCACTGCATACCTCTTTATTTAATCACATATACGATAATATGAAGAAGAAACAAAAGCGAATTAAAAAACTGAGATCAGCTCGCTTATACGAAAATCCCTGTACACTTTTCAGGAATGAACATTTATATTATATTAATTCAGCAAAGTCGTTATTCAATCAGATCCCCAAAATTAACTTTCATAATTTTAGTTTCCTTTAAATTCCACCTTTTCCGATCAATCAAACAAAACACAATGAATTCATGCAAACATAAGTGTTAATAATGTATTACGGAGAAAGAGAGGGGGGAAATATAGTACGTTTGCCACCGCCCAAAACCTTGTGAACGGGCTTCTCTCTACCGAATAGCCTAAAAATCTTGGATTTGACGGAATCGTGAGTAGACGGCTTGTCGTCTTCAACCTTGGGTTTAACGACGTCGTGCTTGGACTTCTTCTTGTCGTCGTCGGAGTCCGATGAAGACGCCGATGCGTGGTGGCCGTAGATCTTATCCACCAGCGATTCTGGCTCCGCCATGGTTTCTCAGATCGAATGGAGCGAAAGAGATCGAGATGTAGAGTTTGAGAGCGTTGATATCAGTGTGTTTATGTGATTGTGTGTTAAGGTGGGGGGATTTAATTTAAAGCGAGAAGTAAGGCAGATAAAATCTGAGCCGTCGAAAAACGGAAATGGGACCGAGGCTGAGGTGATGGCCCGAACCGAGTGGTTTGGAAAATAACAGAAACCAAGGAAAGGAAAGAGTAGGACGAGGCGGGAATGTCTCGCGTTACGGCGCTTCTGGTGCTCTGTGATATCACAGCCTTAATTTCTTTCAATTTTAAATATTGCAATCATATATTATAATTTAGCTTTTAAAAGGGTCTATATACATTTGAGAATTTGATTCTGTGAATTTAGGATTAAGAAAAATGAATGAATAATGTCTTATTTTATTTATAATGAAAATGAGCACAAAGTTTGGAGAAAGCAAAAGTAAAAAAACAGAGATGGAACCTGGCTGTGACGCACCTGGCTGTGAGAATAAAAGGCTCCACCTCCAAATTGATGTTCCATCAGTCGTATTTGGGGGTGGTGTTGGCATAACGGAACACCGTGTACAGTAGACAATAGCCCATGATCTTATGCCAATGGCCCAATGCCATAGAATTTAGAAAGCCTGTTGTATATTTCAAGTCCTACACTTTTGTTACTTTTAAAGTTTGTTTCAGCAAAGCACCAAATTTCAGCTTCTTCAGGGGCTACACTTGTTCTTTTCATTGCTCCAAAAGAGGCCCAAGCCCATGTAAGTCATTTTCAGGATGTGTTTCATTTTCAGCAAAGTCCATCGCCACTCGTTTTTGTATGTCGGTCAATGAAAACGAGTCATTCGAAGCCTATACCTTACTGAAATGCTATAATGAGGGGGTAACAAAATTCTACGTCCAATGGATGTTCTTCGCTGCCTATTACAAGTCTATTTCACTGCATTTCATATATAATGGTATTTCATGGTCGCTGATTTACATACTAAACAAGTTTAGCCAAGTCAACAACATCACCACACCAGCATTTTGATTTTGGACACGAAACATGAAGACCCCACCAGTTACAAAATTCTTCGAGGCATAATTTGACCAGCCAACAGCATATGAAATTCTTTAACAGACAAAGAGAGCTTCACCCAAAAACCCACAACACAAGTACAACAAAAAGTCATACTAGGCTCTTGAGAATTGAGTGGAAAGAGGAATTCAGATGGCGACTGCTTTGATCCACCTGAGATGACAACAAGAAAAAAAAAAATGGAAAATCATAATATGTTCATGGTGGGGTTCACCTTCCCAGTTTTTAAATCAAAAGATGTGAATAATCATGGTAGCTTAGGGTGCAGAATCTTACAAATTTGGAACATTTACGCAGCATGATTGAAAATAGGACCAATATTCCATTCTAGATCTAATAAACTATATGCCCTGTAATGTAAATGACAAAAATGTTTGTGATGATGAACTGCTGATATGATATATAATATATGAATGTAGAGTAGAGAGAAGTAGTAGACAAAGGGTAGCCTTTCTGTTTAAAGATGAAACAAAACAACATGGGAAAAAGTCAGCTAAGGATGGCATTGGCAAGGCTCAAAATTGTGTCGTGCATACCATAAAGTTTTAAACCAGAAAATTTAATGTAAAAGCTAACAATTCAGACAGAGGGAGACTGTTTCACTGAAGCAGTTGAGGACCACAGCATCAGCATATACAGTAATAGTAATAGTATGGTTCATTTCATTGTCTAAATTTGAGGACCACTATTGAGATTGAGAGGTAGAGAGCTAGCTTCTCCTCGAGCCTTTTAAACATTACAGGAATATACTTACCAGAAAATTAAAGACATGACAAAGAATTTGGCACTTTGAGAATCTGATTCAATCCCATTAAACCACAATCACAAATCTTATCTTTATGCTTTCTTTCACATGGCTGGAGCCTGGAGCCTGAAGCCTGGAGCCTGAAGCCGGGATCCTGGGCTGGAGAGAGAATGTATAATTAAGAAATTGAGTGAATGAGGAAACTAATAACTGAGGGACTTTTCTCTCTCTAATAACATTTTTTTGTGCAGAAGGCCAGCTGCATTGTATGCATTCAAAAGAAGGGCCAAGACCACACAAACCCAAGTTTACAAGTCAAACCTTTTACTGCAAAGACTTAAGACCCGCTTGCTTCGGCCATCAAGGAATATTAAAGCCTTTGGACCTCTCTTCTCTTTAAAGGTAGGGAGAGGAGAGGGAGGGGTCCCTTCCCCTGAGCAACAGAAGAAGCGTGCCTCAGCTGCACCAATGCCTTGCCTTGTAAAGAACCCAATTCTCTGACTTAACAGATCTTTTTAAGACTCTCTCTCTCTCTCTCTCTGCATAAATGTGTAATATCTTATGTAACGTAACCCTACGTTGGGTAACTTTTGGTTGCTTTTGCTCCTCTCTTTTTTCTTTTTGGCCTTTTCTCTTTCATTTTTCATTCTCTTTATCTATTCTTTTTGGAAGTTTCTCGTCACCATCCTTATGTCTTCTCTACTCCATGCCCAAAATCAATTGCACAAGCAGAACTAGATTGGGAACTACACCATATGAAATCATCCATTCACTATCACGCGCTCCTCCTCCTAAAGATGCAAAAAGATATAAAAGATCATTTAACCAATCTGTTAGCTTTTCTTTTTTACTAGAAAGAAAAAAAGATCATTTGACCAATCCATTTATAACTTCCATCGCAACTATGAGTTTATCTTCATGAAAATTATTTTAATAACAATTCCAAGAAGCAAACAATAAAATGTAGAAATAGACTTTGACTCGGCAAAGTACAGATGGAAATTGCAGTCCACTTGTGCGTAACAAAGAACCACGTTCTGGTTGAAAATTATGCAAATTCAAAGTTCAAAGTTCAAAGTATGCAGGAGCGTAAGGGGACCGGGCGTGGGGCCAAGAATTGAAAGCAAAGAAAACCTCTGCATCGATTCATCAGCAAGTCTGAAAATCTGCATTTGCGAAGAGTATACGTATATTATATAATGTGCTTCTTGTTGTATACGTAGCTCATAGCTCTGAGTTCTGAAACGTTTCATAGACCATCCCATAGTCTAAATAAGCCTAGATGGTGTCTACTTTTAGAACCACGTAATCAAAGATGTAAATGAAAACAGCCAACCTACAAAACAAAAGGAAAAGTATTCTCTCTCTCTCTCAAAAGCAAAAGAAAACCTTTGCTGCCTGCCCCTCTCTCTCTCTCTCTCTCTCTCTCTCTCTCTCTCTGTGTTTCCCCCGAACACCACTTTCGATGCTGCAAACGCAACCACCGCCATAAAACGAAGCGAAATTTTATTAAAGCTCTCTTTATTTCACTCATATCCTCACGTTACCCTCTGCTCCTCTCTCACTACTTTCTGGTATAAAACCCATCAAAACCCTGCATTAACCAAATCCCTTATCGCTTAACCCTCTCTGTCTCTCTCTTTCCCTGCACCATGGAAACTCTCCATTTCCTCAAGTTCTGGAAACCCAACAATGCCTCCACCATCGCAGTTCCAAGTCCTTTAGTTGAAACAGACCATGAGGTTGAAGAAGAAGAAGAAGAAGAAGACTCATTCTTCGACTTGGAATTAAGTTTCGATATCATGAACAAAAACGACGCAAACAAGGCCTGCACAGATGATGCAACCCCGCAGGAAAGTAACAGGCTTGATTCCATTCCAAAATCAAACAACTCAGCCAAAAAAGCCGGCTGTACCGAACCCTGTCTTTCCAAACCGCCCCTTTCTCTCTCGCCTTCTGATTCAATTTCCAAAAGGAAAATCCTCCCCATTGAGCCTATTTTCAAGCCTCAGTCCCCAATTGCTCTCCTTAAATCGGCTCCAAAGTTTGGAGCTTTCATGTTGAAGAAGCCCAAAGCAACAAAAACAACAGCGAAGAAAACAGAGAAAACAGGGGAAGCAGAGTCCAAAGTTTTGATGGAGACCCAGAAGCAGAAAAGCAAAGAAGGCAACCTCTTCGGTGTGAAACTCCTCAATACTGAAGAACATCAAAACCCTTCTAAGCTCACCCGAGAAAACAGTTCCAGGAGGAACGGAAGCAGGCAACAGAACCAGAGCTCAGAAGACTCCAAAACAGAGCGATTCTCGAAAGATATGATACAAAAGTACCTGAACCTAATCAAGCCACTTTTTATGAAGGTTTCCAAGAAGTGCAGTGAGAAGGTGAAGCCTTCTGGTAATATTCCAATGTCATCGCCGAATTGTTCTCCTGCTATGCCGGTATTATCTATGTGTTCGCCCAAGAAGGAGAAGCAGGGGAATATTCCTGTCGGAATGAGAGTTGTTTGTAAGAACTTGGGGAAGAGCAAATCGGCCACGACGATGGCAGTGGCGCCACAGGTGAAACGGAGAGACGATTCGCTGTTGCTGCAGCATGATGGGATTCAGAGTGCCATTCTACATTGCAAGAGATCATTCAATTCTAGAGGTGCTGAGAACGAAAAATTACTTTATTTTGTTTTAAATTAGTGAAATTTATTTGAATTGAAGCTTACTTTTTGGATCAGTTAAGTTCAACAGTTAATTTGGTTTCAGATTCTTCCTCGTTATCAAGGTCAGCCAGTGATTCTTCATCCATGAACTCGTACTCTACTGGTATAAATCACTCTCTTTTTAGCAAATCAAGCGAATATCAAATTCCAATCTCCAAATTTGCTTTGATTATAACCAAAAATTTCACATTTCTTGCAGATTCTTCTCTGTTATCACGGTTTGCAAGTGAATCCCACGACAAATCAGCGAGAAGCTCCATTGAGGAAGGGGTTTGTGCTGAAATTTGAAGCTTTGTTAATTGGATTTTGAGAGATAAAACGCGGGAAAAACAGAACCGGATGATGAGGGCTCTGTTCTTTTTGTGTGTTCTACGTGCTTCTGTAAAAACAAAGGAAAAAAGAAAATTTGAGCTAGGGTAGGGTTATTTTTGATATTTTAGCTTTAGCTATGTATGATGAGACCAGTGAAACCATAGGTTCACCTGTTGTTGTCTGTAAAGTGATGGGTCATTATGAAAAACTGAAGAAAACTCCGATATGATATCTTTTTGTGGTTTTGTGTATCTATCAGTGTGCCCTTGTCCCTGCTCTGAAGCGGCATAGCATCATGTTGCTTTTGAATGTATGGGAGAAATCTGTATAAATCAATCAAACCGCATGTGACATTATTTTCTGCATTCAGAGATTGATTTGACTCAACAGGTTCTGCATCTTTCATTTTCTGAGGTTCCACTTTCCAGGGGAAAATGACAGAAGCCGGAATATTATTCAGGTCAGTCAGATGCTTGTATCAATCCTTTCTATTGCAACTCATAAAAACTAGCTGTTGGAAATCAATTTTTGGTGGTGTGGTGTGGTGTGGTGTGGTGTGGTCACCTTTAAATTAATAGCATCCCACACAGTGTTTTTGGCATTGGTTTTTCATATTTGTGTAGGGTTTGTGAGGGAGGATTTATTATGACCAACAACCTGCATATGTACTGGTTAATTTCATTCCGACAGCACTCTTGCTTTTATAAAGTACTTTTTGAATTGTAAAAGAAGCATTTTATTTGCTTTTATTAAAATCTGATTTCGTTCCAAAGCTAAAAAGCATTCAGAGTGGCAGATGCTCTCCCAGTCTCTCTGTCCAACCGATCCCATCTGATTTTGGTAGGTTGAAGATTCAATTCAATTTTGACTGCTTGTTGCAGCAGGGGAACTACTATAAATAAATGCATACATGTTTATTTTCTCTTTTAATTGCGCTGGCCTCCCATCACTTTTGACATAATAACATGGATGTCACTCAAAACTTTTTAGTGACACTAACTGCCCCTCCTCTTCTCTCTGACCAACCAGCATAATGTTCTTCCTGTCAGGGGGAGGGAGAAAGACTTCCATGCCATGGAGATAGCAAGAGCGTATGTCATAGCCTTATTGGTCGGGCATATGCAACTAAGTTTTTCTCCAAGGAAGGACATCCATTTTGGGCAGTCTGGAGAATCCAAGTTTCAAATTTGAAATGGAAAACTTAGAAGTTACTGTTTGTTTTTAGTCATAAATGAAAACAAAAGTAATACTTGTGTAATATCAAATGTGCCAAAAAGAGGAATATGATAGCAGATGTAAGCTTGTGTACGAATTTTGGATATAAAATTGCATATGAAAATGATATATTATAAACCAACGGAAGGGCATGCAGTGCACTTCTCTAACACATGATGATGATGATGACAAGAAATGCCAGAAATATTGTGGCCCATTTCAGACACCAATGCAAACTTCACGGTGAACCACATTGCAGAGCTGACAAAGAAACCCCATTTGCATTGCACCATATGAAAAAGACAAACAACACCACACAGACTAGACAACAAGAACGAGGTAGAGCTGCAATGCAAATGCAATGGGGTAAGTTTCAACTTCACAATTAAGAAAGACCAGCAAAGATAAAGAGGTGCTGGATTTTTAAAGTCACGAGCCAAGTCTCGTGAGCGGCAGCAGTAGGAGGCCCACTATCATTCATACATTCATATCACATCAGTTTTCAGACCAAAATCTCTGTGTGTTGAGTTGTCTTCAACTCACCAAACTTGTTCCACTCAGAAAAATCCCAAAGCAACATGCATGTGCCAAAAAGAGGTTAAATCTTTGTCTTGTAATATTTTTTTCAACAGGATTATAAACAGTAGCTGGTTCTGTTGGTATTTTGACTGATCAGTGAACACATAATTACGATAGAATGTAATGTATTAGTTACTAAAATGATGGTTTAGTTTATAAGATTAACAAATAATTAAGTTATAATTTATGAGGTTAATGTCCAGTTTTTTAACATAATACAACATAACACATGAACACAACTCTCAGATTGCTTAAGGGTTGGTTGAGACAAGATACTAGGAATGAATGATGTTTATGATTAATTATTTGGGTGGGCATTTTATTTTTCTTCAACAAGTTACTCCAAAATCAGAACAGAAAAGGGTTGCAAATCGAGGCAAAGGTTACTGTTCATTGCATTTGCACCAGTTGGATTGGAGCAGTAAAACGACAGGATTTCGTTTAATTGTTACACTCAAGAAATGTGATTTAATTATAAGTAGATGAATGCAATGCACCAAGAAACACTACACAACAAACACCCGACATCATATTTTCATCCGAGGTTCATAGATCTGCTCTGTTTCCTCCACTGATATTGTGTCTGGTGGTGGTCACAAATATTTAGTGTCAAATATTGCGTTTGCGTTATGTCATACGCATCATGTCTTCTATCATGTGAGCTCATTTTCCAATTATAGCTTTCTTTTTAGGCCGAAACAACATTCTTAGGAAACATTAAGATTAGAATTAGATTTTCTTTGCAGCTCTCCAGTTCATTGGATGTGTCCCAATCATCGTTCAAGCTTTCCGAAATGTTTAAACAATATGTTAAACTCCCCTGCGTATCAATAGCATATCTGTACTCGGATTTGTGTTCGTGTTCGTGTTCTTGTTCGTGTTTGTGTATGTGGGTTATACCATGACAGCCCACACCCTTAATGGACCCCAAGATTATTAGACCCCAATGGAGAGGTGTGATGGACAGGCTTCTTTTTGGGTCTGACTTATGGGCCTACTTCAGTCCATGCCCAAACATTATATCCAATTCAATATTATTCAACATGTAAAAAACCACTAATTACAAGAATTTTACACAGGCACATTAATTAGAGATCACATACAATATGTATAAGAATAATGCTACTCTTATTATATTTGTATACCACATTTTCATACCATCTTATGTGGCAGTTGAGGTGGACAACCGTATCAATTAAAATTATTTAACATTTTCTTTTATTTTATGATTTATTCCATTATATATTTTTCCTAATTTTATTAATTAAAATATACTTTATTGATTTAATTGATGCGGCATATGATATGGACATGCCACATCATGTGGTTGGCATATAAATGTGGGAGAAAAATATTTTAAGTGTAGGATTACTCTATGTAGAAACAAGATGTCCGTAGCTCACAAAATAAATATGATAACAAGAATAGGCATTAAAAAATAAAAAATAAAAGATTATACATAGATTAATATTATGATCACTTGCAGACAATATTTTGGACAGACAGCGATGCAAGAACAATTTCCATGGTGCAATTCATGTGAAGAAGAAGAAAGCAAGAAAGAAAGAGAGAGAGAAGGGAAGAGAGATGAAGATTACGACTAAATTTTTTATTCCAAATTCGAGAATCCATATAGGATTTTTGAGTTACGAATAGCGAATCATATTAATAAATTGGATTTATCCAAACTAATTTTGCATAAATAAAAAATAAAAAACAAAGCCCACAAATTTTTTTTAAATAATGAATTACTAGTTATTAATTAATTTATGAAATTAGTAAAATATTTAAATATTCAATAAAAAAAGAATACTAATTTAATTAATTTTAAAAAACTAAGATATTACTTAATTACATATATTAACTAAAAGAATTTGGGGAAAAAAGAGAGTAAAGAAACTTAGTTTTTATTTTTTATAATTTTAAAAAATGTAAAAAAAATCATTCCCGACGAAATTTTGTCAGCACAGGTCTATGCCGGAAATATTTGACGGATTAGACTTCTCCCGATGAAATTTACCTCTGTCGATGAACTTTCGAAGGCAGAGATTTTTCACTATAATTTTTTTGTTAAAATAATTTTCTTAGTAATTAAATGATATCTTAGCCTTATTTAACTACCTTCATTCATAATTGTGTATTAATTACTATTTATTAAGTTGTAGTCTTCCCACACGATTATTAATTACTATTTATTAAGTAATTTATAAAATTAGTAAAATATCTAAATACTAATTATTTACTAAATAAATAATAACTAAAACACAATTAATAATTACATATATTCAACTAAAGAAGCTGAGAAAATATTCTATTATAGTGTATAGCCGCACGGCTATACTGCTAAGATAGAATACAGCCGCGCGGACATACTCGTCATGGCCTTGTTTTGAAATTGAAGTCCTAGTGACCTTTGAGCCATCCGCTCTGCAAAAGATTTACATCCAACATAAATTACACAGCAATACACGTAACTTCTAACCACAAAGCACATTACTTGGATAAATCCGACAGTTAGGAAGGGATTAAAGAATCTGTCTTTAATGAATCATTATTTTTAAGGGAGTTTCACTAAAACACCCAAAATGGGGGTTGAAATTATAAAAAAACCCAACACCCAAAACACTTTATAAACACACCCAAAACCCATCATTACACACACTCAAAACCCATTTATAAACACACCCAAAAAATATACAATTGTTGATTTTGAGGTTGATTTTGGGTGTGTTTCTATGTTTAAATAGTGCTTGGGTTTTTTTGTAAATACATGTCTAGGATTGGGTTTATTTATAAAATTTGTATATTTTTAATTGTAGGCAAAAAGTACTTGAAAGATCATGCATCTAAACATTCTTCATAATTGGGGTTTCAACAACACTAGCATTCAAGTTTCTGGTGTGGAATTAATAGAAACTGAAACCCATAAAAGAACATCCTCGATTACATTTCTTTTAAGCTTCCACGCGTAAACTTCAATGTGCACAGATGAGTAGAAGCGTTCGTTCCCTTCGCATACAGAGTTACAATAAACATTACCCAAGTTGCGAAATAAGTCCACAATTGTAGGTTCCCAAACCTTGACATCTAATGTTAGAGATCTCACCTGCAGTCATCCTGTAATGGTGTTCGTGTTCGTGTACGTGGTTTATACCATGACAGCCCAAACCCTTAATGGACCC